TGATGTACGCGAAGGAAATTCGGTGGCTATTACGCCCAATATATATACAAAGTCACACACCGTTCGCGTTAGACCCACACTAAAACTTGTGGAGCGTTTTAGGAACGGGTCGGTCCGCGAACTTTACGAGAGATCAATTTACGAGCGATCCTTTACGAGTGAACCTTTTATTGAGAAATATCAAGCGAAACCTGCTATATCAAACGAGTTATCGCATATTATGTTTACATGTAAACACAACCGTGTATTTAGACGTCATCGAGAACCCAGTAGAATACCAGAAGCTACTCTGAAACGTCTCAGAAGAAAGGGCAGAAAACTGAAGGAATTTGTCTATGTCTTTGTCTATGTCTTTGTCTATTCGTCAAGCATACCGAAGTCCTCTTGGCTACGTCGTTATGTGAAGGTTAGAAGAGTTACAAAGAATGATTGTAAGCTTAATACGAAGAGGGTAAGATTAAACAAAGTTACAAAACATAATAAGAATTATTTTTTTAATTGTTCTGCAAGGGTATATCAAAGTATAATTAAATTGAAGTATAGAGCAAGTAGGTACTTATCAATGTTTTCTTGTAATAGACCCATGTGTCTTTATAAGAGTCAGACACACGCATCAAACTATTGTAAATTTCAACTGAGTTCAGATATAGAGAAAAACCCTGGTCCTACTCCAATGTACATTGACCCTAGCAAAACAATAATGGCACCATATAGCCAAGCTAATGAATTGGTATTTGGACAGAATTCAAGACAACAATGTGTTACAATGAGTTTATGCTTTTTGATTTACAATAATTAACAAACAAGGAATCAATTCTGCTAATGATCTCGTGTCAATAATGAATATTGGAAATCAGTTGTATTCAAGTTTGTCTCAGTTGACCAGACAATCAATTTTTAATGCAGATAAAATTACCTACACTCTTAAATGTGTTCGAGACTGACTATGAACATGTATACAGTGAGAGCTACACTGTTACTATTCATCAAGAAGCTACAGTAGAAGGGTACCAGTACTTTACCTCCTTAGATAGAGCCTTTCAATCACTTATATCCGAAAATTTCAACAATTTTGTCTTGAAAATAGGATGTACTGCAGTTGCTATCTATTGTAAAGGTAATGTGGGCTTGAATATATTCGATTCTCATGCTAGGAATATTTATGGTAGAAGCCATCCTCAAGGTACATGTGTGCTGCTTGAAGTATCATCACTGAATAGCTTAGTACATTATTTTCAGAGTATACATGACAATGATATCTTTGAATTGAAAGGGGTTAACATTAATAAAGTTCAAAATAATACCCTTTTTCAGAGTCATGCCTGTGAAACCAGAAAGTTCAATGTGAGTTGTGCTGTGGCTGTTTATTCACTCTGCTACTCTGTAATAAAATCATGTAGTTATTGGAATTCAAACACCTTATCTGATGTTATTCAGTATGGCAAAAGATTATATGAAAATTCATCTTTGAACAAGTATTTACCGTTAGATGATTTGCCAAAAACTGTTGATGTTTGTGGAACTGAAGTAAGTTTAGATCTTAAAAGTGATTACAGTGAAGGAATATTGTCTGATTCAGTTGACAGCAAATCACTTCTCGAAAATCTTGTAAGAAATAATAGTGAATGCACAGGGTTTTTGATGTGGTTTTCAGTTTTATGTATGACATGTATTTTTAAACCCACAAAAAGGTCAAAATATGTTTATTCCCTCTTGCTATTTAATGAAAGTCAACAGCCTCTAATTGAATATACTAAAACTGTAAATAGCACTGCTTCTCTTGTTGCGGCCATCAGCAATATTCAAAAATTGCACCAACAACTGCATTTCAGATATCCTGCATGGTAACCTCGAATACAGCTTCGAAATGAGTATGTTATTGTGCTCATTGTTCGCACAATCGCTTTGCAGTAATCGACATTAATTCCAGACAAAAAGTGAGATTAGCGGAAACCAGCAGACAACAAGCCTTCAATCCCTGTGAATGTTGACGCTTCTGTGCATTCATTAGGTTAATTAAATTCCAGCACTTCCTGCGATAACCGTGTAATATGTCGCTACGTGAAAGCCATGTGCTTCTATATTTTTGTTTAAATCGACGCTTAGTACTGAAAGCAGTACCAGTTCTGAAAGCGTGACAGTTCCCGCTTCCATTGCTTCCTCATCGCAGTTGCAGTCTGGGAAAAAAGACATGGCAAACCTCATTGGAAGAATTTTTAAATTAACGTCATGATTAGCAACTTTAGTTCAATAGTCTGTGCAGTGCAGTACTATACGTTGCCGTTTAATGCTGTACACGCAGTTTATGTTCATTATGACATTGACAAGTCAGGCACAAAAGAAAGGGAATTTCCGCGCTCCTTCTCTTGGTGAAAGATGCATTTTAACGAAGGACAAAATATGGGGCAATTAGAAAAGATTTTTTTTTTTTTTTAATTATAAACCATATCTCGATATAACGAACATTTTGATTGTTTTTTCGCAAATTCGTTAAATCGAGGTTTTCGGCATATCGAACCCTCGATTTAACGAACCAATTTCCCCAGTCCCTTGGCACTTCGTTAAATCGAGGTTCCACAGTACCCCAGAACCTAACCCAATTGTAAAAGCAGGTTTTCTATGTGTGCCATGTTGCTAAATATATATATTTTTTTCATATCTGGTTAACAAATTTTATTTTTTACTCGTGGATATGTGAAGCGTAGAAACGAGTTATAAAATAAATTCACGATAGTTTCCACTTCAAAAAAATAAAACACACGAGTCAAATGACGGATCGGAAGTGAAGATAAAGTTTTTGGACCTATCAACGATAGTGTTAGATTTGGGCTGACGAGAACCAATCAGGAATCACTACTTATAATCGTGCTTTTCGATTTCTCCGAATGTGACGCAGACATGCATGGAGACATGGAAGTATTGGCTTACATTGTAATACAAGTGCACAAGTAACAAATTGCTACCGCTATCCATCCAGTAGGTACCCTGGCCCAATAGAGACCCTTAGCAGGGAGATATTTTCCTTGCCTAAACTTGATTTACATATTGTGCATGTAAACGATACATTGTCTTTCGTTATTTCTGCATTTAGCGCACTACATACAATATTACTGCATACCACGAATTCTGCTGCGATTTTAATGATTTCCATCATAGTAAAGAATGGTAAAGAATTGACTTCCAAAGTTTTATTAAGTACACCAAGATGGACTTGGCAGATGTTTATTCAGAGGGATAAGACAAAATTAATTAAATTTTTGAAAATCGCTACAAAAATTGCTAATTTAAACGCACCCTAAGTAAGCCCGAGTTCACGCAGTTATGCGTCTAGTTTACTTAAAAACATCCAAACGCCTACAGTACTAAACATGAGAAGGAAAATACATATTAGAGAACTAACACTTACAAAGAAAGTCACTATAATGAAAAACATTTACCTTAACCGTGCATTGCTTTACAGGCAAAAATCGACGACGCTGCTTCTTAAAAAGTGGACATAAAAATTGATCCACGGGACTTAATTTATACACAAAACCTGACAAATTACTCGACATAATTACGTATTATCACGCAACGGTACAAACATCAACCACAAGTACACGATACAACTTAGTCATGAAAAGTAAAAATACTCGCAAGTAATTAACGCGTAAACGAAATACACACAGAAAACTATCTGACAATAAGTTTCGCGATAACAATGCATCACAGCCGTTGATGTTACTTTAAGCTCGTGTTCCTCATTCCAGCGTCATGTACATTGAAACTGAATTCCAGCTTATAGGTTTCCTGAGAGCCTTCGGATGAGGCGTTTCTCGGATATCGCGGTACTCAAACCGTTAGAGCTTTCAAATTATGGTTCAAGTATTAACACTCGGGGTAGGTGAATGCGAATTGGTCCTTATGACATTACACACCTTTGCACGGGGAATGTCAACACAGTTAAAGTTGGACGTCAGGGGCAATGAAAACGAATTTTTCTTTTGAAGTAATCTTCTTTATACCCGGAAACGAACTTTCAAAGAGCGTTAAGGCCTTTTTAGTTTTATGTTTTATTTCATTACCATTCTTTTTCAAAAAATATAGGGTTCCGCAGGTTGTGCAGGTTGCGCAGGTTGCGCAGGTTGCACAAGTTGCGCAGGTTGCACAGGTTCCACAGGTTCTGTAGGTTCTGCGGCTTCCACAGGCTCTGCAGGTTCAGCGCTCTGCTGATCCTAAGTTTAGTAACACCGACTTAAGCGAGACGCAACCATGAACCACGCTGACGAGGGAAAACCTATAGTGCGGCTCATTTCAAAGAGAAATTCCCGATTACAAAAAAAAGAAAGTGCTTACGTTCGAACAAAACATTCTCATTAAAGCGTGATGTAAAAATAACCAAGGCGTAGTCGATGATCACCTATATCTCTAAAACACGGTTGTATTACATTGCATTTAGACGTCAGTTTAATTGTTTGAAACCAGGAGATCCACGATCTAACAAATAGTTTCAACTGACTAAGACAACGCTAAAAAGTTTTTATGAAAAAATGATGAAATTATTCCAGCAAAGCACGTTAAAAAAGAGGGAGTGATCAAAAGTTCGTCATGCTCAGAGATCTTTATGAGAGTTTTTCCTCGCTAAACTGATTTACGTGAAGGAAGGAAAGGACGCGTAATCTTATTGTTACCTAACCACTCAATATCTACTCGCAAAGAGATTGAGAGTTCTCGATCTTAAATTAAAAAAAAAAAAACTAGAATCTAATTGCATTGGAGTACACATGCGCTCGGGATGTTGGAGATCAATTAAACTTGATTGACGACCCTCTTCTTGACGAAGATGTGTTTGCACATGTTTCGGCGATTTCCTTTCTAAAATTTGTACGATGATCAAGTATTTATAAATTCGATATCATTCGACAAAATCATGACAAAGCAAAACGCGTGCATTTTAATCGCCAGGAAGCCTTTTCTTTTTGCGAGAAATAGAAAGTAATTCAGCACAAGGCCACAATTTCATGACGACATTTTCGTTATCTTTAGGTGCGGAAGACCAAGGGAGTGATTGTCTTTACGTATCCCATCTCAGCGGTGAAGACTCGCCTCAATGTGGCTCTTTTGCTGTGCCCTGCCGGACATTACCACAAGCGCTACTTCTAGTAAACGATGGTGGCAAAATTTGCCTCAACGGAACAAACAGTGAGTCAAATCCATACGAATGTTTGAAAACGGTTGGTCCCAATGGAACGAAATTGAGAGCTGTGGGGAAAAGAGTATCAATACAGGGTGTGTCCTCCCCAGCACACATTTCATGTGGCTTAGCATTTGCATCAAGGTTAAAATATGGCTCCGTCAAGGTTTCTTTCTCAAACCTTGTATTCAACAATAGTAGGTATGGATTAGTTTTCCTCAATGTGCCCTCCTATGATGTCGTCATCTCCGACTGCAAATTTATCAATTGCTATAAGGCCATTTCCATGTTGTGGTATAGAAGTCGGGTTTCTTCTTTCATCAGTCAAAAGTCTTCACTTGAGGTTACTGATAGCGAATTCCGCAACAACACATACAGCATAGAATTCGGTCCAAAGTTCAAAAACGGTTCCCATAAAGTTTCTATGTCAAACCTTCTTTTCGACAATGGCACGTATGGTGTATTCCTGATCAATGTGTCCTCCTTTGATATAGTCATCGCCAAATGCAAGTTTTTCAACTTCTCAGAGGCAGCCGTTGGTCTGTTTTGGAATGAGATTAAATACGTCATCCGTGAAAAGAGTAGTCTTGTAGCCACTGATAGTAAATTCCGGTATAATGCAAAATCTATTCTTGTCATGCTCCCTAACGACTTCTTTGAGATGACCGTATCAAGATGTCTTTTCCAGAATGCGAAGGGACGATTTCATGTTACAAATGATAGTAGAAGTATAAAAGGTGCCGTGTTTGTCCGTTCCCAAGCTAGTTCCGTTACGACGTATCCTATTCATGTGTTAGTCTCAATTACTGACTCTATTTTCCAAGACCTGGGTCATAAAGACAACAGCTTCGCTGTATCCGTAAGAGTTGACAACCTCTTTAGCGATGGGAATGTATCATTATTTAACACGTCGTTTCTTTACAACGAAAATTCTGTCTTTGTCCATGGCGGGTTTGGCCTTAATTTGACTCACGTCACGGTCACTTCCACTTATGGGTATGCTATCATGGCCAGTGCTCCCCCTAAAACATTGATTAAAGCGCCAGGTGTAAAGGTCTTCCTTGAAAGGTGTGTCTTGGTGAACAACCGGATTGGCATAAGGATGTCAACGACTTTTTGCTTAACTAATACGGACGACTTTTGTTCAACGGGTGACCAAACGCTTGTTGTAAAAAACAGTCTTATACTGGGAGGTAATGAAACATTAGGCACTGGTGATGCAGTCAGATTTGGAATGAGTTTCCCCAAAAAAAACAATAGCCGTGCAGTCTTGAAGCCAAGCAAAGAAGAGGTGTATTTGTCGCCAGATTTTGAAGCAAAACTACTTCTTGAAAACGTTACTTTTCAGGGGTTACATGATTGTGCTCTTTCAGTTAGTGTAGAAAGGAATGTTAGTGGACTGATTTCGGTGAAAAACTGCAGGTTTCTTAACAACACTCAGTTTGTGAATCGACTAGATGAACGAGCAATTGTCCAAATTGAGTTTACGAATGTCGATCCACCCCAATGTCCGCATAAAAGAAAAGGAAACAAAAGTGAGGAACTAATGTGGAACAAGACATTTGAGTTACCGGTAATATTTGAAGATACTCGATTCGAAAACAACGCTGGTATCGCTGGAACTTTGAACTTGTTAAATGGCAATGCCACGTTGAACAACTGCACCTTTAAAAACAACGAAGGAGTAGCCATGGGAGGTCAAGTGTATCTGAGGACAGGTTTTGGAATTCTAAACATCGTTAACAGTAGTTTCCACCAAACAAGTTCGGCGGAACGTTACCGTGGATCGAGAACTGGTTGCTTTCTTCAATCTGAGAGCGCTGGTCAGCTGAAAATTGAACAATCGTCCTTTACAGCTGATGACAATAGGCAATACGATCCAATCTTTGCAGCTACGAAAAGCAGTTCCATACTGATCGACGACTCATCCTCCTTTCGATGTCCAAGCGGAAGGCAAATCACTATCGAGAAAATCACCGAAGAAGACGGATTTGAACTTGTGAAGGGGAGTGAAACCTGCTGGATAAGAGTGCAATATGTCAAATTACTCTGTGAAGAATGTCCAGATGGTCTCTACAGCTTAGAGAGAGGATGGGCCAGTGGCTTCCATGTTCACGAGGAAACCAAGTGCATCAAGTGTCCCTTCGGAGCAAAATGTGAGCGTGGAAACGTTTTAGCTCAAGAAAACTTTTGGGGTTCTAAAGTTAATAGAACCTCATCTACTCTGCAATTCATTCCATGTCCATTGGAGTACTGCAAAACTCCAGCTGATACAACTACACACGCGTACAATGGTTGCTATGGTAGCAGGACAGGTGTGTTATGTGGCGAATGTGCTGAGGGATACAGTGAAGCCTTGTATTCCACGTCATGTCAAAAAAAGGAAAAGTGCCATGATCATTGGTTTTGGTTGGTGAGCCTGATTTACATACTAGCATTTGCACTGTACCTTGTTTTTAAGCCTCCTGTCTTCACGTGGCTGTATCGTCAAGGTGTTTGGTTTAGGAGTACATCCAATTCTAACAGCAGACAGGAAGCACCAAACGGAGATAGCAGAGATAAACACGATGCTGGGTACCTGAAGATCACTTTCTACTTTTATCAAGTTGCCGAGATACTGATGATCACGTCCACAGAGACCACTGCTCACGTCATCCCTTTTGTTACACCAATCGTTGCACTATTTAATTTCCAGGTGAGGAATTTTAAGGGCAGCATTGGATGCCCATTTCCTGGCTTCACTGTTGTCACCAAAGAGCTGTTTTTCTCCTTGAAGTTCCTGGCAACCTTGCTCTCCATTCCCCTAATTTACGCCATCCACCGAGCTATAAGCAGGTTCCGCCCCATTCCAAAGCCTTCGCTGAGACTATACCGGGCTGTTGTTCTGGAGACCCTGTTACTTGGATACAAAACTCTTGCGGATACATCCCTTACTCTTATGCACTGCGTTCCCGTGGAGCTGGAGTGGCGTTTGTTCATAGATGGAAACATTCAGTGCTGGCAGTGGTGGCAGTACTTGCAAATTGTCTTCATCTTGGCATTCATCATCCCCCTTGTTCTCGTCCTTTTCTGGGGATTGCTGATGCTTTCTAAAGACAAAGTGTCCGCCAAAGAGTTCCTGACATCATGCGCATTTCCTCTGCCCTTTCTTTTCATCTGGTTGTTTCGTTGTTGCAAGAGGAAAAGATATACAAGCCAGTACGAATACCTCCCGGGCAGCTCCAAGGATACCGATGACATAAAAAGAGTTCTTTACGACCCATTCCGTTCAGCTTCTGATGGTGACCACGGTACTTTGTACTGGGAAAGCGTTCTCGTTGGTCGAAGGTTCCTTCTGCTAACTATTAGCACCTTTATCACCGATCCTTTGACAAGATTTGTCTGTTTAGGAATTGCATGTGTTCTGATTTTGGCGCATCATCTCCTTATGAGGCCATTCCGCGACCGAAAGGCCAACATCTGTGAAAGTCTGTCTCTTGTGAGTCTGACTGCTATCTGCACGTTCAACTTGGCTAAAGTTACCATTATCGCCCAAGGGCTCGAGCCTGCTGGACCGAAGCAAATCCTTTTCCATGCTCTGAAGTGGATCGAGGTTGCCCTGCTTGGCTTCCTCCCAGCCATGGCCTTCATCCTTGTGGTTCTTGTGGCTTTATCTCAAGTCGTTCGCCTGCTGTACCATTGCATGAAGCTTTTGCACCGATCAAACACGATCATTGTGTAGCTGAAGATACTGATGACGGATTAAAAGACGCTTCAATGTCGTAATGGTACTTTTGCTGTTGTTTTTTCTCTTATGTCAGCGTTGTCAGTTTGAGGACATTAAGCTTCATGTAGAGTTTGACTAATTTGATACATCATTATTAATAAGAGTGTTTAACTAATAACTTGAGTAGAAGGATTACATCGGAACTTTTTACAGTAAATTTAAAGTGGCTATTCAAAACACTCCCTTTGACAGTATCTTGGTAAAGGTTCATTAAAAGGTTTAGGAGCTTGTACATATATGCTTTTAAAAGTAGAGAACGAGTTTTTCATTTAAGCTTGGCTGTCATATCAGCGGTGTAAAAGTACTAGGATTTTTTCCATCTGAGTAGAGACAGTTAGATGAGTTTACAAGACAGTTTTCCCAAGATTACGTAAAGAACCACCTCAAATTCGGTGCAAGAATACTGAGTGGGGAAAACTTGATGACAATTTATTATCGGAGATTGCCAGTCTTTGAGCTTACATAATGTAGGTGACGAAGAATTTCCTACAACTTTACCGAAAACCTATTTGGACGAGCACTTGTATAATACTGACCGGGATCAGTTTCCTCTTCTGGAAGCAATTTTAGAGCAGTTTGTTTATAAATTTTGTTTTCTCATACTTGAACTATTGTTAGTCGATTATTTTTTAAGGTTTTAGTTTCTCAAAGGTGTTAGTTTTCGAGATATTAATCAAGGAATGTGAATGCCATGCTCTTGCATCGCGCATTGAAGTCTTAGGCCGTTATTATTACCTGATTATATATTTAGAACCTTGTTTTTTTTTTATTTGTTAATCAAATTGTATGCGCCATTATTACGCGCTCGCATGCATAGGGAAACCTTAATCCAGGGGACAGCCCTTACGGGAATTGTGAAAGACAAGTTTACTATGTAAGTTACCTATGTAACAATTCTATCGTTATATGGTTATTTCCTTCTACGGCTTATTCTGGATTTTTCTGGATTATAGTTTGTGACCAATGATTTCACATTTCCTCCGGATAGAGGTGTCTCAAATGAGGGGTTCCATCCTATTGAAGTCGATTTCAAGTTAAAAGCACCACTCTGCAACGAAATATTTAGTGTCCCTGTCAATAAAACATAGATAAGCTTGGTCCATTTTGACGCACTTATTTTTTTGTAGTTTATCGTGGAATGGGTTTGATAGAAATCCAAATTTTTGACATTATTTTTGCTGTAGGTGTGATCAATCAGTCGATAAGCTGTAGAGAATTGTACCTCTAAGAAACAGTCAAAAGGTTCCTTTATGCTGTCAATTAAAGTGTACTGTTTTCTGCTACGTCATCTCCTTTATTTTAGGTATTCAAATCCCATGCGTACCCGGGTCGGTTTCACCCCGTTTAGCGTTGGTCTAATGTAAAAGTTAGCACTCGGACTTCCTTTTATCTTTGTGATCATCGTACAGAGCGCGAGTGATCGCGAGCAGGATAAGAACCACGCGCGCGGAATTTAACGAAGGCGAACGCGGGAAAATAGGGAGTCTTCTGCTTGACGTGCGCGGCTCATGGTGATTGATGCGCACCAATGACTTTTATTCAAACAATTGTTCAGTTGTCCCCAAAACTGATGATTTTCTACTTAGCTTCCCATCGTTTTCTCAGTCTGCAGAACAATCATGATTTTTCTGCCAGCGATTTTTCCCCTCCTCCCTTGCACCCCACCTAATTAGCCTACCTCCATTCGCGGGAAAAAAATGAAAGGAAAAAAAATTACTGAGCCTGTTCTTAAGTTAAGAAACTTTTTGCAACGTTTCAAGAGACGGTTTTCATCGTCGAGCGGGGAAGGGGGGAGGGGGGGTTGTTGTGTCATGATAAAACTTACCTGATCCCCTAGTAAGACTCTGTCTCTCATGACCTCCCCCCTTAACTCCCCCCCGCCCCTCTTTCATTGGCAGTTAATTTGCAGTCAATTTTTTACATTCCCCCTTTTAAACTACGTTGCCGACAACTGATCCCCCCAAGTAATGGGCTCCCGTCCCCCCTTAATTATCCCTGAAGTCATGTGATCTCCCCCAATTTCTCCCCCCTTTCCAACCACGTGGTAAATAATGACCTTTCCCTTATGCTAAACGCACTGTCAAAATATTCGACGATATCCTTTACACACGCAACACAATTCAGTGAGTCTTCGACGTTTCGTTTTTTTCTGCACCTGCTTCAAGTTTTTGCGATATTTATCAGATAGTTTCACGCGCTTTTCATCGGCAACGACACCTTCATGTCTGTTTTACGTGCTATTAAATTGTCTTTGTTTTTCCATTATCACTATTATTAATAATTTTACGGAGTTGATAACAATCTTTGCATTTAATTGCAATTGTCCATTTATCTCGATAGATTTTTCCGCGATAGTGACCCAGGAGCAATATAAAGCCATCATTCAGGAAAAGGTTACTCAGCAAACTGCGGACGTTATTCTCATAACATGGGTTTGTTTCGAAAAACAAAATCCGGCAGAGAGTGTTAAAATCGACAGCTGCAAAAGAGAAAATGCTTTTCTGATATTTCCGGGGCTTTTTGACAAATTAGCAGATATTAAACTGACCTACCGTGTCAAAATAACCTCACTCGAATTATTTATTATTATCTTATTCCTTTCACTTCATTTCTTCTCGAGCGATATAAGGCACGTTGATCGTTTGTTTCTCGAAATCACTTATTTTAAGCCAAACACGTTGCTTGCACATTCTTTTGTCGGAACAGGAAAACTGCGGCTTTCGTTTGGCCTATTTATAACCTGTGCTAGATCAAATTTCTTCCTAGGGGGACTCGTGTTGGTTAAGTGACGTGTAAATAGCGACGTACTATTTTGCAATTTAAATTGCTTCCTGTCTTAAATTTTTTGACAGGCAACGTGAAAGCGATCATTCATTGCGACAGAGGAGTGTTGTAATTTACCTTGGTTTGTGATGAAACACGGGAAGTTCGATCCCAATTTTCACTTTCCTATTGAAACGCCAAGACTTGTTAAATCTTTGGTTACGCTATTGTGACATTGCGACCGAAACATCAGCCTTAGGCCCTCCTTGTTGACTAAAAGTTTAAACTCTGAACGTTTGAACTTGAATCAAGCCGAGAACAGAACGGAAATTGCCATAAAGGAACGACCGTTGATTGATTGTTCTTCTATAATCAGGAAAATCTGTTCAAGGAATAATATGCTCTGGCGAAGACATAATTCGCAGTGATCTGCTGTCATCTAAAGTTCAGCATGAATCACCCATCTGATGAACCCGACGACAACCAAAATTTCCACGATGAAATCTCCTCGACTCTGAAAGGTACGTGGCTGACACAGATACTACTAAATGGTTTAATATTGGCAGCCGTGTTAGATCAGAATAATAATTTTCACCTATAAGAGTGACTGATTTGTAGATTTTAACGTCGTGCAAGCGAACAGAGAATTATTAGAAATTTGCGTGCGCGGAATATGGTAAACAAACGCGTTGTTCACGTCAAATAAAAGTATTTCTTTCGGGATTAAAATGTTTTTTCTTTGCTTTGGTTGAGCCGATGAAAGAGACATCATCTTGAGCCTTCGGCAATAAATTTTCCGTACAAATCCACTTTAGTTTTCCCTAGAACTGATATAAGGTAAGAATAGTTCTTTTCATTTTAAGCGAAAACCTGAAGACAACGACAAATGAGCGGTTGAAGAAACCATGCAAAATATGTACAACAATTCTCTGTGTATATTTATTCCTCTTTGATCGTTGACAGAGGTTTCAAAAAGGAATGTTCGCCAGCTATTTTTGTTTCTATGATAAAATGGCAAAGCTTCCGAAAAAAAAACTAATTTCTCATCGTTGTTTCACATTTATTTAAAATCACACGGCAAAACAATAGAATGGCGGACGACGGAAAATTAGTTAATGGTTATATTGATTTGCTTTGGATGTTCAATCTATATACAATGGCGTGCGGCAGGATACCTCTAAAATGTAAACGAAGAAGAACGGAAATCTCACGGCTACTTCTTTGAACAGGATTTCAGACGAGTTGGACGGGTACACGAAATTCTGCAAACGCCGCACTTTTTTCAAACTAAAATACATCAAGTGTTTCGATAATAACAACAGGATAATATGCCACAGTAATAGAAGTATATTACCATAACAATGAAGGAATTAAACAAGATATTTTTATATCGAGCGAACTTTCGTCCGAGGTCTGAACAAAGCAAATTTCCGTCGATTCCCCGAATTTGTCAAAGGCGCAGAACGGAAGGAAAAACATAATATAAAAGTTCAGACTGCTGTTATTTTTATTTTATTCATGTATTAGATGTTTTACCATTCATATGCAAATTAAATTTGGAGTAATCGTTTTAAAGAATAATCTAAAATGGTTTTTCAGTGGGAAACCAATGAATATGTCCTTTTTTATTTCGAATTGTGTGACTGTGTTTTCGTTCTCAGATTACACGAGAAACCGAGAATGGCGCGCGTGAAAATCAACACTGTGGTGAACAAATTTTAAATTTATTATTTCATTTCAAAGAGTTGTTAAGAGGATTCAAAGACGTTCATTCGGATAAAGGACTTTCTTTTTTAAGACTAATTTTTATTTATACCAAATATAATTTGGCGATTACTTAATCCACATGTGGTTTGTTCATTTTCATTTCTGTTAATTGGTTCTCGAAACATCTTGGTATTATTGTCAAAATTCTTCTAAAATGCGGAATCAAAATATGTTATCGCGGTGAATTCAGGGCGTGCAACAAAGACATTCAAATTCCAGTTCAAAGTATGAAGAAGAAGTGTTTTACAGCGAGCAAAGTGAAATTACATGACGAGTTCGATTTTCTCAGCGAAATCGGTCACGCACCTTCGGTGGGTGTAAATCTGTTAAGACTTTGCAAGTACTTATGCTTGATTTTTCAAAGCCATCAATATCATAATTACCATGCAAGGCATCTGGAAGGAAATTTCAAATTGGGTGTATACATTAAATAAAGTAATGAGTTGCGATGTAATTTTTAAATATAACTAATGAGCATTACGTAGTCATTCCTTCGAAAACTATTGCGTAATCTACTTTCGAAAGCGAGTACTCTCCTTATCCATAAAGTATAATCTCTTGAAGTTAGTTAGTGCTCTTTGTGCTTGGGATTAAAAACACCATAATAGAATTGTTCCTTGATATTTTGCAATGGCATCGTTTCCGGTAATAAGAGAGGGGGCGGAGGAAGAAGAACGAGTGGGGTGCAGCCGCAGGGACGGTTGTCGCCATGTGTTAGAGACACCATTTCACCTCTTTTCAATTAACTTGTCAAAGAAACGTCAATATTTGTACTTAAATAAATTAGGGTGGGATTACTGGTGAGAAAAAATATGTATTGTAATCAGTTGATATTTGGTGCAAAGTTCATAGGGCCGTTAGATTCGTTGAACCGCCGTCGTTGATTTTGACAACGAGTTTGTGATTGTATGGAGCCCGAGCCGGGGAGGTGACCTAACGTAACAGTACTTCGTTTAGCCTTCCCTTTTGACTAGATTCTGGGGAGGGTGTAGTAACCGAGAGCCCGGGGAAAATGGTTCCTCGTGATAACTACTTGGTTACAGAAGTATACTTCGCACTGCATAAGTTTGAATTTGTAAAATGATACTTGTTCTTATTCCCCTTCTACGGGTGTTTGCACATTGTGTGCTGAGGCTCGTGTTCAACGCCCTATATTAGGTCCATAGTATTTAGAAATCTAGACAGACATTTACTTTGCACTCCCTATTCAATTCATTCATTATGTCGTTTTTTCACACAGACGTGGAGATATTTCTCAGTGACCTCGCGGAGGAATCACTTCAGTTACATCTCGAAAAACAAAGAGATGAGCTCCTTGAGAAGGTAATTCAACTGAAAAAGAAGGTCACAGAGTACAAAAACTCTCAGATGGTTACAAATGGAATCAAATCCCCGAGACCCAAAAGAAAAAGCTACCCGTTTGCGGCTGTAAAGGACAGTATGCATACATACGCTGCGCATTTACAAAAAATAAACGTGGATGTGAAACCTAAGCACCCAGGCTCACCCGAGATAAGGCGGTCAGTGGATAAGCCTAAAATGCGCCCGCGCTCCGTGTCGTGTCCCGAAATTCGCTTCACTTTAAGTCATGCGTGGAGGACGTCCCTTCCTAAGGTTCCAGAAAACGAGGAGCTCAAAGTAGATGGAGACAAAGGATCCTTATCAGAGGAAGACTAAATGCTAGTTGCGTCAACAGGTTTATGTACAAATTTCTTCTTCTCGAAATCCAGTCCTCTATGCATGTTGACTCAAAAAGAATGGAAATAGAATTAGCTGCGCTGAATAAAGAGAAAGGACCATTAAATCTTCCAAGAGTAAACAGTTGAAGGCAGAGCATAAGATGTTGTGTTCATTACCTGTGCCCCAGTCTTCCTCGCTGTTCGTGGAACGAACCACAACCGTACGCGAAGTGTCCTGAGATGGTCATAAATGAGTACTAATTGGATAAATTAAACCTGGGAGAGTTTGAAGCCATGGATCCACACTTATTTAAGGTCTTAGTTTCGTTACGGAAGAATAACATTTGCGCTCGAGAGCGACCAGTGAGGTCACGCAGACTGGGTCACGCGAAAAAATAACATTGATATACTGCTGACAAGTGCGAAAGTCACATAAATTAATAAAGTAATAGTGGTAATATAAAACGGAAGTTATCTTAACTTATTTGACTTCGACTTGGAGCCGATCTAATATGGAATGTGTATCTGCTTTTCTACATTTTTATTTATTTGAGAATTCTATTTGCTTGTGCACGTTGGGTAATAAACTCGCTTTCACGCCGAGTGTGCTTACATGTCACTGGATTCTTTGAAATCTTTAATGGTTAAACGTTTCTGACCATATGGATCGACAAAACAAGAAAATCGAACTGAAAGCTTACGCATACCCCTTTCTACCCTCCTCGCGTTTTATTCGGATTGAAAGCAGTACATCATTTGTGCGGTGTCAGGAGCCCCTGGTTTATATAATTATAATAATTTATTTCTGCCGGTTCTCATTTTCAAAATTGAAAAAAACAACAACAACTAGAATTCCGTTCTATAAGGTATCCGCGTGGAGAAATTTAAGGGGGGGGGGAGGATTTCAATTTTAAGCTTTGGGATGCGTCGATTCCATCATATAAATATTAATTACTAATTCAGATGGATAATCTCTTATACGGAAGATTCTTTTCATACGCAACCGCCTAAAAGCTATTAAACTCGATCCAATTAAAAAAAGGAAAAAAAAAAAAAGAAGCAGATTCATGGTGGACAGCGAGGAGCTATCGAAAATACGACCTCGAAGAAGAGAGGAATTATTTGAGGTGAAAATTTAGTGTGCGGACGTCAGGGAAACAGACTTCCGCATCCGTCTACTCCTAAACCGGGAACTTGGGTACTAAATGAGCCCGTGAGTATTCCGCTGAAATCGAACATGGCGGACGGACGTGATGTTTTCGCGACGTTGGCATGGATGTGATGGAAAACGTAGTTAAATACAGAATCTTTGTTAAAGATGGAGATTCTTTTGCCACAGAAAGCAAGTTGGAAACGCTTTTGGCTCATTACCAGGTTTTTCTGAGTCCATTCATCGATGATTTCATTTGGCAAGTCGAGCCTTTCTGTCTAGTGACCAAAGCCGGAAAAGGTTCGTTACTTCACAGCTAACGTTGTTGGAGCAATGCAAGCTAATCTTTCCCTTTTATAACAGAACAGTAATCATTCGGGCCGATATTTTTCGGTTTGGAAAAGACGCTACCCTCACATGGCCCCTCTACGTCCAAACTAGAGATTGGCTTGTTCGTGTTCGTTTCTTGTATTATCTTGAAAAGGCTAAACTGCAGAATACCCGGTAACTTTGGTCCGCCTCACTTACATGTGTCGGGAGGCTCTGAAGTTTGAGGCATAATACAATAGACGCTATTCTTATTCAATGACATGTAAATGAGTGGTCGGGTATTCTGCAGTTGCTCCGTATGTAAAATAGATTTTTAAAGTGAAGATTACATCGAGCTCTCCCATTAGCAGAGGAAATTTGAGAGTTATAATGAGCTGAAATCTAAAGCAAGGAAAACACATGATACACGAGCTGAGGCTAGCTCAAAATTAAAGGGCTGAAAATTCAATAGTTCTAGTACCTTCGATTTTTTAGTAAAAGGTTTCTTTATTTCCTTACATACTTTTCCCCTTATTTCCATTTAGGAGATAATCCAGCTCACCTTCATGGAAAGACAAAGTTTGGCGACAATATTGATGATGAATGGTTTATTGTATGTCTTCTCTTCAAACTTTCAAAGGCATTTCCTGAAACATGTGTAAGGTGAGAGAAGGAGTGGAGCCATGTAAGAATATTGAAAATTCTTTAAAGTAGCCTTAAAGAAATTTTAGGTATTTCTGCAACATTCTGATTAGCCTCTTACTATTTTAACTAGAATTCATGTAGTATCTGTAACAAGCAAATTTAAAGTGAAAAAGAAAAGAAAAGAAAAAGATTTAATCTGGTTTGGCTTTCAACTAAATTTCTTCATGTTAAATTAAATGAACTTGATACTTGTATTACAAGAACACTATGAATTTGCATGATGTTTTTTTTAGGTGATCTTCTTTAACCTTCATGCCTTGAAATTTCAACAAGTTTAATTTCCATCTGATGTGTACTTTCTTCTTTAGTATATCTGATAATGATGGTGAATTCCTGTTGATTGAGGCAGCTGATTTCCTACCAAGGTGGCTGACACCAGACAACAGCAAAAACAGAGTGAGTTCCAACAATGATTACTGCAATGTGTTCTTGCAAAAACTGAATAATGAAATTGTTCACCAGGGCAACCTGGAAGAATGTTTGGCAAGAAGATTCCCATTTGGCGAAGCCATGAATGACTTACTTAATTCCCACACTTCCATAAATGCAATACACTGAATGCAGTAAACTCCCTCTTGAAATAGTAAATTTTCTAAATGCCCCTCTCTCTAATAATAATTCCTTCTTAAGAAAAATTTAGTGTGGCTATTAGTGGAACCCATGGCAATATGCATTAAAAAATTTCATAATAGGAGCCTATTTCCTAGTGAAATCATTTGATTAAATACTCAGGTGCTGGCTAATGAAATGAAAAATAATTTGTCATCAATTTAAAAGAAGGAGAGTACACCTTAATATCCTGACACATGTTTATCTTTGTTAGATTAGAGCTGAACAATGTTTCTTAATGGTGAATTTCAGGTTTTTGTCCACAATGGCAAAGTTCACATTATTCCCCTTCCTGCCACCCCAGGAGAACTGACAATATACCCAACAGGTACGCCCATATTGCATCAGGCGCTAAAGTTAGTATTTGGGCCTCATAACACTGAAGCAGCAGCAAAGATTCAGGAAACAATCCGGCAAAGGATTGCAATGTGAGTGAACAGAGTACAGTATTGCATGTTATCCAGGATTAGTAGCAACATTTCTAGTCTCTTCATTTTATTCAAACTTTGTTATTTTGATTCTTGAGTTACAGATGTGTGTATCAGTATCCCATATTTGACCTAATTTAACTGTTAGGCAAAGGAAAATTCTGTTTATAAGACTTCTTGGATAAGAATAATAAGTGGTAGGCCTTGCCCCCTGCCTCTTCTCTGTACTGCTGACCACATGCTTCTCACAAAGAGCAGGGAATATAACTCCCGGTGTTGTGGTCTGGCAATGCCATTGTTTTTATACAGGCCCCCATTTAAACCAGCTGAACTGAACTGGACCAGCCAGTCCAAATATCACAAACACATCCAATACATGTATATGTACATATCAGAGGGCCTCTTTAATGCTGTGTAACTATCACAGACTGATGAAGGCTGAGTGATTCAGCTGAAGTAAATTCACCAAAATCAATAGTTTCCAATCAAATTATTCTGCACACATGAACACATTATTTATGTTCTTGTACTCATCTTTTTCTTTTCCCTTCAGAATTTCTCAGAGCAGCTCTCATCATGCTCACTGCTATGTACCAGCAGAAGTCAAATTTGTTCTGGATCAGAAGCCATCTTTAATCAGTCCTGTTGTACAGGCATTTTATGGGCGGGATCCTGTTGACATGAAGGTTTGTTATGCTATAATTAACAATCAATATTCTAATATGCTCAATGAATGTTTTTACTCTGCTTAACCAGTGCAATTATGTCAACATTTTAATTATGTTTTGTCTGTTACAGGCTTGCAGAACAATGGATCAGTTCACACTGAAAACAAGGCTTCTGTCAAGGGTATGTGGCATTCTGAGATTCTCTTTTTCAATGAGCATGAATGCCAGAGCTATGAGACGTGTGTAAAGGCCAACATTTTTCAAGAGTCAAGTGCACAAATTTGAGTTTTTCAGTCACAGGCTCTTTGATATTACTTGATATACAATGTCCTCCTTTATTTTAAGCACAACAGGTGATATAGATTTTCAAACCATTAGAGCAATCCTTTTACCAGTTTAATGATCAAGAATTCCGTGTGATTTCAGTAGGTATAAGGAAGTACTATGAGCAACAAATTTTAATCAGTAACCACCTGAAAATACATCTACAGCTCATTCACTGTGTACTTTCTTTCCATATGAGCAACACCCAACTCACAATGTCTGGAATAACAAAGTTTATTACGTTTATTTCCAGATACGTTTTACACGATGCCTCTATGCACAGTTATCCCAACAACCTTTCAATCCCGACAAGAGGTCAGAGTGGACTCCACCACCAGTTACTGATCCACATTACAAAGCTCATGAGTTGGGTCTGAAATTGGTAATAATACCACAATTAAGAAAAAACTGTTATTAGAAATAGTTGTAAGGCCCAATTAGAACTGACAGTTATCCCTGGTTCTGTCACATGAAGCATCGGATGGGTAATTAGTCCATCTTAGATATCCCCCCCAAATTTTTTTTCAGTGGTGCCCATTAATGCACCTGGCCTCAGTTGATTGAAGGATGGATAGTGTTATCCACTGGATAAATCTCTACAGAATGGATAGCGCAATATGTTTTTTTTAACTTGTATGTGCTGGATAATGATTAATCTGTTGGATAACCTTATCTGCTCTTTGAAAAACTGCGCCCTGGATGTAGAAATGCTTAACCCAGTAACAATGCTTCAGACCAGAGATGAAATTAAGGCATCAGTCCAGATTTTTGTGTTGGTCATGAATTGGTGCTTTAGAAGTGTAGTGGTGAGGTGGAATTTTTAGTGTTTTGATTAATGGTAAGATTATAAAATTTTTTAGTCTTTTGTATGTAGGTGCAATGAACACAGGCTCTTTTTTCTTTTCAAGGCTTGTGGATTCCAGATCTTATGTAGAAGAAGTGGAGCAAGCCAACCGGATTCAAAGGTACATGTATTTGCAACATAGCTCTAGTTTGATTCATCACAAGGGTGCTGTGATGATAATCATCCAACTATTTTATTCAGACCCTAGAGTATCTATCTTTGAGTAAGTCCACCAATCTGATTAAAGATGAGAAACTGTGTGGAACTACACTTTCTTCACTACGCTGCCAGTTAGTTCCTCTCATGGAACTTAAGTATCAGAACTGCACATGAAGCATTGGGTATAGGCTATTAGAAAAAAAAACTTTCAGTTAACCCTTTAACTCCCAGAAGTGATAAACATGAAGCTTCTCTCTATGATATCCTTACATTACCCAGCAAACAGCTGATGAGAATATTAAAACTTATCAGGTAGAAGTTGTTATCTTGATCCAACACCAAATTCTCATAACTAATTTACAAGGATATGTGTAGCAACCAGAGGGGAGAATTTACAATCAGATCTTGGGAGTTAAAGCAGCTCATCCAACCAGACCTTATTAGGGTTTGGGTATGTGGTTACAAGTATTGTTACCAGTTTCTCCTCCTGTATGGGATGCCAGTTTCTCTGTCAGTTTATCAGTTCCCAATTATGTTCCAAGGTGGAGAGAAGCACTGTGAGTGTAAAGTGTTTTTTGCTCAAGAACCCACACTTAACTTTTATTTGACAATGCAGGTGATAGATGAGCCCAATGGCCCAAAATGGGAGAGATTTTGTGCCTGTCTGAGTGATCAAGGTTATTTTAAGGTTAGTGTGCATGCATTCATTTGTTATGTTCTTTCATGACCTTCATACACCAGATTACAAATATTAATAGTTAAAGGGGACTATTAGAAATTTGACATTTGCAATACTCTGTTTTGTAAGACTTGTTAGGGCTGTAGTCAATGATGTCCTTCCATTTGTCTTGTGTTTACGTAATAGGGAGAAATTGAAGGATCAAAATTGTATCAGGATCTTCTGAAGAAGGCTAAGAAGCAATTCAGTGAGAACTTCTCAACTCAAAACAGGTTTGTTCAGCATTCATTGCTCTGTTTCTTTCATGGGGCAGGGGTGACCATGGCTGATCCCTAGAGGCCAAAAAAAAGGACATTTAGAACTTCTTAGAAAATGATATTGATTAGAGAGTTTCTAAGTGTCCTGTTAGGTTTAATTTATCTAAAGTCAAGTCGCTTTTAACTTACTTTCATGAATTTGCTGTTGTGGCAGATGCTGAAAACCCTTTTTCCTGGAACAACAGTTGTTTACTTTTCACACCCTCTCAAAGCTCACTAATTTTGGTTGAACAGGTGGGATGTACCTGACTTTTGTTTGTTGTCATTTGTGGGTTTTGTAACTACAGGACAGATCCAGGACAGATTATTTTGACAATGTTGAAGGATGCTGTGATAGATGTGGAAAAGATGAAGGCGGAAGAGCTGCTCCCAGAAGACGGTAATAAGAAAAATACCATAACTCTTTAGTTTAACCCGATTCATTACGGTTTGTGAGTGTTGCAAATACGCAACACTTTGACGACTTTGTGGTTTGCAGTCTGTGCTAATCGCCCTCAACTATCCTTTATTCTGCCTGATATGTTTAAGGGTTTGTGATCTTTAACCCTTTAACTCCCAAGATCTGATTGTTTATTCTCTCCTCTAGCTTTTACTCATTTTCTTTTTAATTAGTTACGAGAATTTAGTGTTAGATCAAGAGAACTTCTACCTGAAAAAGTGAGTATTCTCATCACTGGTTTGCAAGATAAAGTATCGATAGCATGAGGAGAAGGTACATGTTAATCACTTCTGGGAGTGAAAGGGTTAAGGAAATTTTCTTACGAGGTTTGAAAATAACTGGAAAGAGTTTGACCTATCTCTTTTAATAAATTGTGTGACAAAATTCTCGAACGTGGTTGGTAAACAGACCAAGTTTTACTCTTCAAGTACAGTACCCTCGTCACACTTGTAATTCTCCCATTCAGCGACCGCTCATGTCTTGGTAAACCTGTTGAGATGGGCCGTTGTGATTACTCCGATTTTGGTCTCACGACATTCAATCGAAATGAAAATGACAATTTGACAAAATAAATTGATTTATGAAACAAATCGATTTAAACCTTTTTCAATATTTGGTTTAACAGATGACAGCTGGTTGAATTTGACTGACCAGGATTTAGAGAACATGCTTTCAAAGTACCGCGATCTAAACTCAAGAAAGACTGGAAGAGACACCCACACAAACACGCCCAATCACAACGTATGTACTTCAAGTAACTTTTAGAAGTAAGAGCGCAGTTAAATCTCGTTTCTCTCCCTTTTCATTCCAAGAAATGTGGTTTGGGAGAATACATCCGCTTCTGGGGCTTTTCATAAATTAAAAGTGCCCCTCACGTCCCTAAATCGTGGAGAGAACTGCCGAAAAGATAGCATTCACCACAGATAGAGAGGGATGGAACCTCTGTAAAAATTTTAGTACTTTGATTGTGAGTCGGAGAGTAGATCCTTTACGACTTGCAGTATCGACATTTCAAAATTCTTTTCTTAAGATGTCCTTCCGTCTTCCACTCTTCTGATTTGATTTTAGTATTTAAAAATAATTATTGTTTTTTGTGGCTACTGCCTCCTATGAAATAGGAGGCGAGGCCATCGCATGTATGTCTCAGGGATGAGTGAGTGAGTGGGTGAGTGGTTGTAAGTAACAATAGAATTCCGATCTTGGCCCAATTTTGACCCGATGTTTCTCGGTGCTTCTTATTGTTTTTTTATTGAGAATGCGGCAGGTTTTTCTGTTTTGCATGCACACACTACCTTCTAGCATCATTATTCAAGCTCTAGTTCTCTTCAATGCTATAAAAATTGTGCTGTAGTAGACACATGCAATACTAGTTACGTTACTGCGCGCGAATATTTCGAATTTGTTTGTGGTTTCAGGAATCTTCAGTAGACCTGGATTCCGTGACTCGTACTTTCAAAGCGTTTGTGGACAAGGTTTCCAGTTACGAGGGAGCAGAATTTCCAGGGTAAGAGAAAATAAAATCGTTTTGTTCTTGTGCTCGTAATCTGGAATTGCCGGCTCAAGTTTTCCTTTACTTTGTCCTGTGATTGGTCCAGAAAACTTGCGCCACTCTCTCGACCAATTAGGTGCAAAACTAAAACCAAGCACAAATTGGTCACCCGCGTTTTCCCGCGCTTTAGGCAGTTTGGTTGTTTCTACTTTGAGTTCTCTTGGCTTCCTAAGGTATTTTTATTAGCTCTGATTGGTCCTTTTGATTACTGTGGTGTTAGTTTACGACGCTTAATCGAAAAACGCGCTAAACTCGAACTAAAAAAGAACAAAACCGATGCAGAGAGGAATGAAGGTTATCAGCTCCGGGTTACTAGATTATTATAAGTGTGTCCCAACCACTCGGCCCATGGATGGAATGCTAGTTTATAAAAAAAAGCCCCCAACACCTTGATCACGCGGAAAAGTGAACACAGCAGTCAAACGTAGGACATGCGCAAAGAGATCAATTTTGCTCAGCTGCCTGCCACTTTCCCGCGCAAAGTTTCAACCGCTATCACGCGAGTAAAGACATTGATATGTTCATGCAAATTAAATCTGTAAAAAAGAAACATAAGAAGGGAAAAGGAAAAACCTAGATTTAACGTACATAGGGCTTATTTAAATTTTGGTTTCCTACTGAATGTCGTTTTGTTTAAAGCTTTACCAAGAAAGTTTTACGGCTTTCAAACACCTCGACTTACCCGCTCGTGTGGTTGTTTATAAGACAGCTTGGTTTTGACAGCCTGAAAACACATCACCAAGGCTCTACAACGTTTGTACATGTGCGGACATTTGACCGTTTTGTTCGGAGAGTGTCGCCTCAGTATACAATATTCACGCTGAATTTGGCTTGGATTGTAACTTGAATCTCATGTCCAGAGTCCTGAGCACAAGCCGTCAAACAATCCGATTTACATTAAAATCTTTGAAGTAGCGTTTCGCGTCGATCGCGTATACCAAAAACTTACAGTTGTTACCCATAATGTGTGGTAAGTGAAGTGAAAATGAAGGACAATGTTTCAAAGTTTAGGTGTTCAGTTTTGCTCTCTTTTAGCAGGGATCCTGAGGACGTAGATATTCAATTTGATGCCGACTCTTTCATGGACACCGTGGGGAATTTGTTAGGTACTTATATGCATTCGATTACTTCCAATATGCTTTCTGGAACCATGGTAATGTAGAGGTTTCAGAATATATCAGTTGTTAAATTATCTCTCTGCACACCTCTTACCAAGCGTTCTTATCAATTTCCAGTTTGCTATTTAACATATTTTAAAAAGCTGGGAGATATATCTCGTTCTCATACAGGATTAACACGATGCGACATTCAGTTGAACTAAACCTTCAGCACTTCTTTGGTTTTCCTAGCCTTTCCAAAAACGTTTTGCCCTTGTTTTTTTGTTGTATTTTAAGTGGTAAGCGTGAACGAGGTTGTGTTGTGCAGCGATTAATTTATTGATTATCAGGTCAAGGCGTCCGCCATCGAGATGAAGAAAGTGATTCTGATGCAGACGATGAAGATATGGACTTCTCCTCAGGAGATGAGAGTGAAACTAATCAAGGTTAGGCCATCTCTATTGTGGTCTGTTTACGGTCATGCGCGCCTGGCTGTTATTTGTATTTTTCAACACAGTTTGCCATAACAACAGCAGTCCGAAGAATGACAGCAATCTGATTTTTCACATGAGCGACTCTCGCCAAACAAGTACGATTGACGATTGGTTCATACGTAAGCTGCATTCATCGTAGCGCGTGGGAGGTTTGGAGAACATGAAAGAGGACGAAAGAGGCGTAATAGTTTCTCGCGCACAGCCGAGAGCAACTTTAGCTTTTTAAGTGCTCTTTAAACTTCCCAAGTGCTTCATATCTCAATTAATTCACGCTGACGCAGAAACCAATCAATGCTAATTGGCTGCAGGTTTTTATTTGTTTGTTTGTTTTTTTCTTTCAAATTCTACTTAGTTTTCCGATTTCTGGCGTATTAACTTCAATTTTTGTCTTAGATGTCGAAGCTAGTACTTACCTGAGCAAGGACGACAAAGAAATGAAAACGGTCATGGAAGAGATGGACAACGAACTTGCACAGACATCAATCGGAGAAAGCTTCGAAAAGGTAAGCTTACTATTAATCCCTTCACTCACTCACTGTGATCAGTAAGTGCCGGATTTCTCCGCACAATGTTGATACATGGTGAGACAGAACGGCGATAAGAATTAAGAAAACTCTGATTCACTGAGGGATATTGTCTGATCCAAGCCCAAATTCTCAGGGTTGAAATAGAGAGAAATGTTTGCCAGACAGTAAGGAGAATTGAAATTGAGATCCTCGGAGTGTAAGAGTCAACTGTAATTGATTCCGACCCTTAATTAAAAAACCCTCCCCTTTAATGAACGTTTTCAATTTACTTATGCAAGATATTGCTCAAAATATCTCCTAAAAGAAGATATGGCTCAAAATATTGTCTGATCATTTCATCATCAGTTTGGTGTCTATTTGTTTGTCCGTTTATCTGTCCATCCACCTGTCTGTCTCAGTATCCTTCCATCCATCCTTTTGTCTGTTTGTTTTTCTATGATAATCCTCTCTTTGATTGATCCAGTTATTTATTCCCTTTATCTCTGAACCACAGAGCGGTAAATTACCTAAAGAAACTCGTCAGACCCAAACTAACCATTCCGGTGAACCTCAGTGTGATTCCGACGATGATGCGCCTGTCGACGTAGACTTCAATCTTGTTAAAAACATCTTGGAATCCTTCTCTACGCAACAAGGACTCGCGGGTCCTGCATCTAATATCCTTAATTCGATGGGTGTGTGGCTTCCACCAAATAACGACCAGAGCGATCCCACTTAGCTTCACGTAACAGAAGTGAATCATTGTGTTCAAAGGAACATTCTGGTCGATTTACAGCCAGAATCGGCGCAGAAGAAAGGAGCGAAGAGAGCAAATTTTTGTCTCCTAAACTAACGTCTTCTTCCAAGAAAAACATTTGTATCTCTTGACCAAAGTTGAATACACGTCCAGGTGCTCTGGAACTGCGACTTAGTTAGGGGAACAAAGTTAACGAGCCGACAACAATTCACTTTGCGTCAGATTTGACAGATTCAAGAAACCAAAGTGGTTCTGGAGGTAGTATGGTTGTAAAGTGCATCACATAAGTTTAAAGTTGCGCGTGGTTTTTTCAAAACAAAAAGAAAAGAAAGCGAAGTATAACTCTACTGAAGTGAAAACTGTCAAGAGAATATGTTTTTGCACCGTTGGGTACAAAATTAAACGAGACGAAGTAAAACACATGGTCGCTTTTGGTTATATTTCTTTCAAAGAAATATGTCGAGTCGTTGCATTATACCGGTTGCATTCGTAACAATATCAAAGAAAACTCTCCCTGTTTAATATGGTGTTGAGACAATACTCCACTGCTTAAGTATCGTGACCAGAGGTTTTCGTTCGCAATCCGCGTCAGTTTTCTGTGTCCGCCGTTTCCACCCTCGTTTACTATCATCCTTGGAAAGTTTTTTCTTTCCTTGTCTAAATGTGGTGACTTTCCTCCTTTAAAGTTTCGCAAGTAACTATTCCTCTGCATCGTACTTTTCTCCCCTTCGTGTAAGCGTTTGTTTCCTTCAACTGCCTCACGCACCTTACTAAGTAACGCTGAAAACCGTTAAGTGCTGCACTACACTCAAGAAGCATTCTCAGACGGGGTTAAAGAATGCTTCTGCACTCATGAACGTCTTTCCAAAATGTTTATTATTCAGAGGAGCCAATGAAAAAAAATATAATTATTTTCTCCCTCGATTCGTCATTTGGCGCACGCTTTGCGTTTTTTTTTTTTTTTTAATAATTATTTCCTCCCTCGATTCGTTATTTGGCGCTCACTTTGCTCTTTTTTTCAACCAACTTCTTTATTCCTTTTCGAAGTCTGAGGCCATTGTATCACCTTTATCAAAAATAGTTCTTTTGCGGCACTCTTTCTTTGTTAATTGGAAATGTCCTCATCTTTGTTAATGACAGCTCCTCACGACCTGTTTAATTAGCAGTGTTGACTGTGCATACATCTGTGTTTACTTTCAAAGCGAAGCGGTTAAATATTAAGCAAAAAACCGCAAACTTGTATCGTATTCCATATAGCTAGCTTCGAACGAAAGTGACCTTTATACCAAATGTTCATCGCGTTCCGAAGCATGGAAAAATTTTCAAGAATTTATTTAATCCTCGTGCTTTGTATCGTAACTACGGTGAGCGGCGAGGACTCGCCGGACAGTGCCGTGACTCAAAATTATTGTCCGTATTTCAAAAACCGAGCTCCTGTTCCTCAACCGGGCCTCAAAAATTGTACGTGGTACAAAAAAAATGCCTGCTGTCTTCAAAGCGAGCTGGACTTAATATTCCCGTCAGTTTCGCCCCCGCTTGGAGCGAGTGAGCGATGTTTGCGGTACACCAATTTCCTCATGTGCTACGTTTGCGCTCCCGATCAGAATTTATTTTACGACAACGAACGTTTGACCGTGTGCGGAGGTTTCTGTGACAAATGGTTCGCCGCCTGCGGTGATGCAAAATTCAAGGGAATGAAGATCAAAGAGCTGTTTAAATCAGGAAAAGAGTTTTGTCGAGCAAGGAAATTTTCGGTCGGTGAGGCTACCGGGAAAGATTGTTTTAGTTTTGAACAAAAAATCACGAGCTTTGCTACGCCAAGGCTTCCCTCAGAGCATGCTCTTTGGTTGGCCGCAACAGTGGTTGTCCTGTTTGTGGATAGAAGTTAATAAATGTAGAGGTAAACCAGCTCTTTCATTTTTAATGTTATGTTTTTTTGGCAACCCTTTTCATTAATCCAGATCTGGGTTTGCTGGACAAAAGACGGGGTAGATTGTTATCAAGTATATATCCTTGTTCTGAGAGCATATGCTCTCAACTGAATTTCATTGGGTTTTGGATCGGATTATAAAACCCTTGTATAGTTCTAGTGGCAAAGGAAATAGACAGAGAGAGGTCGGTCTGATTGGATCAAGAGCCATACACAGATCATACCACATATCGGATCACGGATGGGACTACGGATCGGTTCACAGATCGGAACACGGATCAGATCACTGATTGGATCTCCGTTCATATCTTACTCCGCATTAAAAGATAGAGAGAAGAACCTAAGTTGATAGAAACATGGAAATAGGTCAATAGAGGGTTAAACAAACAGTAAATTGAAAAATTGAGTGACGATGTACGGGGCCTTAGTACTGCTGAAAAGGACTCTCAAACTAATTAGCAAGGTTGCTTTGCTTTAGTAAATTTTCTCCATCGCTGAGCAGAGGGTGTTTTCTCACTTCACGTTAGGTCTTCCTTACAAATGCAATGGTACCACAGTAAGTCTGCTGTTTGTATGTAACTGGTGGGTCTTTTAGTTATTGACTAGGCCGCAGTTGTTTTGAGGAGTAGATAGCATTATCCATTCGATAAATCTCTTTATGGTGGATAGCACAGTATGTTTTACTATCTCTTATCTGCTGGATAGCTATTTATCTCTGGACTAGATGGGCCCAGAGTGCCTATTTTTGCTTTCCTTTGACTATACTGCTTGATGAAAGTAGGTTCTACATAATTGCACAGCTACAGGGTTAAACTAAGTTATCTGCAACTGATTGTATTCTAGGTATGCAGCTGCTTTTAAGATGGTGATGGACAAGAAGCTAGATTCTTCTTTTTTTTCATCATAAACCCCTTGGTGAGATGCAGTAAAGTAAATTTCATTGTCAAACTGTCAAGTGAAAAGTTTGCCATTTTGTGAAGACAAAAGTCAGTATACTAAAATGATGACTATGTATGAATGAAGCAATTACCTGAAGAACTCTTGTGGTGTCTTTCTCTCTTGTGTGGAAGAGCATTTGTATGAGATGGGCTGCGTAGAAACTCGGCAAAATAAAACAAGAAAAACCTGCCTTGTTCCCAACACTGCTCACCCTAGGCACATTCCAAACAACAAGAGCTCAGAATGCCAGCAATATTTAGATTTTTGTTAATATCAATATTATGACTACAGGATTTAGGATTCAGTGATATTGCAGGAATGATTGGTACATACCACAGTACAGCATGACCTTAAACTTTTCATGCCAAAAAAATTGAATTTAATTCATTACATTTTGAGTAATTACATAGGCAATCACAATAGCGATTCACCTGGTACAAAAATTGATATATCTTACTCATTGTGCCCTGCATATCTTAATGTATAGATTAAATAACATTGGTGGTACAACTTCTTATACGGGAGGTGCAATAAATATCATTGGCCATATGTCATGGCTCAACAACATTCCTATCTCAAAATAAATCCTTACTTGTTTTTAATTTCTTCTCTCAAATGATATTTTGATCCATTTGATAAGTCTTCCATTCTGTGTAATACATTCTCAAAGTTTTAAAAGTCGCTTGTAAACACGAATGACAGAAAAAATCCGTTGGAAAATTAATCATTTCAGTCAAATAATTTCTTTAGTAAAAAATGATCCTAAATGTGTTTAAGAAATGTCATCACCTTTTGAGGAAAACTGATTCCTTTAAAAGGTATTGTTTTTAAGTTTCTGGCGAGACATGTATTAAATTAACCCATATGTAGTCATTGCTATGACAGCAACTTTGAAAATTTGCGCCAGCAAATGATTATTTTGGTTATAAAACTGTCACACAGACCTGTGTGAAATTAAAGTTTGTTTACATACACACTTAGTTGCTGATAATAAAGGGAAGCTTAAATGTTTTGCCATATTTTATGTGGCGTAAAGATATATTTGGCATCTGACCACAACAGTATTGATGATATGATTATAATTTCCTAACTTTGAACTTATTAACCGGATAATCCTAAGGAAAAACAGGACATTTCCTTCGAACGAAATAGTGTAATGTCTTGCGTAATATGTTCCCGGTTTTGTTTGAGTAATTACTTAGTTTTTTGATAGACCATTTTAATTTAATAAAATATTCGCGTGCAAAAAGTGCTTACTACATCTTGCTTTCAGCCGCAGGCGTAGAGTCTATGTTTCAAGGTCAATGATTACTGTTGTCTGCAACAATAAATGCTCTTTCAAGTAAAATGAATTAACTCTGTATATTAGCATAATTTCGACTCTTTTGTTTTTTATTCCTCTAATGAGAAGGCTTAAAAAACGTGCTTTCCTGAGGAAACGTTTCATATTTTTTCTGCAACTTTTGACATTTACCTTTCCGAAAAGAAGTGGCTGTGAAATTGATAAAGCTACCACGAACTTTTACGCGAATGGTGATATCCAGGCTTACCTTAATACAGCTGTTCACAGTCGTATTTATATCGGCTCGTGGATTACATTAGGTTTTCAACTGTGTGATTTGAAAGACGCGAATAAAAATCCATAATTTGTCATAAAGCCTAACCAAATCGCGTGACGTGTCTCCTCATAACAAAACACAGTGCTTCGCCATAAGAGACAACATTCCTAACACAGCTACAAACTTGCTATTCACGCTTAATTGTTGGGACGCACTCTTTGTGTTTGGTTTTCCTTTATAAGTGAAGCACTTTCCGTGGGCTTCTTTATCCGTTTTGAATCGTCGGGCCTTGCAGAACTCTTGGCCACTTTTATAAACGTGCTTGAGTTTACGCCCTTTCAAGATTGCGTTTTGGCACGCGTTATAGATGTGATCGCAGAATTCTTCACATACGGTCAGAGTAAAATCCTTGAAAAACGTATTTTGATTCGGTGCACATATGTAGCAGTACAAGTAGTTCATATATTGTGCACACTGGCCGTTTGCACCTTCAAGTGGTGATAACTGACGGAAAGCAAACTCAATTTCTTCGTCATGACAGCATGAATTCTCTTTATACCAACTGCAATTTCTCAAATTTTCCTGCCGAGACGGACCTCGATTTTTAAAGTAAGGACAATACTGCACATCGCCGTTCCTTCTTTCAATGCCATCAGCTCCGACAACAAGAAGCAAACTCATCAAACCACAGCATGTCCAGAGTAATGACAAAACAATAAACTGATCTTCCAAACTTGTCTTCATGGCACGATTCTCTTCAAAACGCTCTGCAATATCGATGTCGCTGTTTGTTTACAGTGAAAGTGCGTGATCTTGGACCAATACCGCCACATGTAATGATGACTGATTCGATCACTCGTAGGGTTCAGAGGCGATTACACCTTCCAATTTCAGCGTTCGGTTCGCGCGAACCAAAACATTTTAGCTAACCCTCTATTAGTTGTGGGCAGTCGTTCGTCGTAAGCCACTGCCGGAAATGTAGTAGACCGTAAACATAAATCGTTGAGACTGTAAATTTACCTCGTAACTTGTGTTAATTAACAGGGATGATAATTGACATTCTGTCAGCACTACCCTCAGGGAATCACGAACAGGCGGTAATGGGGCGTGACGGGGGTAAGTTATCTCATCAAAGTTATGATTTAACTTTCGTCCAGAGTATTTGATGGTTACAGAAATTTTGTTGATCAAAACTATTTTGTCAAAACTTCAACGAAACATTTACTATCAGAGCTCGGTTCCAAACGCTATTTTATCTCCGTCAAAAATGCAGGGGGGGGGGGGAAGAGGGGAAGTAAGGGGTAAGGGCAAGTAATCTTTGGTCTTTTGTATTTCAGGGTAGTGTGCTTTCCTAGTTTTAATTCACGTCCTTTTCATGTTGCTCGCGAGCAATTTATATTTGAATGTTGATGTTCATTTAGTGTACCTAGGAAGGGGTCCATTAGATGAGAAGTGATTTTCAGGCCAAGTTAGATGCTGGAAAGTGTCTACTGCATCTTGGGAGTATTGTTTATTCACATTTTTAATGATATCAAAGCAGAGATACAGTCCTGCAAAGACTGCATGATTTTCCAGCCTATAAGATTACCAATGTACCAAGCTAAGAACAAGAGCTTGTGTCCATAGTGATCTTCTGTTTTGCATGGGCTTAAACAATGTGGATTTGTTTGGAAGAAAATGGTTGCCAAGAGATTTAATAAAGTAACACTCCTAATAAATGGACTTTGATTTGTTGAATGGATATATCAATCATTCAACGCCAATTTTTCTTCTCCTATTTTTCTCATGACATACCTGCCTAGCCCAAATATCAGCTCTTTTGACAATTTTATTCCCAAGATCTAGGGAGAAATTCACCCTTCAAGTTTCTATACATTTTATTAAACATTAGTAATGAGAACTTGATATTATAATCAAGATTAAATGGTCCAGTGGATAAATTTGTCTATTACATCTATTTTGGAATCATTGCTGTTCCTTGTAATCTGATTGGCCCTCACTGGTGCAATTTGTTCACGAATTGCACCATTTTTACTTTAAATTGCTTCTTTTTCCGAGCCAATGAGAAAGCTTTACTAAAGTACAACAACCAATTGCTTGTTTAAGGAAACCAATCAAGTTTCTACAAACCAGCTCATTACTGGATCAACAAAACATTTGTACAGACTACAAAAATCCTGTACCTGAGCAACTGAAGTCTGCGATTTCAAAATTGATGTAATAAAGTGGTGATTGAACTTCCTGTTGTGCAATTTTGGTCTGAAATCATACTTATGATTTCAAATCAAACTTGTGCTGTGCACTCATTTCATTTTGAAATCACTAATATGATTTCAAACCAAATTGCAGTCCACTCAGTTCAATTACCATTACTTATCCTGATCATCTGTTCCCGAACCTTTACCCTATCCCTTCCCACCAGTGAGACCTGGTAATGGTTGGCCTCACTGCAGAGTTTTCTGTCGCTCAGTGGTGGAGCATCTGAGCACAGAATCACAAAGTCTGAGGTTTGATTCCTTATAGGGACCAAAGATATGTTAATCCTTTAACTCCCAAAATCTGATTGTTAATTCTCCCTTTCAGCTACAACACATTGCCTTGTAAATTATTTACAAGAATTTGGTGTTAGCCACCTGATAAGTTTGAGTATTCTTGATACCTGTTTGCTAAATAACATATGGATATTATAAGGTGAAGTTACATGTTAATCACTTCTGAGGGTCTAAGGAATAAGGAAGAGTCTATTTGACCACACAGATTAAAATACTTCCCTTCAAGTCTCCCCTAAGGAGAAAAACAGACCTAACTTACCAGGCATTCCATGATTGTACTTAACTGACAACTTATACCGTAACACTAGGAATATTGATTAACAATCTTGAGGGCTTTTTTTTAAGTTTCAGGGTTTTGTAATGTTCCATTATCTTTCACTGCAGACTTGCTTTTAATTTTTCTGGCCTTGCGAAGAAGAAGCTGGCTTTTCTTCTTGGTAGTGGCTGCTTCTTTTCTCAAGGTGTTGTTTGGTTTTCCCTGTAACTGAGCTGTTGAGTCCTCCACACTCTACATTAAGAAAAAAAAAGCAAGGTCGAAAACATATGACAATAATTACATGTGAAGCAAGAATTATTTTTTTATGCTACACATGTCCTTGTTATGTCAAGAATACCAGCACAGATGTACATATTTAACACAAAAAACAACAACAACAAAATTATTCAAGCAGCAATCAAAGCATGAGTGGACTTTTTTATATATAAAGCCTAAACTAAAGCAAGTACTTTAATGCAAAAGGAAAAAACCTCTTTAAAGTATTTTGAATCAAGATGCACTACATACCTCAATGTCCACTTCTGAATCTTCTGATATTTTTTCCACTATCTGGGGGAGAAGACTTGCTACAAAAAAAAAAAAAAAGCAGAAAACAATCTTTAACTAAAATACTCCTGAAGGACCTTAGGGGAGGACTCAAGTCCAGCACAACATGTAAATGATATAGTAACAATTGTTCTTTTTGATTCTTCTTTCCCTCATCCCATCCTCAACAAAGCCTCTTACCTAGCTCAACAGCTATTGGACTGGTCGTTGATGTAACCCTGTTATTAGGGGAACTTTCTTCAAATTTATTCCTAGTGCTGGTATGAATCTTTTTCCTTTTTGAAGTTTTCTTGACAGCTTTCAGTCTCTTTTTTGGACTTTTTTGCTGAGCAGTCTCATCATGTTTCCTTGTGTTACCAAGGACTTTGAATTTACATTCCAATGAATTTGTTTCAGTGGAAGAAGTGTGGCTATAAAAGTAAAGAAATGGAAAATTAATACCCTAGCTACCCTACATTGATATACTTCTAACTTCTTGTCATGATTTTGACACCTTGTTTTACAAACAGATGATGAGAACTGGCAGGCTTAACAGTTAGAGGGTGTTATCTGGATGTAACAATCATTCTCCAATGAAATTTTTAAAGAAATGCAAGGCAGTCCAGGGCAGGGTTACCAATAACTTCTCAGTACTTTATGTGTTGAGAGGAAAGAGGTTGTTGTGTGTGGTTCATTTTTACGAGGAATGTGAGTTTCCAACCTTAATGATGCAATGAGATTTACTTCTTCCTCAAGAATAAACACAAGTCCTGCATCAACAAGTGTCTCATCCACTTTGTAAATCAGAGGCATATCAAAATGAAACTCATTTTGTAAGCCAGAGATTTTTAGCTTTGGCTCATTGGGGTATAATTTGTGAAAAACATCTTCTGTGTGTCTTCTGAAAGCAGCTAGAGTCCATTCCTTCTCAGCCAGGACCTGTTGTGAAAAAAAAAAATAGGATAAACCAGGCAAAAGTTTAGCAATGGATTTAGAAAACATGCAAACTTAACCCCTTATACCTAACATCAGTATGGATATTCTCCTTACTGTTCACTATACATTTCCTATGGTACCCTCAGGGAGATTTTGTTGTACACAGAGAGGAACTTCTTTAGTTGGTGACCTTAACATTTGATTCAGGGATGATATTGAGTTAGTAAGGAGAAATTAGATGCTACATGTAGTCTCTCTTAAGGCTTTAAGGGTTAAGACATGTTTTGACTTAATTTAACCTGAAAAAAGTAAGCACCCAGGGGATAGTAAGAGTTTTCACAGCATAAGTAATCGAAATAGATATTCATGCATGAACCAGAGTTTTGTTGTTGTTGAAATACCTGTTAAATAATATAATTTATAATAGTTATAATAATTTAGTTGTCTCTTTGAAAATTCGGCAACAAGTGCCACAAAAGGAGTTTAATAATGTTGATCTCATCCTCAGTTTAAAACATGAGGTAACGATTACAACAAGTATTTCAATAAACTTCTTATTTTTGATAAACACTGTAAACAGGGTAATCAGAACAGAGCTAGCGTATTTTAGTCATCTTAACCAACAAAGTAAAGTCATAGAGGGGATAGAAAACGTTAGGCTCTTGTTAAAAGTTTCTCTTACCAGAAATCGCTTGTCTCTGGATGAACAAACCACATTGATGCGCAATTTCTCTGCCATATTTTACCCTATTCCGATTTTGACAAGTTCGTCCGCCATCGTGTATAATAGACTACTACCGCTGACAAATATATGCGCACTAATGTTTTACTCTAGCTGCAAGATGCGCTGACCCAGCAGGCTCAATGTTTTGCTTTGAGGGAACTAAAGACACAGCAGGGATCGATCCTTCCCAGAGTAATTTGTCATCCACAGACTGTCTGCGGTACGAAAATCAATCTTCAGCTAGGGACAAGGTATGGAAATACTTCTTTCGCTTCGAAGATTTTAAGCAATAAATTGCAGATTGACTTTGAAATAACGCACAAGCCACCGTAACCGCAAGTCGTGTAACCATTTCCAAATGTTTCATAATTCATGGCTTTGACTGGATTAGCAGGTACTCAGTTCGCGAAAAAGTAATAATTTCGAAATAGAAATGTGCACTTTGTGTCTACTTTCCGAATTTTTTCATGGTTTGTCAGGTTAAGCAATGGCTTAGCGTCGCATACAACTCGGAGAGCTTTGTAGATATAATCCCAATTTCCGTGATTCATTCTTTCATCTTGCACGATCGAGATGTAATCTCGTTTCGGTAGAACGATCAATATTGGCTTATGAGATATTTTGTTTGTGAATACCGTTTTATTGGGTGCGTCATGAATAATTTGATGCAGTGAAGACGAATTTATCTTCATACTTATATTTAGCAGTATGAAAGCCTAGATTTGTACGTGATTTGAAATCGAAACACTCGAACTTATTGGCAAGTTTTAAAACGCTACGAGCGCCTGCTAGAAGAAATGCTAATACGTTGAAGTTAAAAAATTGTGTATTTTAACCCGCATTTAATTTCGTAAAGAACTAAAAGTGGAGTTTTTATTGTTTTAAATAATCATTTTTAACTGGAAGTACAATTTTTTGCGTAAGCATTTTTGTGGCATTTCGAACATTAAAGCTGGCTTAGGAATTTCTCTTCAAGATTCTATAGTAATTCTCAAGTTATATTTATTTTGGTTTCCATTAAGTGATAATTTTAGCAACAGAATCCAAATATTGGTTTCATTCATTGACTTGACTTGAGTGCTGATATAGTTTCCCTTAAATGGTAAAATGTATCCTTCATGGTTTGACTGCATTGTATAAAGGTTATGAAATCACTTGTTTATCATCCTCTGGTCAAAGTATAATTTATTTAATATTATTCAGGGACATGACTCATTTTTGGGCCTACACCTAAAGACATCTTTGCTTTAACCTTTCACTCCCGAGATCTCATTAGTGATTCTCCTTACTTTCAGCCATACAATTCTCATGATGTTGGTGTAGAGAATGTACTATTGGAAATACTAATTATCTCCTAATTGATATCTTTCCTTATTCTAGTCACTTGTTTGCTTGAGATTGTATTGGTATTTTGAAGAAAAATTATGTCTTGGTCTTTCCAGGGTTAACCCTAAACTGTCCATTGGGAGAAATTAATCTCAGTCACTGAGATGTAAAAAATGGGATCCATCTTTAGTTGGTGATCATTTCCTTTATTCTCATGACCTGAATGTGTGATTTGGAGAATTTAGATGCTTGTCACTCTTAAGGGTCAAAGGTTTAAAGAAAATTGACAGTCAATCCAGGAAGGAGAATTTTTACATGATATAAAAAAATTACTCTGCAGCAGCTAGGAAAATTTGTGGAGCAAACTATCATAATGTAACTCTATTCACTGTGATAAATTCTCTTGATTTTATAAACACTAAGACTAGATTGTCTTCTGAAACTAGTTCATCAAGATGAGGCCATTTCATTGGATCACTTTTCTTTGCTCTAGGGGAAAGTTGTATTGGTGTTGCATAGTGCAGCAAATTCCATCTTTCTGAGGAGTTTGTTTTACTGTGCTATTCCAAAATGACCATAGTCATTGCAATTTGTAACAGTTCTTTAACAACAGCATTTATAATGCATTTAGTTTTTAAAAAATTAAACAATCATATAGCAATGTGGGCATGTGTGTGGTGCATTTTGACGGACCTCTAAAACTAACTTCAGTCTTTTATCTTCTAAGTTACATTTTTGGAAAGTTATGTTGTAGGATTTTGGGTGAAAAAATAACAACAACTTTATGCATCTATCAGTTCCAAGCTTCAACATCCCCTCCCCCTCCCTCCCCCTCATCTTGCCCTGGGTAACCCCCAGGCATTTGAACTTTTAAAGATTGGCTCCTTTACTACCCTCTGTAAAATAACTGTGCTCTGTGTTTTTGTTATACATAGTATGTTTGACACCCAGCTATGAAATAAAATGGAGGAAGAAGATGTAATGAATACAAGACTTGCAATCAAGGAATCATTGAAGAAACTTGATGAATACACAACTTACCTGAGGTACATTGGGAAATGTGTTACGTCTTAACCCTTTAACTTCTAGAAGTGATTAACTTGTTGCTTCTCCCTGTAAAATCCGTACATTATCCAGCCACCAGGTAATGAGCATAATCAAACTTATCAGGAAGAAGTTTTTATCTTGATCTAACATCAAATTCTCATAACTTATTTACAGGAATTTTGTGCCAGTTATAGGGGAGAATTAACAGTCACATCTTGGGAGTTAAAGGGTTAATTAATTTATATCATTGATAGTTATTGAAGAAACATACTAAGCACAAAGCATACAGGTATGCAGTGTACTCTTTTTCAGATGGTAACTGCCATTATTCCTTTTTGAATAAACCTTTGTGTCTTTAACTATAGATGACACCCTCTAAGCACTCCCTTTTCTAGAATTAATTATAGCCCTGATGTACAGGCCTAAAAAATGTTTAGACCAAATAGTTCTTTTTAAATTTGTATTCTGATTTTAAACATTTTTCTTCTCAAAATTTATGTAATGTAGATCAAGGCTGACAGATATCAAGTCCACCCGTGAAGGCGTGAATGATAGTATTAGCAAAGCACGTACAGTGGTTAATGAGAGATTTGAAGAAATCAAGAAGGAAATAGCCCATGTGTTAGAAGCTCGCCAAAGAGGAATTTTAAGTACTATTGCTGAGATTGAAAGGAAGGATCTTGACCCTCTGACCACTTTGGAAGAAAGAATCAATGGAGATTTAGATAAAACTTTACAGTGTATTGAAAAAGGTAGGAAATTTGCTGATAATTGTGAAGGGCAATGAAGTCATACAGAGATTTTCCCCTTTTTTTGTTAAAGCTGGGAGATACCATGTCCCTTTAAAATTTTGTTTTGTTTTGCAGACTGTCAATTTTTTGTTGTCCAAGATGACTACTTAAATAATGATTTTTCAATGAGGAGGGGGGTAAAATTGTTTGATTGATGGATTCAAGACCATCCCCAGAATCCAACAAAAATGAAACCTGTTAAATTTACTTGCTCTGTTGAAAGCAACTATTTGTACATCTATTTGGGTTTTTTCTTTTTTAAATTCTGTATGGTTCTGCTGTGAACAAGTAAAATGCTCATCTAGAACTTTGCTATATATTCCAGTGGTGAATATTTTCTTCAATCATCATTGTTGTATATGATTTGCTCAGCTTTTATTTTTAACACAGGTAATTCTGCTCTTGATGAGGATGATGCCACTCTCCTAAGTGAAGGAAAGAACTTGAATAATGAGCTGCAAATTTCATCTATAAGGTTAGACTACACATGGTGTTTTCCAATGAATTTGACCAACACTTCTGTGTTCTGCATTAGATGAAGATGATTCAAAGTTGAACTTCCCATAACCAAACACCTAATATTTTAAGCCTTCGTGGTCAATTGCAAGATATATCGAGAGTTTCTCAGCTTAGTTATCACAGTCTTGTACAAAATTTTGGTAACTCTAGCTGCCTAAATAAGGTGATCACTTGCTACTTGTATGCTAGAAGTTCTGAATTCATTCCTGTGTGTAGAATGGTTCAAAGCTTAGTGGGGTAGTTATGGAGGCCTTTTGATACTATCAAGGTGAAATGTTGGTAGGGATTAATTACACTGATTGAGAATCCTCTCCTGGAGTTGTGCTACATGTACATATGTGACAGTCACACTGGCAGGCCTCATATGCATGAGTTAAGCTTTTTTAACCTCAGTACACTTCTCAGAGTTTTCATTGATAGTTGCCATTTTACCAGAAGTATCCAGATTTTCCTAGTATTATTTCCAGCAAAATTTTTCTCCTGACAACTAAAATTTTATCTCCGGCGACATCTTTACTATTTTAAGTTGCCAAATGGCTACTGTGAAAAAAATTGAGCTTGAAGCCTTAACCATTTCATAAGAAATTAATTTGAAGGAAATTTATTTACTCATTTCACCCACAGGTATCCTGACACACCATGTATATCACAAACTCTTTCTGTAATGTTCAGTGAGAGTCACACCCAGTCAGTTCTAGAGGCTGTCAATTCTCTGGGAGAAATGTCCATGACTGGCACACTTCAAGTAACTGAACTGTCCGAGCAGCCTGGAGCCATCCTTGTGCAGTGGTATGATGAGGTACAGTAAATATATGTTATCTACCAGGCGAGAGTATTGTATTTGAAATGATTTGGTGTCATACCACTGTTCTTTATTTTCAGTAGTCCATCATTGTAAGGGTTGTTAACCAAGCAAGTATTTAACTGATTTTGCCTGTAATCCTGAGAATTGTTTTTGTTTACAGACATTTTCAGACAGTGAATCAATCACAGATTACAGTGGAGTTCAAGAATACATGCTACAGTGTTGTCGCACTGACAACAAAGGAAACAGCAACTCAGTGTTCAGTACAGTATACTGTGGTGAAGAATCATCACATTTAGTCACAGATCTTGAGCCACATGTGTCATACACTTTCCGTGTCTGTGGAAGGTTTGGAAATGAGGGGAAATGGGGATCATGGAGTATTCCTAGGAATGGAATCACAACACTTGACCAACATGGTTAGTGTGAAGACAGATGAGTGCAGAGATGAATTGTACACTAACCTTGCAGGGTCATATATTGATGGATAAGACTCTTTAGCTAAAGTTCCTGTTTCCATTCAGAAGGAAAAATGAGATCCAGTAAACTTTCAGAGAAACTTGACCAATGAAGGAGGAAGGGAAGGGGGGAGGGGTAACCTAGGATGGTCAGAGAAACTTGATTTATTAAGGAGGAGGAGGAGAGAGAAAGGTACAACCAGTAATTGTCAGGGGTGGGGGGAAAGGGGTAATCTGTCATGGACAAGGGACCAGCATCCTATCTAGGTGGGGGGGGGGGGTATCAATCAATAATTCCAATAATGTCTACTCTTCTTGTGTGCAGGAATTCTTCATTAGATTGTTGTGACCCCAATTATGACCTTGCTCTATTTTTCAAATCATTTTTTTTTTTTAATAGAATGGTCTGCTGCAGATTGCCTCAATCAGAATAAACTTGCTGTCTATCAGCTGAGTAACAGACGGAAAACCGCAACTAAAGTGTTCCCTGACTGCTCCAAGGTTTTGCGATCAAAGACAATGAGTTACAGACTTGACACAGCATTGGTTCTCAAGATCGACGAGACTGGTGACTCCAGCAATGGTGATGGTATTGGTCTAACAACTGGGTCATTTGATTTTAGCAATGCTAGACAGGTTCTACAATGCCCTGGTTCTGTTAGCATCAATTCTAAAGGTATCGTATATGTCAATGGAGTACCCATGACAACAAGATTGCCACCATTCAAACGTGGCTCTGTAGTTGTATTTGAAGCAAGTAGAGTCTCCAAAGAAAAGCTTCGAGTGTCAATCACTATGGATGACAAGCTAGTGACATTTGATTGGCAGGTGGATGACCCCTGTGATGGATTTTATTTTGCAATGGGTTTTCAACATTCTGGTTGGCAAATTTCAGTCTAATGTTAAATTTTTTTCCTTCAGATAGCATTTAAAGACCTAATTATAGGCTGAAAATATTTGATTTTTAGATAGAAAAGTCTAAATTGAGTTTACCTGTTAATTATAAGCATAAAAATTAGAGCAAAATTTAATGGTAAGGTAGCTTTTTGCCATGATAAATAATTAGTGACCTCAAGCCTTGTACTTCTAAGTACGTGGGGAACAACAAGCATCGTTTTGGAAGTTTTTCTTTAGTTGCCACACACTGAATAGTAATTGAATAATCAAATGTGGTCACACAGTCAGAAGAATAATTTGTAAAATGTCAGGTAAAGTCTGAATGTATAAGCTGAAAAGATATGACAAAGCTGTTGTCAGTACATGCCCTAATTTTTTCAGCATCAATTTTTTTGTTGTTGTTGTTTTTTCATTTTTCAACTTGGCTATCTTAACCTTTTCAGTGAAATCTTAATTTTTGCAAAGGAATTTTTATAACGTGTGTTTGAATATTTGTCACTAAGTTTGCCAGGTATAAACGTTCTCTATCCCCCCCATTTTAAAAGCCAAATTATGTTGCAAGTTGTGGTATCCATTGTAGGCAATTATCCTGAAACTTATGAGAATCTTGATTAAACTTAGGGTACAAGGAAACCTGCACTTCCCTTTCACAGCTTATTTACTAAATTGTTTGGTCAATTGTTTCTTAAATTTAAAAGAAACTCCTTCAAAACTTTTACAATACTATAGAACACAAAATTTCTTTATAATATATTGATGCAATTTTTAAGAAAAATGATATTAATTAACTTTTAATCTGCTCTGTTGATGAACACTTTTCAAACAACTTCAACTTGTATTTGAAGTAATGCCTGGATCTTCATCTGTTATTAATTCTTGAAAGATAAATTATCTGAATAAAGTACGGAAGATAAGCATTAACCTAGTTATGCAGCTTCTTGCAACGCCTAACATCCTTGGCGGACAATTTTGGTAAATAGACGTGTTTCTGTAGTTTTTTTTCTCGGCTCAATATTTTTTCCTGGTCGAACTATGCATTTAGGTATTTAAACTATATTTTGTGAATATGAAAGCGATTTTCACAGTAATGAACACTACTTAAGCAGTAGTGAATCCCGCACAGGCCTGAATTTTTTTCAGGCCTTCTTTTCACTACTGATTAAGTAGTGTTCATTACTGCGAAGATCGCTTTCATATTCACGTCTTTATCCGCAGTTCAAATATATGACTTTCATATTTTCACAGCCGTTTAAACTACACTTTGCAAGAAAATGTTTTTTTAAGAAAAAAATTGAAACACACGCGGCTTATTTACAGAAATGTGAACTTTATAAAACTTCATATTCTCTATTTCACGAACGGTTTTCCATTTTGCAGCGTGTCGGTTGAGCTTTAGATTACGATTGGCTAAAATGCGGTGAACTGGTATCTAAAATGGTAAAATCTCCCTTTGATTGCCCATCGCATTTCTAAAAAAAAACAAGGAAAAATTTAAGAGTTAACTAAAAATTTTTTTATTGTCTTTGCTAATTACTAAGTATACTTTAAGTGACTCGGAGGCGATGATGGGGCGATGAAGCTGAGCTAGTCAGGGGATATATTTCCGAAAAAAGCCTAGATTCGCCTTCATATCAAGTTATGCTTCAAACATGGAACAAACCTTTCGCTTCTGGCATGGAATACTAAAAAATCAAACTAAAAAAGGCATCGAATGATGATGGTCCACAGTTGTTCAGACACAAAAGGGCTCTAGACGAGCTAAATGTTGCTACATCGGTAAGTGTGAAATTAAAAACTAAAATTTACTAAATCTGCAAACTGGTGCACTGACCCTTTTTATGGAAGGTTCTCTTCGTGTTCTTGAGGTCTCCTGTTCTGTCTCTCGTCATTTTCTTCAGCTATCTTCTGCTCGTCATTGTTTCCTTCAATCTGCTCAGGTCCAGGGTTTCTGATTCCTTCACGCGAGACAAAATAGTTGAAAACCAATACTCCAATAATCCCACTCATAGCACCGCACACCAAACACGATAAAAGTTTTCTGAGGGACATTTCTCCGTCTGGGAAAAGATCTGTTCGACTCCACGCCTGGAACACTTTGAGCGGCTCTAAGCGGATCTGCTTTAATATTCGGGAAAGGAGTGGAAATTGGAACCCTCACTGCGTTTTAGAAAACATCCACGCCAGCTGCTGATTTTGGGGCTCCGTGCTGCTTCCGGTTCTATTTTTGGGTTTGCAGAGGTTTGCACGTGCCGTACGTGACGTAAGATCACTCCAACACCAAAACGATCGCAACGGTAGGTGTCCCTATGATATCCACAATTTCAGTTATGACATTGAGATATGCAATTGTGCTATTCCGATATGATTTCATGATATTAAGATTTGCTATTATGCAAATTGCCACAATTTCTCCCATCATTTTGAAATATCCACAAAGTACCAGCTGCTGACTATGGAGTTTGTGGTCATCGTCACCTTCAAACAGTTGAGGAGCTGTTTCTTTTGAAAGTGATTCTAAAGCAATGGTGAAGAACTCCCTTAATGGTCCCCCAATATCAGCTGCCTCTTCTTCCAACAAATCCTCTTCGCCACTGTCTGAGGCAAAATAGACCACTGGTGGTCTAACGAGTTTGTTGGCACTGTTCTTATAAATCCTGCAAAGCTCTCGAAAAGGATTCTTCGAGCGGTTAAAAGTGATGGGCATGGATGGACCATCAGTAATCACATCTTCCTTAAAGATCTTTAAAATTCAATCAGCTGACAGGCCTGAAGGAAAACAGTTTTAATAAAAATTAAATTGTATTGCATGTATCTGCAGTATACCTTTGTAATATTTACAAAAACTTTTCTCTTATTTGCCTAAATTGTGCTCATTTAGGTATAGTCTGAGAGATCTGTTCCCTCTGCACAAGTTAAATGTCAGAGTCTTTTGTTGGCATACAAGCAGAACAAGAGACATGGATTCACTTGGGAAGTACATGTGGTTCATGAGCAAATGTGTTATAAGAAAATATTGCATAGCACTATAGGAATATATAATAACCTGGACACCAGCAGCAGATAAGAAAATTCATAAAAGGGTGGCAAAGACCCAGTTATGCTACACAGACCCCCCTATCAAAAAATGTCAGTTTTGTTAAAATAACTCTCACTACATGCAAGTGGACAGTTCTGAATATTAAGGTAAGTACCACAAAATAGATATAAGGACAGAAAAATAAACCCCAAAATTAGTGTAACAAGATTGGTGTAAATAAAACTGTCATACCATCTGGCACATGTACAGTCTTTGGGAGAAATGGACTTTCCACAAGAGCTTTGTCATCTATATCAGCACTATTGGTGGAGGGGATAACTGAAAATGGTAAGTTAAAGGGAAAGAATCATAGCAGAGAAACTGGTTGACCTTTCGCGAGCCGTGTACGGCTGAAATAAATTTCGAAAATTTTCCAGTACTCGTCCGTTGGTTTCCCGTCCGCTCACTGCATCGGCTTCTGCATCGTTCCTTGGAGAACCATTCTTGGGGTCTTTAGATGTGTGTTCCCTTATAAGACGGGTCGCCTCTTCTAATAAATTCACCGCTCTTTCACGAAAAGCCGCCATGTTTCCAACAAAGACAAGGCGACAGGGAGGGAATATGTTAACATAATTATAATTTTGGCGGGAAATAAATTATCTTGTCCAAAACTCGTTTCTGAGAGTCATGACGAACTGCATGTTACCATGTCAAAACACCACAATGAAACGCACGCTATGAAAATGACAAATCACAACAGCAAAACTGCGTGACCCAATGTCGAAATTGAAGAATACAAGAATGAAATGGCAAAATAGCAAAATATAATAGCCGAACGCCAAGGTACAGTGATAAATCAGCACATTACAAAAAACAAAATAGTCAAATGTAATAGCATGATGTCATAACACAAGGACCAAACAGCACAATTGCATATCTCGATGTCGTAACTGAAATTGTGGATATCATAATTAAACATTTATTTTTGACGGTTATTACACCCCATAGTGTCCAGCTCACGCTCATGCAGCTTCTTAGATGGAGCCTGCAGTCATTGATGCACGGGAGAGGAGGTACTGAAATGTCATGCGCTGCCTTCTACCAAAGAAGAAGAAACACAAATTCTAAACTGTTGCTTACAACGTTTTCTAAGACCATTTGTGATCGAAAGAGATGCCTAAAGTACGTCGTAGTCGGAAACCCCCGCCTGAAGGATGGGAATTGATTGAACCAACGCTTGACGAACTGGATCAGAAAATGCGCGAAGGTAGGCAAACGAGATGAGTGATATGCCATGCTTCCTCACTACAACGTTTGTTGGCTGATGTTTGTTTCTTTGTAAGATGATGTTAATCGTCTGTTTAACTCTTTTAAAAACTTCAGCTGAGACAGAACCTCATGAAGGAAAACGAAAAACGGAGTCCATGTGGCCGATATTTAGGTATTCATCAATTTCTAAGCGAAGTTTTAATTAGGTTGAAGTTTGGTCTATAATTTTCCAAAGGAAAATATAAATGGATTCCTACATCAGATCGTGATAGATATGATACTCAGTTTTAAGTTAAATGATTACACATCTGTACATAGAGATGGAATTTGTTACGGAGAGGAAAAAAACGTAATTCTTTATATAAGAAACGTTCATGTATTATGTCATTCAAAGAGTAATGAATAGCCATATAATTTCAGGAAAGTGTGAGTTAAATGTTGATGATTTAGTTTGATGTTTCTTCCTTGCATAGCACGTGCTATTAGAGCCATTACAAGTTTGCTAGTCGTAAAGGCTTACATCAAGGTGAAAACACACAAATCTCTCTTTTTGATGGTTTTCACATGCAGCTAGCGCAATCTTGAAACATATATGAGCACCTGTTAGGCCATCTAGATTGTACTTAAGATAATTGTGTTAACCTTTCTACCTTCAAGATTGCAATGTCAGTTGTCAATGTTTTGTTTCACTCTATGAAACTCCAGAAATTTATGGCTAATCAAATAATATTTTTCAATTTATATATTTGTATTTCTTTTCATCACCACTCTACTTAAAAATGTGAAGACAACATGATTAGAAAATTATTTACCGTTCACCACTGGTTCAGGGACTTTTTCTGCATGTGCATGTATTCCTGTATTAACCTCTTAACTCCCATGAGTGACCAAGACAGAATTTCTCCTTACAATTTCAAGCAGACAAGGGTTTAGAATAAAGATAATTATCAATTAAGAGATAGTTATTTGATTCAATACCAAATTCTCTGAACTTCATAAGAATCATATGGCAGACAGTAAGGAGAATTAATAATAAGATCTTGGGAGTAGAAGGGTGCATTTTTCTCTGAGACATTTCTTGAACCTTTTTTTACTGACCCTAGAATCCATCACCAGAAGTCACGTTATGTTTATGAACTGTTCTACAGAAGGAAAGCAATCAGTAGAGGTATTATACATATTTTTATTATTATTTCAATTACGTTTACATCTCAAAATACAAATGGTTGGTAGACAGGTCGTGAATGGAAGCCAATGATAACCTTAGCAAGATTGTTATGTGAAAAATTTACAACTATCTTGACAATATTTCCTCTCACTACTTTCAAGAGGATTATGTATTATTTTTATATTTTCTTGTTGAAGTAATTTTTTTTGTATGATTTTTGTAATCATAGAGTTATATGAATACTGTCTAAAAGAAGGATATGCTGACAAAAACCTGATTGCAAAGTGGAAGAAGCAAGGTTATGAAAACCTTTGCTGCCTTAGATGTATTCAATGTAGAGATACAAATTTTGGTACAAACTGTATCTGTCGTGTACCCAAAGCTAAACTGGAGGAGGTCAGTTCTTGTTTTTGTTACTTACTCTAAAAAGTTATATTGCCAAATGTGAGAGCAATCTTTGCAGTGATATACACCACAGTACTGCTCAGATATATGTTAACCACAAAACTCACATAAAATGCACAAAAATCACATGCAAGTGCAAATTTAAAAAAGGGGGTGCATCAAAAAACCACACATGTGCGCTTAAGCTTGATTTAACTGCCTCATTAGTAATGAAATTAAGGCCTGAAAAAAAATTTAGGCCTGAGTAGAATTTGAACCCATAACCCTCTCAGTCAAGATATATTGCATTCACAAATATGACCATTTGTTAGCTTCTCCAACGTAGAGGGAGTCCATGAGACTTGAGTTATGCCAATTTTTAATTTAACCCTCCATGTTTTGTGTTTTCAATTTGTAATTATTCTATCAGAGAGAGATGAATGTACACTTACTGTAATAATGATTTGGTATCCATATAGATAAAAATAAATTCATATTTCCAAGAAAACACTGCAATTTTGCAGTGTTTGCACTGTTATTGTTAATTCAGTTTTTTCCCAGAAATCCTGCATGGTCCCAACCTAGTGGGAACACTTTTATATGTTTGCATATGTTTTAAACACTTTTTCTGAAAGATCTCTTGGTTTGAAGTTTATCTGGGGGTGCGTTCCTTTGGGAGAATCTGCATCAGGATTTCTGATCTGTGGCATGCCTTTCGAGCAAATCCATTTTCAGATCAGTGATTTATCAAATCCACTCTGGACAAGGATTTATTGGATCACTGATCTGCACAATCTGAAGATGAATCATTGGATCATTGATCCAATGCGTTCCTTTGGGCAAAGGATTTGAAATTAATCATTTTTCCCAGCAGTGCTCAATTTCAAACAAATAGGTACTTCTTATGTTGACTGGAAAGATTGCTGTCAATCGTTCCACAAATTCTGCACTAAACACAAAATACACTAGATTTTGTAATGTTAAATTGATCGCCCACTAAGCAAAGGCATTCAGGGTTCCCAAGTATCCATATTATAATCAATACTTGCTTCTGTAAGTCAATGGTAGGTCTTCCCCCATTCCTTAGTCCATGAGGTAGACCTGGGCAAGTAGCTAACAGGTATTCTAAACAGCTGACTGTAGTTCTTGAAATGTAAAAATGACTTCAAAAATCTGAAACACTGTAGAGTGGTTTAATACGTTCAAAATAATTCTCAATGCAGACATGGCTCTGCTGCTCCCTTATCAAAAGAAACAATAGAAATTCTTCATCTTCACAACTTATCGCTTCTTTTAGTATTGAATCATTGGAAAGTTCCTTTACTAACAAAACAACAGCTGCTCTATGCGCGATGGCCATCTTTTTTTCATTTTTTAAATTTAGCATGTGATTCTGCAGACACACTCTACAATTTTGCACCTACTGTCATGGTAACTGATCCAATGAACTAAATCTCCATTCCTTTGATGCACCGTGATCTGTGTGATCTTGGATCACAAATCCTTATCCAGATCCTCCCAAAGGAAGGCACCCTGAGACAAGCCTGTTACTCTCTATAGAAACTGAGCACATCAAAACCATATTAACCCTTTACACCCTAACATCATAATGCATATTCTCCATACTGTTCTCTATACATTACCTAGGTTCTAACAGGGAGAATTTGTAAAACCATCAAGAGCTTTGTTAGTTCCTGATCATTTCCTTTATTCTTATGACTAAAATGTTTGATTCAAGGGTGATATTGTAAGGGGAAACTAGAACCTTGTCACTCTTAGAGATTAAGGGTGAAGATACATGTACAACATGAAGAAGCAAAATTTTTGCAGAAACATACCACTATACTTAAGTTTTAATGCGGTGCCTGTATTAACAATTGGACCCCAAAGAGTGATTAATATCCTGTTTCTCCTCGCAATATCACCCCTGAATCATACATTGAGGTTATGAGAATAAAGGAAATGATCACCAACTAAAGAAGCTCTTGATTAACAAACAAATTATCCGCGTTGGCACCTTAGGAAATTTGTAGATAACAGTATGGAAAATATGCATGCCGATGATAAAGTATGAAGGGTTAAATGGAAGTGTTTATACAGCTATTTCAATTTACGTTGTCAGATCAAAGCTTCAAGGGTATGGGACAAGACCGAAAGGCGGTATGGGTAGATTAGAATTAATTTTAGGCTTTCGGGGTTGTCGGCGCGAGATGGACCTGGAGGCTGAAAATACAATTAGTATTGCCTTTCGCATCTTAACAAAGAGCAGATTAAGATCCCATATTCCCCTTCGGTCTTGTCTTGTAGCCTTGAGGCTTTGATCCGACAACGTAAATTGAAATAGCTGTATATACATGATTGAAAGTACAGTAGAGTTGATGTGGTGGTGATAGAACTTAAAATATTGTTAAAATGTTGTAAAGATTCTCTGGATGCTTGCCGTGGTGATTATGTTGCGCACTCTACAAACATTGTAGACTTTTTAATCTGTTTGCACATGACTTTAAATAGCAAACCAAACCTTTGGTCAGTGTCGAGATCTATAATGTTATGAATTGTTCCAATAAACATTTCTTTCAGGGCAAGATTGTGGAGTGTGTTATATGTGGATGTCGTGGTTGTTCTGGTTGATGCCATGAGAGCAAGGCAGCAATTTGGATATTTACATTATGGGAAGATTTTGCATGGAGGCTATCAAAACTATCAACACTTTCCTTTGGTTTATTCCTGGATCCCTGAACTGTATAGAATTACCTTCCGGAAGATTTTTTAATCTGTGCATGGGAGGTTAAGAAACCAACGGAAATGAATGAAATCATGGGCCCAGCTGGTTTATTTGTTTATTTTATTGCTTATTAATTTTGGTTGAAAAAAAATCTCATCTAGCATACAAAGGATATTGGTGTACATAAACAAATCCTGTGCCAATCCCTTATAAAGGTTAGATTTGTTTGAGCAAAAGGGTCAGATTTTCTTGTCTGTATTCGTAATAAAAGTTTTTGGTAACAAGCTGGTTCTGTTTAAAAAATGGTATTTGTGTGATAAACATTCTGACTTCATAGCAATTGTATCCTGTCACTGGTCACTTGAGATTATACATAGAGTAGCCACTGTTTTTGTTCGGCTACGGTGAGTCAATTTGGTTTATACTGGGCTCTATGAGCTGGCACGATTAGACAGATCCTGTCCTCTGATTGATTACCAAGAAGGATATTTGGGCCTATCTTGATCCTAGGTAGTATCCGGCAGTCAACAACATTGTTATGCACCCATTATGTGTTTTGTTTAAACAGTACTCTCACTGTACATCCAGTGGTTTTGCCTGGGTCTGTTTCCCCCTAATACTAGTTACCCTCTTCCATAAATTCTTTTGCTCTAACAAAACCAATCTCCGTATTGTCTGCTATCTTCTCTTTCGCTCAGAAAATCAAATTTAATCCATCTTTTCGCTGTCGTCTCGGAGACCAAACTTCCGTTGGTCTTACCATCTATAAATAACTTCGGTGGAATTGTCCCAACGAAAGCCTAGACCAGAATCGTTCCTCTTTCTTTTCCTCATTTTCTCCTGTTGAAACCTGATAAAACTGGACAGCGGCAGCTACCTGAACTAAATAGCTCCCTGGTGGCAATCAGAAATTACAGGTCACTGCACCATGAGTGCCATTTGTGTGCATTTCGATTGAGTGTGGTGAAAGCGATACCAATGATGTCTTTTCCTGTCCTGTCTTGAGCAAATGAAAAAGGAAAAATTGTAAGTTTCCATGGGGAATCGAACCTCAAACATTTAAATTCCACGCTCCGATGCTCTACCACTGAGCCACACAGACTCTACGTCGGCGCGGAACGCCATCATTAGAATCAAATGTGACATGTATCCCGCGTGCAGCTAGGATTGGCAATGTCGAAAGCCTCGTGTGATTCCATCAAATAAGAGAGATGGTAAATTTTAAGCTCGGGAGCAAAATAAAGATGGATGTGTGTTCGTCGTGTTTTCATCATTTTTGTTTATCCTATTCTCTGCATTTAAGCGCGCACAAGTTTCGAAAGGGCGAGTTTATCTTTGAGGTGAAGTCTTAATAAAGTCATGTCAACAAATTAACCACTTTTGACCGGAAGTTTTAGAAAAGACTGTCAGAGTGTTTTTAGAAAGGAAAGTAAACATGTCTAAAACTCGCTGTGATGAAAAACCGAACGAAAAAAAACTCAATTCTCGACCAGCTCGAGTAGTTTTGTCGGTGTGAGTCATTTCATACCCAGCGTCGCTTGCATGTCTAAGTATTCACCCTGCGGTGTTGTCAGCGAGAATACATAAGTAGTTCATCACCTTGTGATAATCAGTCTGAGCCTTTTTTTCGTGGTTTGCTTCGATCCCGGCTTCATAGAGCTCACGGACCGGTAGGTAACTCTATCATTTGTATCTTTGTTTTTTTTAGCTAGTAAACATTATTTCTGTTCCTTTCTGCGACTTTTTCGGTGACACTTATTTGTTGAAGAACACTTGCTGCTAAACAAAAGGCGAAGAATCTTTCCTGCAGGAAGAAAGATAAAGCTGATTCCAGTGAGTGCTCTTGAAGGAAATTTGAAATCTTCTGGTCGTGGCTCGTAATTAAAAATAATGTGAGCTTTTCGCGGCGATTTCAGCGTAGACGATCTAGTGTGTTTCACGCAATAACCGGACAGTGTTTGGAAATCTACCTCCGCATATAAAAATTACTTGAAGAATGAAAGTGTTGCAAATGCAAAGATTTAATCATGGAGCTTAACGTAAATCTGTCAGCATGAAATGACTGCGTTCAGAGAAATTTCCTTTATGATAGACAGTACTTGCTAATTCAAAAGAATTCTGACTGATTTGTGAAGTTTTCGAAACACTGTTCTCCACCTACGTTGACTAAATAGAACGAAAGTAAGGTAGTCCCAGGAAAATGGCAAGAGGCTAAATTATATAATTAATCATCGATTTACTTTTCTGAATTTTTGAAAATTTTCTATCGTCACACCCATAATCTTCCAAGAGAGACTTCTTATCCAATAACCAGTTTTCCTTGACGAGAAACAGCTTTAATTTTTTGTCGATGACAAACACGTTTCTAGTGTTTGATTGAAGGTCTTCCAAATACCGAAACCCCTTGAGGCAAGACAAATCAACATCAAATTAAATTAAAATAGCAAAATTAGAAAAAAACCTCAGAAAAAAAATTACAAAGTTGGCCGAGAGCCCAACGGAAATAGATTATAGCTTGTAACCGCTTAAGTTAATGGGTTTCAGCCGATACAATTTTTTTGTTATTATTATTAACCTCGGCGGCAGCTGGTTGTTCGTTTAGTTTTTTTTTTCGGGATTGTTAACCAGGCTGACAAAAACAAAATGGTAGCTGAGCCTTTGTCAAAACAAACAGGCGAACGAGCGTATCACAATTGGAGAGAAAGGTGTATAGAATTTTGTCAGCTCTGGGTGAGTCGGTGCTATGTTCTTGCTCACTTCTTCTATTTGATTTTTTTTTTGTATATTCTCCATTTACTTTTGTCCTCGCTTGCCAAGGCATTGGTGAAACAACAGGCTTACTTGAGATCAGCGTCACAGATGCTTTTTTTCCGGTTATATTTCCTACAAAGAGAGACCTTTGCCAAAGATTTGCAAAAATATCTTTGATTCTCTCCTTTTTTCTGCACCCATTCGGTTGTGGGTTGTGTTTCTTACTGATTAAAAAAATTTAAAAATTAAACTTACACTGAAACACAAAAATAAAGCCGATTGATAAATACAGATAGAGCCATGGAATAAAACGGATAAGTAACAATTCTAGATTCGACTGTTGGTCTGTTGCATACAATTCGCAAATAATTGGACGGGCACTCTGTGCAAAAATTTTCCATAGAAATACGTTATACAACAGCAAAAAAAAAGCTGGTCTAGGTTCAAAACCGGTTCTTTGGCGTTAATAATGTCTCACGGGGTATTCAGGAATTGAACAAAGTTCTTTACAATTAGCGGAATTATTTCGAAGGTATCGTAATCTTTTATGATCCTCGTCTTTCCTCGCATTTGTGCAGCCCACATTATTTTTGACAGTTACTTAAAAAGTTTGGACATGTATAAAAGTACAAGGATTGTTTTTCACTTCTTTCGCGCGCTCAATTGTAAACATTCGCAATGAGTTACGATCACCACACCTAGGATACTGATTCAAAGTTGGAGAGGTTTGACGCTTCTTGTTCGTAATTCGTTAACGATGGGTGTGATTTGTAATGTAATACTTTTATCAGGAGTCCATATTTGTGGAGATGAATCTCATGGATCAATATTCGTCAAGAGAGGCAAATACAAAAATTTTACATGTAGATAGCTTTAAGTGTGGGGAAAAATCGTAAGAACCTGCTGGTAAATGGGTAAGCTTGAAGCAAGAGTAATGAATTGCCTTACTCAGTTTTAGATATTCCTCGAAATGAAAATTTTTTTTGCTAAAATTTTTCAAAATGTTTTTAAAACTTTGTTTTTCCGCAGTCAATCCCAATTAAATTCTGTTTCATTTGAGATATGATTGGTAATTCTAAAACAAGTAAATAAAGCAGATATTTAAACAAAATATTTCATGGATTTATTCTCTATCCGGAGAGTATCCGGAAATAACAAAGTTTCTTTGCAATATTATGACTGGAGAAATAATTATTGCACTGTCGTTTAACATGCAACTTCTGGGTGTGTATTTAACCTGGAGAGAAACTTAATCACATAACCGTATTGGATGTGATGTGGTTGATCAAGCAAAACTAAATAGGTATGTTCTTAATTTATCATTGCTTTTTGAAACAATCGTCGCTCTTCTCGGGTAGCACTGTATGTCTATATTAGATTAGTTTGTACTGTCTGCGATGTTTTTTCTAGCTAAGTATCAACTTAAAAGTTTAGATGATTTTTTTTCCTGTGAGAAGAAATAACAGGCCACACATGGGAAGTATTAAAACCGTCTCTTCTCACTTGAGTAAAAACATGCCACGCATACGCTTTACACTGTATTCATTGGTACGTGATATTATACCTTACGAAGTGCAAAAAGCTAAAACTTTTGGACTTGATCTCTGTCGTCAATGATATTTCGCGTAAACCGGACCAAGAGCGAAGAGGAGGTAATGTTAGCCAGTCGAAAAGGGTAGACATTCCACCTCACAAGAATTTATCTCAACTCATATACTTTTTTTAGAAACATTTCAACCTTCCAGTGTTTACTGGAATAAATAATTTGTGGCGAGAGAAAGAACAACTATCGAGGAAGGTTTTAAAGGATGCTCGAATTTATGTCCGCAAGGCAGACTGAATGCTGATTTAACTTCTACGTAATATGAATTATATTTTGATCAAGTTATTCGCCTTTAGACTTTGTCTGAATCACTATCTAAAGCCACGATCGGACAGAATACTAAGATTTTAGTCCTTACACCACTTAACTTGGGAATTGCCCCAAAGACATCGATCCATTTTGTGATATATCGTATAAAAAACAATGTGTCTGGTCGTCAAACTTTACAGCAGGGAAGTGGAAAATTTAACAAATGTAACAGGTCACAAAAAGATAAGTTTCGAGTATTAAAGATCAAAAAAAGAAATTTTATCTACAGGATGCAAAAAATTTCAATGAATTGAACGAGTTCTCATGGACGAATCATGTAATGCCCGAAAAATATCAAATTTACATGGTTCATCCTTCACTAAATACGCAAGCAATTAGCTAAATCACTTATTGAAAGCTGCATCCATAAGTCAGCTGTTTTCGTCTGGGTTATACCATCACGTCAATTACGTCAGCTGTATTAATTAAAAAATAACCCGAGGTTACATTAGAAAACGCTACAACTTTCGCGAGCAAAGTACAGTATTGTGGTGCGCCTGGCCACTTATCTCTTCCGAATTTAATCTTATTTTCATTCCTGTGCCTTGAGTTTTATCTGCACATGACAACTTGGTCAATGTTCACATCAGCATGATAAAACTTTTTTTATCTTTTCTTTTAATTTTACGCACGCCTCTCGAAAAACTCTTCACGTGTTTTGTTAAGGTCAATGGCTGAGACTTTACAGCAGGGAAGTTGGCTGAGACTTCTTAGATGAATGAAATCACCTGGCAGCACTACACTTAAAGTTTGGTGATGTTTTCGGAATGAAATGTCCTTCAAAATTCACTTATATGTGGCAAAGGGGAAAGCCGGCTCTTTACTAACTGTCCACACCGGAAAATGATCGATATGCCGGCTTGTAAATTGAGAGAAGTAACTATGTATCCTCGTCTGCAGTTGCTTAAATCGCAGTACACCTGCAAGGATTGCTGCTTTACTCGTGCGGCTATGTATCTTAATTTGTAGCATCACACAGTTTTAAAAGTTGCAACGATAATTTGGCGTTGCCAACTGGTACAAGGATCAAAACCTATCACTATCGAAAGTCAAAGGCCATTAGAGTTATATAATGACAGTTCTTAGATTGTAATAGATTGTTGAGGTGTTTGGCAGCCGGAAATGTTTGGTCGTCGTTTTATTATTTCGTTTATCGATTCCTTAGCCGGCATCTTGCGTAGGAAATGATCAATAAGATGTAATTAATTTGCAAATTCCAAACGTCCGTGCTCATGAAGCAGGTACTTTCAAACAAGTCAATCAATTGAAAAGCTTATGACTGCATATAACGATACTTTTGAAAATAAGCATGGAAATTTTGGTACTCCTATGTAATTAAAGACTTCGACATCTACGGTGTTCGGGGAAGTTCGTAGAAAGGAAACTGTTCCTTGTAACGTCAAAGTGCCAGCATGAAAAAAACTTGAAAGTTATTACGACAAAAAAAGTCACGATTATCGTTCGCTTTTACCGCTTTTGAGTAGAGAGAAAATTTATTTTCGAAGTGAACTTTTGAAATTAACAATCGAGATAATGATTATTAAGATGCGAAAAAAAAAATAAATAAAAAAAAGCAGATGATGAACATATTGCATTTTCCGCGGTTTGTTTCTCCCTTCCGGATTTTTCAAATATTATCTTGCCATAATTAGTTTTCTTAATTTAGTAATTACCTCATTCTTTAGTCCTACAAGAATGTCATTCAAAAAACAGAAAAAATAATTTCAAAAAGAGAATACCTGTTAGGCGTATTGTAAAAATACAAAGCCTGATTTTGCCGAAAGGAAAAGACTCACTCCACCTTTTATTCAACGTTCTCTTTGTCCAAAGTCACATCCGCAATAGTTATCAATAATCGTAATCAGCAGATATAAACAGACCGGTGACATGGCAATTTTCACTTCTCAGAGCTTAAAGTCGGCGACGTCAGGCGGTTTAGCCGCTTTACGTTTTTCCAATCTAATTCAGTGTCACAAGCATTCTTTAAGGCGGTGTGCTCTCAACTCTTAAGGAAACCGCAGAGAGGTAAGTTTTTTCCATGCATGAAAACACAACAAACTACTGAGCAGAGTGTTCTACCTTTCCGGCTTTCTTCTCATAAGAAAAATCAAACTATGGAAAAGGGCCTCTTCACTCGAAGAATTCGACGTTTTATTTTCGAAGGTGATATTTTTAAAGTGTTAATATCTCGTCGCCTGAAGTTACTCTTCAAATATTCGCCCTAACTAATTATCCATCATAAGCTGTGATAGTTGCGGCAGGAAAAATGTGACCCTTTGAAATGATTGGATGAGGTTGGCCACGTGATAGGTCAGTACTCTTCGAATACCGAGCCACAATATCGAGGGAGTAGTAATTAGTGATCCGAAAAGAGTCTTATATCAAGCGGAAAATTGCGCTCTTAACAGTGGACAAATATTTCTTTTTCTAAATGCCGGCTTGGCGCTTACGGAGTTAAAGCTTGTGGCTTGGCAACAATAGTCACCAACTGATCATAAATAGACACTCTTCCCAGAAAACTATGTATCAAGTAAGTATGAGATAAAATTTTGGCGAAGCTTGGCTGCTAAAACCCGCAATCCATCTTCAAGGTTAGTGTGCAGAAGCAAATATTGTAGTAGTTATGAATTTTCTAGCAGTTCTTTGACACTGTGATATGAAACGTAATGATAAGAAATTCAACGATGACTCAGGGGCTTTGACGGAGATAAGATCTGTTATCATACACGTGTAAGGAAAAGTGAGTATCCCTAGGGAAGAGTGAAGCCCAAGTTTGCCTTATCGCTTCGAGTGATTAACTTTATTGGCGACTTAATCATGATGAGTGGTGTTTTCGTGGCGCAAACAAAGTTTTACAAACATTGTTAAGATATGTCATAATTGCATGGCGCGTAGTCGATTCACACCTAGGGTATACGTAGTATGGTAGTACCCATAGTGAAGAAGAATGAACAATGAACTGGAAATATTGACTTTAAACGAATAGTTCTTGGCAACTTTCTACGACAAAACCGTAACAAGTTCTGTTGGAGTTGAGGCTTTGAATAATAGGGTTATCATTAGGAAAAATTATAGACATAAAGGAAGAATGTTTACACTCCAGTCGAGAATCAAAAGCTCTACTAGTCGGTATTGAAAACCTTGTGCGCAAACGTTCAAAACCATCAACTGTACTGCATATGGCTTTGTAAACTGTAAGAAATATGAGAACATAGCTAATTCCTAGACGTTTTCCAACAAGTGTGCTAATATCAAATAATATTAGTCTTGCACCAAGTAATGTTTCAAGTTCTCCAGCTCTCCGTGTTAGAGCACTTTGAGCAGAAAAACATCTGGAACATTTGAATGGTGCGTTGCAGAAAATTTGTGTATAAAGCCTTAATTAGTATTTTTAAAACTTTTAACTTTAATAGTTATATGCATTAGTCTTAATTATGAATCGCCTTTAAGGCGACAAGTTAATAAAATGATAGACTGAAAAAGTCGTCTAGTTATAGTTACTTCTTGAACAGTTTTCTTCTGGATCGAAAATAGCAGAACGAGAGAATATTTAAACAATTTCGGTTTAGCTCTAATTTGACAATAATCTTTTATTAAGATATATATAAATATCAGTTTTTAAAAATAATTAAGGCATGTTTTTCTTTTAGAAGTTTACCCTGCTGTTCCTATTGACAAACATGGCCGGTTACAACCGGTGCCCTTATTGTTTTCGCGTAGTGGAAAATTTCAAATCTCCTTCATAGCTAATTTTCTCTAAAATATAATAGATATGAAATAAGGTGGAATAACCGCTCCTTCATGTGTTCGCAATTTATTTAATACTATTTAGCCTTTGTTAAAAAACACGCATAAGGTATTTATTGGTTGATAGTTTTCATGACAAACAGCACAGGTCACATTTTTTTTAAGTTGAATATGTCTCGACAATTCTCAGGTCTGAAATTAGCACTTTCTAGCATGTCTTTTTCGGTGCACGCTTGAGTAATTTCCTAAATGTAATTACATTGCGGTTTTTACGGGGAACACGCAAGGCGTTTTTTTTAAAATATGATTTCCAACGAGTTTAGGAGGAAGTCAGCTACACAATCTTGACTTAAATCGCAGATTTGTTCACGCTAGCAAAGCAACTTTATTTTCGGTGCAAATGCCTATCTTAGGGGTAAACATTTTTTTAACAAAAACATATTGTTTCGAAAGGGTTTTTTCGTTCACTTTCAAATCTTTTTCGGACGTGGGTTATTTACATTCATGACCGCAATTGTGTTTCATTTTACGGTATTAAAATATAAACAGTTGTTTCGGCTGAATCAACATGAACTGTTTCATTAGCAAAGGTGATAATTTTCTAAAGGAGCTTTGGTGCAGCGTCAGCGGGGAGTATAACATGGTAATTTAGTTTTACCTGCTGAGTTCATAACTTAATTTGACCACCGTAAAGACTGTTTCTTAAGTTAACGTTTCAACTGTTAGCCCTTCGTTTGAGCGAAGTATAAGTGGTAGCAGCCTCGGAAACTCGCTTCTAACACTAGTTTCGGTTACGTCTGACGTGTTTCGCTTCCTTTCCTGCCAATCCAAATACAACTGAAAAATGTTAAACCAAAATTGCTCATCTTCTCAACAAACTTTATTTGTTGAGACTTAATTTAGAGTCGCCCTTAAGTCTGAAGGCTTTTGAAAATCTTTAAACATAGAAAAGGGAAGAGAGAGAATAGAGAATATAGGGGAATATTTTAAAGAGAACTATTCATTGAAGTGACAAAGGCAAAGAAGTGTTCAAGAACCGATTTCCTGGGTTTCGTATCAGTCTTTCTATTGATGCATGTATACAAAACTCTCTTCACTTAAAATTCTTTAAAATTGTAGATTTAAAGGGTAAAACCATTTTTGCTATAACTCTCACCCTTTTCAGTTGGCGATGACGGTAGTTAAATTAGGTTGAGGTAGCATGAAAGTTCCGTGAAATAATAACTATGCTTAAACCTGTCTCTTTGAAAACATAATCACCCAAGTGGAATTCTGGCGCCCGACGGCTGAGTCTTCTAGACATATTAAATTTGATGATATTGATTCAGGGCCGATTGAAAGGCGACTTGTGTTTTGATAATATCACTTCCACAAGAAGGTGCCATTCCTTTTTAGCTGAAACTTCTGAAGTGTTTGTCCTACAATTTAACTCATTGGCTAAACGTCAAGTATATTTATCCAAAAACAAAGAGCGTCTTGATGAGAATGTGTGATTTATAAGTTATTCTATTCATTTTCCATGACCGGCCAGTAACGAACCTGTAATTTTTTCATTTTCAATAGTACCGTCTTTCAGAAACAAGTCATAATTCACTGACGCTTACTGCGATTCAGGGCTGAAAAACAAAGTTTACAAAGTCAGGTATAATACCCAGGCTCTTCGCGTTGCTAGGATATGCAGGAAAAACAACTTCGAGAAGGCTTGAAAGCGACGTGAGCCCATCATTATCTATTCCATCATCCGCGTCAGAAAACTCGCAGCAAGAAGTTTCCTACTAAGATTTGCTTTAAATGCGCCAGTTGTTTAACAGGTAAGAAGGGATTTCTGAACGTTTTCATCCCTCTAATCCCAAGTTCTGTTGAACCGCAACTGTCTCATCAGATACGAATATATTTATGTGTTGACTGCTCTTAAGAATTTGGTGTTGTTTACAGATATTTCCTTGTTGATTATTTTCTAACTTCTCACCACTTATACGTTTGTAAGTGTTTCAAAATGGTACGAAGAATTCAACACACTATACTTTTGAAAGCGGAAGGCGACAGGAAAATCATTAATATTTCAGTTTCGAAGGGGAAAAGTTAGTGAATAAAAAGTTTGATACGACCTCTTTTCGACGGAGCTTTGTTTCAGGAACGTGCCATCTTAAATGAGATCAATTTACCAATCATGCATCTTCCGTAATTTCATCGAGTGATTCATTATCATTGTGTTGATAGCTTTTATAAGTTATTATTTAGCGTTTTTAGCTGTCTAATCCCTTCGCAGATCGTATTTGTAACCTGCATTTGTTTAGGAAGCTGACTCATTTTGAGAGGCTATAATTCGAAATAAACGCCGGAACACTATTTATAAACTTAAGCCAATTACTCTGTCCGAAAGAAACACGAAGTGATTTGAAAAATTTGTGGACTCACACCACGAGAGTTTTGTTGTTTGTTGTTTATTTGCTTATTTTGCCATTTTTCAATCATAATGCATCAGTAGAAACAAAAATAATTACACATACGCTAATATAATATATATAACTGAAAATTTAACACGTGGCGAGGAAACCTGTAAAGAAACCAAGAAGCTTATGCGAGCTGCTGGCTCCTCATATTTTACAAAAGTGAGGCATCAGTTATATGGCGTGATCTAAGTTTAAAAGGAAAGAACACACTCATAAACAACAACAAAATAGCAGGTACTGAAACAAACATATACTTAAGCTGCTTGAGAGGAGTGAGAAAAATATGAGGAAGAGGGGATTAGTAATTAGGAGTAATGTTCGCAATTTATATTTAAACAGGGAAATTGTGCCATCATTTTGGACTTCTATATTCAGAGAATTGAAAAATTAAGGTCCTTGGAAACATAACGCAAACTGTCTGATATTTGTTTCTGCAAGAAGGCATGTAAAAGGAATTGCATTGTCTGGTGTAATGGCAATAAATGCCACTTGAAAACGAAAATAATCTTTCAAGAGCATATTTGGAAAACAGTTGGTATGCAAAAAGGCATGCTTCGGAAACAGATGTGACAAATTTCTTAAAAGTGTTAAAAAAAATCCAATTTAGAAACGGCCCCCCACCAATGGTCCTGTTTGCCTCGGTGCCATCGAACTTAGCCTCGTTCTCAACAGGCAATGCCACTTTGATTGTGGTAGCCAATCAGGTTGCAATAATTCTTCCAGCTTTTCAAATTCAGCGTTTGAGGTTAAATAGTTATCTTCTTGTATGCGAAGATAAAAGATAGGGAAATAGTAAGTCTTCTCCATCTGAAACCATCCTCGATCGTCCTTTGTTGGATCATTCCTCGGTGTTTTTTTGTCTACATGATTTCAGTCTGTTCAAGAGAAATACTCAGTATTGAAGCGAAAACGACTCAAAATTCTGTGATTAAACTCCCTCGCATTTCTCACGAAGAACTTTTAAAACGATTCAAAATTATTTTTTAATGGTCTACCAAGAGGTTGCAGGATTAAAGAGGTTAAGTCTATGTCTTAATTAATACGGCTTTTTGTGGTCATAATCTGTTTAGCCCGACTTGCGTACGTGTGAGGGACACTGACGTAAACATATCTGGGGAAAACTTTACATGACATCAAAACGAGAAGAGGAAAAATTGCTTTTTAAAGTTTTGTAAATATTGACAAATTGGCATATCGAGGATGAAGCGGTAATTTTCTATTTATAAGTAAGAACCTTGTCAAAATCGACCTTTGAAGTGATGATAAATTTTTGCTTTATCAGCGCTGTTTCAGTGGCATGATATCGCGCCTTTACGTAAATAATGTTTAAACTGTAAAATACAATTCTCTTTGTACATGCCGGCGTGAAAAACTAGATGAGTTACGCCCAAAAATATAAAATAATTATAATACTCTTTTCATTAAAACTGAGTCGAAAAAAAATTTTTTTAGATATGCGGTTCCCTTAGTCAAAACGAATAAATAAATTTTATCTCTCGCAGACATTATTGACAGCGGTAACAAAACAGACCTCTTGGAGGTTTTACATGTAATGCACACGATGACTTTTAAAAGGAAGTCTATTTTATACACTGGTAAGCCGTTACGTTACGCTAAGATTTTTTAAACCACTTTTAAACATTATCTCAGATATCTTCATTCCTTGGGGTTTTCTTTCATAATATATGTTTTGTCGCTTTCACGAATGTGTGCCTTAGTTAAGATTGAACCGGTGTCGAGGTTTTTGGTTCAAAATTTCGCAGTCAACAGATTTCAAAGCCCGAAGGCACGGAATAGAGAATCTCTTAAAAGTGGCATTTTATTTATCTTTTTGGCGTCATTTTTCTTGTTATGCCCTTTGCAACCTTTTTTATTTCTGCTCTGTTCGAACCCAAAGATGTTCAAGAGTTGTTTTCGAAATCATAAAGAGTGCATCCTTAATTTCGCGGAGCGGCGGCAAAACTTGGAGTTAAAAATTAATTCAAGTAACACTACAGAAAACAGAAGTCGTTAGAAACAATGATGATTTCTTGTTTCAGAAAGTCATAGCGATAATTGGAACGGCGAGGTTGAAATATGGTGACAAATTGATCACGACAGGTTTGAAATATAGAGCTGTACTTGGCTCAACTCTAATCATGCGCTTCGAGAAATATGACAGCTTTCTGATGTCTTATTCGTGACAAGAATGTTTTGGTTTGTCTCTTGGACAAGATAAAACCCAGATCCTACTAACTAAGAATGAATAGGCTGCCAATAGCCGTATTAAAAAAACAAATTGTTATCCCATATATTAATTTTGATCTGTAGGATTCTTCTCTTTTTAATAACGAAGGAAACCGTAATGATTTCTAATTTCCCATACCTAGTTGGATCTCGTAATTTGCTGATATCTTCCGTTTGAGCGCGTTTGAGTTATAAACGGTCTTTGAAAGACCTCCAATTGTTATATCGTGTTCCGTTCCATAAAAATTCACGTGAGCAGAGGTACAAGAGCTATCCGCCTGATCAGTTCAGAGAGATTCACACAAGATATTTCAAGCGTACGAAAACCACATACTGGTAAAGCATTTCAGTGTAGTTCTAAGTTAAGTACAACAGTTTCCTAAGATTTATGACACAGTTCGAGAAGGGATTCTACATGTGCACGCGAACAGAGAAAGCAACAAAGTGAGGTCTGTGATGATATGTTCCGCGTTAGAAAGAAATTCGCTGTTCAGTGTATTTTCAAGTTATTTTTGACCAAGAATTGTTAAAACAAATCAGTGGTAGATCGGACGCTTTGAATTCATTAGTTATTGGTGAAATGCGTGTTTTTCGCATAACCTTTAGCAAACTCGGTCAATCTTTAGCGTTATGAGTAAAACAGTTAAGGTTTGCAGATTTTACTCAATCTAGAAGCTCTTGGAGAAAATTATTCAGAAGAAAACGATCTTTTACAGTTGAACAACTTTAATAAGAGTCAGCAATTAGACTGTTTAATAATTTTCATTATTATTCCTTTTTCAGCAATTTCGTAAACTTGATTCTTGATAAAAAAAAAAAAAATTCGGAATTCGCTGCATAGTGGCGGATGGAAAGGACATCAACCCGAGCCGTGAACAGAACTTCAAGTGTTGTTAAGATATATACACGGGATAAATATTGTCCCTATTTCCGCCGCCTCTGCCGAAATAGAGCGTTCTCTGAAGCGTTGCCTTAATCGACAGCTGATGCTGAATTGCTTAAATTTTGCAAGCACTTTTTTACACCAGCTTGAATCGTCTCGAACTCCATACCACTGAATTCAGCGTATGAGGCTACGATGATTGTTGTAACTTTTTTGGTTTTCGTTCTCATGTAAATATGATTATCAGGAAAGTTAAAAAACGAATCGTCCCTTAAGTCCATGGCTACCACTTCCCTGAAGCGGAGGAAATGGGAGCTATCGTTTCTCCAGCGGCAGTTTCCACTATTATTGCGAGGCAACTTTAAAATATACGGCGCGATTTTGCAGTTTAACTGCATGTTTTCGATGTCATCAATCGCCTCGGTCTCTTTCGCTATAGCGTAAGTGTTTGTCCAAACATGAATTTGTTTGCCACTTGCTCTCGTCATCACAGCAGGACAAAACATGGGCTTGAAAGCGGATTGACCAATCAGATGATGCGTACCATGTAAAGTTCGTAATAACGCAAGTTGATCAAGTTGACCACTCCTATGTGATGTCGTCGAACGTGATTGCAAGTTATTGTCTTAATATGTAAAGCGGCTCTTTTGTGGACTTTTAATAACTGATCGATTTTAATGCAACAGAGTAAACTGTATCAGAAAATTTAATATTTCAGGATATCACAGCTGTACAAAAATAACCAAAAAGAAAATAGCTGATTATTATCAGCAATTTTTTTTTACCAAGCTGAAAGAAAAGGTTTACAGTCAAGTCGTCCGAGAGACATCTCGCCCGAAGTCATGTCGCCCGAAACCTGAGTCATACTACCCGAAATTTTAGTTATGTCGCCCGAAAAAAAAAGCCAAGTCGCCCGAGGAAACAAACAAACAAAAAAGATCAGAATTTCAGACTATTAATAAGCAATAACGTTGAGAAATTTTTTTTTATTGAAGCGCTCTTTGTTTCCGACAACACCATGAAGATTCTTAAAGCGTTGTTCGTTCCTAACAACAAAGGGAAACGTTGTTCGTTTCCAACAACAAAATGCAGCGTTTTTCGTTTGGTATGTAATCGTTTCTTACTCATGGACGTTTCGTAAGCTTGAGAAACTTTTTCTTGTTTTCTAACCATACTATGAAGACTTTGACTACACAGAAATCGATCGTATGCTCGGAATTGAAATATTTTTGAGTAACGATTCTAAAAGCGTTGTTCGTTTCTAACAACAAAGAGAAGCGTTCTCCGTTTCAAACAAAAAAATGAAGTGTTGTTTGTTTTGTATGTACTCGTTTCTTACTCACGGACATTTCGTAAGCTTGGGAAACTCTTTCTTGTTTCTTAAAATGCCATGAAGACTTTGACTACACAGAAATCGATTGTATGGTCAGAATTGAAATATGTTTGAGTAACGACTCTAAAAGCGTTGTTCGTTTCTCACAACAGAAGGAAGCGTTGTTCGTTTCTATAACAACAAAAGCATGGATGCAGCGTTATATACAAGTAAAGTTCTGTTGTGTCCATTTATGACTTTCGTAACAATAACAGATGAAAACACCTGGTAAACGACTGTCAATTGTCGCGTTCGACAAGTCGGTAGAAGGTAAAGCGAGTAACATACAAATAAAATTAACTTGTTGCCTTGCGTAAGGTAAGTGTCATATTTTTAAGATAACAATCTATTGTTTATGCTTGTGACTTTGTTCACAATAGTAGTCTGATAGCATCATTTCCCTTCGGATCAGAAGAGGCAAAAATTATGTAGTTGTGCTCTGTTTCCTCTGGCGGTCGCATGTATATTTTGATCCGATCAAAGTATATATGAAGAGGGTAAAGCTAGCTACAATACGAATACGAACTGATCAAAATGAGCATTCATCCTTGCATTGAGTGTGATGATGAAATTAGACCACGTCAACAAGCCCTACAGTGCGACGATTACGGTCAATCATATGGCCTTTCTGACCATATGATCGATTTCTGCGTAGTCACAGTCTTTGTGGTCAAAGGCTTTGTTAGAAACCAAGAAAAGGTTTCCCAAGCTTACGAAATGCCCGTGAGTAAGAAACGAGTACGTACCAAACGAACAACGCTTCATTTTCTTGTTTGAAACGGAGAACGCTTCTCTTTGTTGTTAGAAACGACCAACGCTTTTAGAATCGTTACTCAAACATATTTCAATTCCGAGCATACGATCGATTTCTGTGTAGTCAAAGTATTCATGGTGTTGTTACAAAACAAGAAAAAGTTTCTCATGCTTACGAAACGTCCATGAGTAAGAAACGATTACATATCAAACAAACAACGCTGCATTTTGTTGTTGGAAGCGAACAACATTTCCCTTTGTTGTTAGGAACGAACAACGCTTTTCATTTAACTTCATAAACCAGATTACATCGCTAACCATCTCTGTTTCTTCTTTATGCAGGTGAGCATTGAGGAGAAATATGTATACTGGCTTCGCAATCTTCTTCTCTATATTGATATTTATTAACCTGGTGGGAAATACCCTGGTGATTCTCGCAGTTAGCCTAAACAAGGCCATGAGATCTCCAATCAACTATTTGCTGATCAACTTAGCAACCGCTGACATGATTGTGGCGCTGTTTATAGGAATACCATTCGTCGTTACACCTACCCTCACCCACCCCGAGGGAAAATCAGGCGACATTCTCTGCAAGCTGTTCACCGGTGGTAACGTGGGATGGGTGGGTGCGCTGGCTTCTGTTTTCACTCTGGTGGCTGTCGCAATTGAGCGGTACGGCGCTGTGTTATATCCTCATAGCCAGAAAGGAAAACTAACAAGAACCAGGTTAACAGTCCTTATTGCCACTTGCTGGACGCTTTCTGCTTTGTGGGCTATCCCAGGGTTCAACGCGATCACGTATATGCCGAAAATAAAAAGTTGTGCGCACAGCTGGTCGAAGCCAATCTATGCGCAGTTTTACACGGTTGGGTGGTCTGTGGTCGCCGGTGTCATTCCTATAGGAATACTGGGAGCGCTTTACTCGAGAATGGTGTACCACCTGTGGCTCAGGAAGGACAACATTAGGGAAGCGACTCAGAAGGCTTTGAAACGCCACCGGAAACGCGTCACAAAGATGGTCGTTGTTGTGACAGTTATTTACGTTTTGTGCTGGGTTCCTGAACTGTTAATATACTTTCTGGGTTTTACGGGCACCATCACTCTTGTAGGAGTCCATCACGCGATTGCTTCAGCCTTGATCGTGTTCAACTCCAGCGTGAACCCGATTGTGTACAGCTTACAGAGCAGTCAGTTTAGGAAACACTTGACTGATTTGATCTTCTGTAAGCGTAACAGGGTGGCACCCGTGAGTTCTACTGCCACGGCAAGCACAGGAAAACGAAAAGATTTGGAAATGGAAGGCGAAACAAACATGACAGTACATCCAAGTCAAGACGTAGAGTCAGTGACAGTGACGTAGAAAATGTTCATATGAACATTGTAGCCCTAAGGAACAGGGAGACCAGGATGAGCACTGTTCAAATTGGGAATCTTGTGCTCAGTCAAAGAAGGAAAGATGAGGTTGAGCAGAGAAAATGATTGAGTCGCCTTCAGTACATTGCCCAGGACAAAAGAGCGTACTTTATATCATATTTGCTTTAATATTACAGACTCACACTTCCTCATAAGTATTCATTCCTTCGGTGTGAAGATGTTTGTTCTCTTAAGGAGGGGGGGGGAGAGGGGGGTGTGACAAGCCTTTGGAAGTTTTAGGTGCACAAATCATACACTTTTTGATAGATACACAGAAAAACAGAAGCTCCATAACAAACCCAGCAATACAGATTGTGAAGTTCATGCGAGTTCCTGCAGAATTATTTATTGTGAACATACACATGTATAAAATGACATATTAAATAACTGAACCAGCCATATATTGCTTTATGTTCCCAAATGGTCCTGTTATGGACCTGGGACACTTGTGTTTCACACACAACTCACAAATAGAAGGAAAATGTGTTTCCCTTAACCTTTTAACTCCCAAGATTTCATTAGTAATTCTCCCTTTTTCCTGCCATAAAATACTTACCATTTCAATTTGGAGAATTTGGTATTGGATCAACTTGTAGTTCCTTAATTGAGTTTTTTCTTTATTCTCCTCACTTGTCTGCTTGATTCTGTGGTGATATTGTAAGGAGAAATTCTTTCTTGATCACTCATGGGAGTTAAAGGGTTAAAGAACAAAAATTTAAGGCAAAAAATAAATATTTTCTGCATTTTCATGCATTAGGGTTGAAAACGTTTTAGTTTCCTTGACAACTTTCCCTGCAAACCTTTTGTTTTAGAAAGGAAAAATAGAAAGATTTAACTCTGTAACTTCCAGTGATTAACATGTAACTTCTCCTTGTAACATCCATACTGTATTCAGCCAACACTAGGTTATAACAATGCTCGAACGTACCAGGTAGAAATTGTTATCTTGATCTATTATCAAATCTTTGTGACTAATTTACAAGAAAATGCTTAGCAGGTAGAAGGGAAAATCAACGATCAGATCCAGGAGTTAAATGGTTAAGCATTATGTATATAACTTACAATGTATCAAAATTTTTTAGATTACTTACCATGCATTTCTGTTGCAGATATTTAAACATATTACAAATTTAAAGATAATATTAACAGTAACCATAGTAACCATACTGATAAATGTAGCATCCTTAAAAGAAGTGCCATTTAAAAATGCTTCACGTACAAAATTGTATCAGCAATATTTAGATTGTAATTGGGTTTAATAAAGGTTTAATCAGCAGAGTGTTTTGGAAATGTTTCCTTTTAAACTTCCACATTTTCTCCTCTGGGTACAAAGGATTTTTAAGAGTAGTTTGTTTGTTTGTTTGCTTGTTTGTTTTTAAGTCAGAGATAGAAAGAGAAAGAGAGAGAGAGAGGAGGGGGGACTAATTTCTGTACCATTAAAAAAATATATTTGAAATAAAATATGTGTGATTAAGGCCTGCATCATGTAGCAATGCTGAATGATGAAAAAGTGAGCCATGGAAATGAAACAGTCTCAGGTGTTCAGGTGAACCAAGTGAGGTAAAAGTTATAAACTTTCCTGAAAAGGGCTTACTTTCTAAAAATTCTTTTTTACATGACAGTAGCCTTGAAAGATGTCATTTTAGGGGACTTTTAAAGTATTTGGAAGCACTGAGAGCCAGAAGGGAATTTGGAGGGGGAAAGGGAGATGGGATGTGAGATCTCCTCATGGATCAAAGCTTATGGGTATACCTAAAAGAGCCTTCAATGAAGCCAGGTGTAAGATAATGGCACATATGACTGGGCTGGTTTTACAAATTTCAGAGACCTCTTTACACAAACCAACAGAGTATTTCATACTTAACAACTATGTGGAGCAAACCTCTGGAAAATACACGGTGACAGCACAGACACTATTTAACACAGGCTTTTAGCCCTATAAAGGTTAACAACTCTTTCTTATAATCTTCAGAAACAGTGGGATGTAAGTTAAAAGTGTAAGTGTGACTGTGAATTAGTAGGGCCATACATTTCATCTTAAAATACTCCCCTATTTAGTAACTTAATATCAACTTAATTTCTCATTGTTTAGGGTAATATGTACTTTTACTGGGGCTGGATGTCAATTCAGTTGCTGTTTGATACATATGATTCTATTTAATAATTTTATCGATTTAAATATCTTATTATTTATGTCCCCATGCAACAAATTCAATAAATCTAAATCTTAATAAGACATAGTCCACATGCAATCAATACATTTTGATCTCCGGCCAGATGTGTCAATCATGGGTCATTCATCTACACAGTAATCCTCAGCCAGCTTCTTGTGTCTCAGGACAACAATACAGGACAATTTCAAGCTGTTTACACTGAAAGAGGTTTCCACATCAGATGAAATTCAGCTCCTTCCAGGGTGTTCTCTATAATTGGATATAAACAATGAACATGTATCTTTTTCTTTGAAATCTCTTTGCTTTCAATTCTTTTAATTTTGCTCAATTTCCTTACAAAGAAAACCAAGACAGAATATCATTTTACACTTCCTTACCTCTACCAAATCCCAAAGGTGTAACACACTTGAATCACTTCAAGAGGGGACTATTTGGTTTTCAAAAGTTCTGTTTTAATCCTTCTTTTCCTCTTTTTCCTGCTCTTTGGATGTTCTCCACAACTCACTAACAAACCTGCCAAAAATGTTTAACATGTGAGAAAGAGCTGAAAATGCTGTTTCACAGACTAAATTAAGAGAGTAATGGCATAATAGAATCAAAGATTTCTGTAATAAATATGCCAGAATTTATCCCAATTTTTGTCAGAAACAAAGTAGGAAAATGAACTGATTTCTACTCTAACATAGTTGGGATTGAAGGACCCTGGTGGTATATCCCGACCAAAGCCATCCTCAGGTAGCAGCCCCCTCCCGCTTCCCCCGCTTCCTGGTTGATTGCCAACCGGTCCTGTGGGAAGGCGCTCTTTCTTTGAAGTCCTTTGTTTTGTAGTGAATATAATTCATGCGGGTGCAAGAAGTTTCATTAAGTGTACGAACTCCTTTTCATCCTTACCAGTTTATAGATAGAAGAAGGCCGGTACTAAGGATGAGCAGCATCAGCACATGGATATTGAAACCAAAACTTATCAAAAGAAATACAAGCACAATCACAAGACACACGAATATGACGTTGATCGCTGTCAGAAGTCCGCTGTTCACACCGGGCTCAAATATCGACTGAATCACTGCTTGAAACATCGAGCCGATGTAACATTTACACGTTATCGCAATTTGCACGCGGCTCAGGGCAATTATGAGGAAAAGTTAGTAAGAGGGCAAAACGCTAGTTTCCTCGGTACTTCAATGCTTCGATAGATTTCACCCAGGCACTTCATCAGTCCCAGGCCCTTGGGCGTTGGTAGACCCCAGGCCTTACCAAAAGTTATTACAACGACGTCACAAGATGATGAGGTAAATGTTTGAAACAACCACCCGATTTGCTGATTGTTATTGCATTGATTTGCAAAAATTAAGTCCCACTTCATTTATAGTAGTCTGTAGTGCAATAGAGCTTTTGTCTGATTTTCTTGTAGTGACAGTCCTTGCATTAAGGTATAAAATAGTTCAGTAAAATGTCCCTTGGAAGTCAAGTGGACAGTAACTCAACAAGTGACATGCCTTTAAAAAGATATTGCCTTTCTTTTCAGTTTTAAGGTATTATTCTCATGACTATGTGTCATTCAGAGACGATATTGTAAGGAGAAATTAGATGATAATCACTCTTTGGAGTCAAAGGGGTTAACATTGTTCTCAAAATGGAAAGGATTCATAAGCCATCTTCACAGACCTTTAAACAAGTATTGAACTGTGGATGAAATTATATTTTACATGTTATTCAAACTGGCTTTATTCATATTCAGTAACTGTGGAGAGGTGTCTGAAAGCCAACTTTTGCACTGTATGAAACATCTACTGTCAATTCCACAGGCTGCCCCAAAGCATCTTCTAAATCTGGTAAAACGAATTGTCTCAACTGTTCCAATTTTTCCATTACACATCTCCGCTGGCTCTTTGTGCGGCAGTATAGCTTGTGATGAATTCTCCAATGGCCCTCTCTGGCTTCGCACAATACATTCACCTGAAAGTGACAAGATCAATGGGATATGAAACAAAAATGTTATGTAAATCATGGATAAACAGGGCTCCAAGTTCAAGTTTTTTTTTCTTTAATTCACCCATCAAGCACCTCGAACCTTTAGCTCCCAGAAGTGATAAATATGTAACTTCTCCCTATAATATCCATACATAATACAGCAAACAAGTGATGAGACCACTCCAACTTATTAGGTCGAAGTTGTTCTCTTGATGTCACAGAAAATACTGAAATGTGTAGTAGCTAGAATCAGATCTTGGTAGTTAAAGGGTTAAATTATAACATGGTCACCAGAAAAATTGAGTTGCAAAACCAAAAACAAAAAACAAAGAAAAAGAATAAACATTGAAAAAAATGGAAAAGGAAATTTTGTGCAAATATTTTTGGTAAACATTTATCAAACTTCAACTTTTGACCATAAACTTTATGCAAGAAATTGTCTGAACTTGCTACTTGATTATCACATAAAAGTTGTCAGATTGGCAATTTTTGTAAAAGAGAATGATAATGGTAAATTTTCAAAGCACATTCTCTATAGAAATATGCTCTAATGCACTTTACAACACTTTGCAGGGGACTCTGGCCAGAGTGCATTGACCATGAGTGTTTGTCCAAGCTGGGTTTTGAACCCTCAACCTCCTGCATGACAGTCCATCACTCTATAACCAGAGCTAACCAGGCTGCAGTATTACATACCCTTTACTTGCCCTGGGAACATAAATGATCGCACCTTGGAGTGCTGGTAAATTGCAGGGTATCTACTTTATAAAACTATCACATGATTTGTTAATAAGCAAAGATGACCACAGGGTCCTGATTAACAACCTACCTGCCTGATCTGCCATGGTATTTCATGTTCATACAACTGCAAAATTTTCTCTCTAAAAATTTCATGCATTATCTGTTCAAAGTTCTGGTCTGTGGCTGTATCAGCAGGAAAAAGCCAATCAGCAGGCTTTGCTTTAACAGCGAAATATTTCTTGAGATCATCGATCCCATCTCCAGTTCTGGCCGAGACCATGAATACATGCTCAAACCCACTCCACCCACCCTCGTCTTTGTAACCCCATTCATCCTTTTCACGGTCATGCACTAAGACTGTGGCTATATCAAGTAATCTGGTCTTTACTTTGACAACATCGATCTTGTTTAAGATCAGAACTGACGGCAAGTCTGTGTGATTCTCCAAGTTGGTTAGAATTGTTTCGGGAATTACCATACTCCTTTTCCTGTCAGCAGCATCAATTAAAACAGCTATTACATCAGCGTCATGCAGTGCATCACTTGGAGCTCGCATGTGCTCACGGGTCATTTTCAACCGTCTAGCCGTTGGGATGTTTACAATTCCTGGTGTATCTAGCAGTACTATTTGAGCATCGCCGAGTGCGAACACTCCAGTTGTCTGCCTACGTGTGGTATGAGGGACTGCTGTAACCGCAGAGATCTTGTCCCCAATTAAACAATTTGTTAACGTCGATTTTCCACTGTTTGCCTCTCCTATAATCGCCACTTTTAGTAGCCTTGTTCGTGGCAAACCTTTATTCTTTGAGTTACTTTTTAAGTCGTTCTTGTTTGTAACACTTCGATCTGCAGTTCGATCTGTTTCCACGTCTAGATTAGAATCACTTGCCAAACTCCTATGGCCCAGAAGAAAGAACCTTTCGACGTAATTCTGCGTTTGGACAACACTGCTCGAATACTTTTGCGGATTTAAGAGAGCAAAGACATTCCCTGTCCAGATGGACCCCATTTTTCTGCCACAACTCAACCACGTGCGGGCCGCCATGTTTGTGTTTATTCTGGCTTAGTCCTCCTCAACTTTTGATCAAAGGGCGCCTCAGCTCGCTAAACTAACGATCAGGAGCCTTCGATTCGAAAGTTTTGGAATTTATGCGAGAAGGAAATCAATTTAGGGCGTGAATTTACATTTTTCATAAATTCGAGGGGTTTAAACTACGTCTGCAAACGACGCATCTTTAGAAAGTGAGTTAAGATGAGCATATTTTAATGCAAACATTTTTTGACCCAAGGGATTTCCAAATCAGTCTTGTAGGCTAAAACACAATGAAGATCTCAAGTATGTAAGACTGATCGTCGTAGAAGATGAGTATCAACAGGATAGCGATAAGGACAAACAAAGGAAGTTATATCGGTGGAGAAAAGATTTACGGGTAAGAATCAGTCTTTTCTTGTTGTTCTTGTAGAACTCGTTTCGCACCTTAAATTTGTCAATAATAGATCAAATTAACATATCAAGGTGCCTCAATTTAAATCTCAGTCTTTTCTGAGATTTAAATTTACTGGTCAATCTTAGCCGTGTATTAGTTTTCGTTTCGAAGCTGTATTTGTTTGCGTCATGCCGAAATTCATCATCTGTCGATAAGCAGCAAATTGCCCAAACACGTCACTTACAGGAAGTAGATGGTAGTGGAGAGGATGGTGCTCGGTAAGATTGCTACACAGCCACATACCATAATCGTAAAAAAGAAGCTCTTTTCTCAAAAGCAATCTATTGTTTTTGCCATTTTTTTTCTCTATCCAAGAACTGTATGCATAGTGGAACTGTGCAGAAATTTTTCTGGGTGCTCAAATTAGGATTGTGTTCACACTAGAAAAAAAAATTGAGATTAACACTGCTCGTACATCCCTGCCCTCCCACCAAAGGTAAAAATGTTTCTGGAACAATGTGGATTCCTAAAAAAGCATCATGACCCTGGAATTTAATCTAGCAAGGGGAACAAAAAACTGAAAGGTCATTAGAACAATTAAGATCATTTTCATATTTGTCTCAGATCTACAGAGTGATTAATCCGGGGAGTGACCAGGATATAATTTCTCCTTAGATTATCAATACAGTATCATGAAGACAAGTGATGAGAATAAATGAAATATTAATTGAGGGATTATTGGTTGATCTAATATCAAATTCTCCAAAATGACATTATAAGAATTTTGTGGCAGAGAGTAAGGAGCATTACTACTGAGATCTTTGGAGTGTAAGGGTTAAATAGCTAATTAATTTCTCCCAGAAGTGATTAACATGTAACTTCTCCCTATAATATCCATACATTATTCAGCAAACAGGTGATGAGAATACTCAAACTCATCAGTTACAAGATATTACCTTGATCAAACACCAAATTCTTATAACTAATGTACAAAGAAATGTGTAGCTGCTAGAAGGGAGAATTAACAATCAGATCTTGGGAGTTTAAGGGTTAAATAATGTTTATCAATTGATTTTTTTCAGGACTGTGTATCTATGGATTTGTAGCACTGATCCATGCAGAGGAGTGAAACTGAAATTCAGAGGATATGAAAAATGTAAGCTGTGACAATAAAATGTGTATTTTCTATCGATTTTTAACTCTGGATCTTATCAACCTCTTGAAACATGTGCAAAAGATGAAAAACAACTCAAACAAAACCATTAACCCTTCAATCCCTACAAGTGAAAAGGTTCTAATTCCTCTTGACAATCTATCCCTTAAATCAAATTTTTATTTTAAATCACAAGAATAAAGGAAATGATTGGCAACTAACAAAGGTCTTGATGGTTTTACAAATTCTCCCTGTTAGAACCTAGGAAATGTATAGAGAACAGTATGGAGAATATGCATTATGATGTTAGGGTTGAAGTATCATTATGGCCAATATATTAAGTGCCTAAAATTTTGCTACTTAACAAGCAAAGCCTAAACAAACAAATATAAATTTAACTTTGGGTCATTCAGTACTGACATTTTGTTGCTCCTCTTTACTCCTATATTATTGCCCTGTTCTGGCATGTAATATTGTGGTATATTTTGAATATGGTGATATGGTGTAATTGTGGAATGATCATATTCATTATTAAGCGATTTGGTTTTCAGGTGAATGGGAATTTCGAGAAATACAGCAAGACGTAGAAACTCAGTTACCAGTTGAGAAGATAGGAACCAAAAATTCAAGGAGAGATATGTTCAGAGCTGAACTGCGACTCATTGAATATCCTGGTAATATTTTACATTGTAGCTTAGAAAAACACATTTTCAACAAAATTAAGATACAAAAACATGTTGAAGAGATGTCCAAATTATGGGGTAGGTGACCACATGTTTAACCCTTTACAACTCAATATCAACATGTGTTTTCTCAAAGCCTGTTTGCTTGCAACTGTGTTGATATTAGAAAGAGAAATTATTTCTTGATCACCTTTGGGAGTCAGCCCTTTGAACCCTAAGAGTGAATAACTTAGAATAATGGAAATGGTTATCATTGAAAGAAGTTTTTGATTGTTTGATAAATTCTCCCAGTCAGCACTTTAGAAAATTTATAGAGAAGTCAGTACAGAGTATATGCAATCTTAATTATGTAAGGATGTAAAGGAGTAAAGTCAACATTTTCAAATTGTCTCTATCCTCTCAAGCTCAGTGCCTCCAGCTTCAGTCAGTTTATCTTGTCTAGGTTCTCCAACAGACTTAATGGTCATCCATTTGAAGGCCTCACAATAAATTGTTCACCAACTTTAATTTTTCTATTTTAGATGGAATACCTATGGGCTGCTATGCTTATCCCTTCCATTACACACTGCAACAAGGCTTACCAGGTAAGAAACAAATTATTTTGATTGTGATAGGGTTGATAGTTGCTCAGAATAGGGAGAAATTTAAAGTACTCCTAACAGCAGTTGAACATAGCTTTACTGTAGGACCTTCTCATCAGTGATTCCATAGATCTACTACTAAGCCATTTAATATTAATATGGATTTAGAGGCTCCTCTTTCCCATGCTTGTTATTTTCAATAAGAAGTTGTTCTCAGAGGCCTAGAGGGGAGTGTGATTTGGATACTTTCTAGATCAACACATCAACAGTATAACAGCAGGGTGCTGTAATTGCAATTAAATAAAGAGCCTTACAATCAATTCTTGAGAGTTGTACTCAAAAGACTTATCAACAGTGGTGATGGTAAAAGATTTCAAACACTGAATGATTGTCACTATTTCTAATGGTTACTAACTACTAAATTTGTTTTTTTTATCGGCAGGATCATTTGAGGGTGAAGGAAATCAAGCTAATGGGGACAAATGGAAGGCCAAGATTGTGTATAAAGTGATAGCTGAGGTTGATAGACCTGGATCAGGGGAAGTTCTTGAGGTCTGACAAAGTCCAAATACAATAAGTGGTTCTAAATTCATCAATCTTTTTACCTTCTGGAACCTTTTTTGTTATAATTTCCATTTCAAAAGAAATGGTCCTCTTTAACCCTTTAACTCCCAAGATCTGATTGTTAATTCTCCCCACTACCTGCTATAGATTTCCTGGTAAATTAGTTACCAGAATGTAGTGTAAGATCAGGATAACATTTTCTATCTGGAGAGAGTTAAGTTGGAGTATTCTCTGTACCAGTTTGCTAGATAATGAAGGAATATTGTAGGGAGAAGTCATATGTTAATCAATTCTAAGAGTTGAAGGGTTAAAGGATTTTTTTTATTGCAGTTATGAGCAATGATCATTTCTTTAACATTCTATCCATTTTTTTCAGGCTTCACAGGTCATCACAGTTAATGAAAATCTTCCCCTGACATCAGTCGAGCCTGAAGTTTTCACAGATCGCAGAACTGTGAAAATTTGTTGCTGTATTCCAAAAGGGGATGTCTTGCTTAATGCTTGGTATGTTTACTTAGGGGTAACATATTTTGTGTTCATTCAGGTGGGATATACACATGATGCCAGCAAGCATGCATACATCTGTAAACGTAAGCCAACACCATAACTTGCTCAGGGTTCTCAATAATGCAGGGGGTACTTGGCCAGCTGCTTGGAGAAAATGGCTAACAATTCAAGAGGTGCTTCCCAGGGTCTTGAGAGCATTTTCCTGCACAGAAAAATTATTTTTGAAATGTAGAGGCTCTGAAATGCTATTTTATCTATTCTTTTGAAGGTGTATGCTACAAAATTAACTTGTAGATGGAGTTGTTTCTGATCCGGTTTTCTTTGATCAAAGGTTGGACAAGAAGGTGTACACATCAGGAGAAACAGCTTCCCTTCATATTGATGTTAAGAACAATTCCAATGTTGACATTGATTCATTTATTGTTAAGGTAACTTCTGTTCTGCTGAAAGTTTTTCTCTTGTCCTATTAAGGTTTTTTTATTGGGTAATTCTGGCATGTGATAACCTTGACTTAGCCCTTTCACTCACATGATCTCTCTAGTAATTCTCCCTACTATCTGCCAAACACTGCTTATAGTTTTAGTTTGGAGAATTTGGTATTCAATCAAATGATAATCCATTAATTCATAGTTTTTTATATTCTTATCACTTGTTCACTTGAGATCATGTTGATATTTTAAGGAGAAATTCTGTCTTGGTCACTATTGGGAGTGAAAGGATTAACCCTTTCACTCACATGAATTTCACCTTACAATATCAATGCCATATCAAACAGAAAAGTGATGCGAATAAAGAAAATTATCAATTAGGGGATTGTTAGTTGATCCAATACCAAATTCTCCAAACTCACTTCTTAAGAGTTGTATAGCAGAGAAAATAAGAAAAAATAAGAAAAATCACTAATGAGATACTAATGAGATCTTGGATGTGAAAGGATTTAATCTATGTCTTAGTTTTCTATAGTATGTTTTTAAATTTGTTTTCATTTATATCTTGTACTATTTCCTTTCATGTTAGCTTTTTAGAGTGGTAAACCTAAAACCTCAGGAAAAAGATCTTTCGTCATCTGTAAGCAGCCAAGATAGCAGAGCAACTGTCATGACAAGGAGTCCATGTGTTGTAGAAAGCATGAAGGAGAAGTCACTGGATGGTTGTCAGGGAAAACAGCTGAGAAACATGTAGGACTTATAATCCTGGAAATGTTTATTCAAATTAATCAGAGAAAGTGCTTCAAAAATAATTTATAACTCTTTGTCAATTGTGATATAAGGTTGGTGCCATTAACTAAGAAGGCCAGAAATCCCCTCAGCAAGGACAAGAAGGAGGTCACCATGGAAACTGAGTTACAACCTGTGTCCAGGCACCTGTCCACACAACAAACCAGTGAATGGCATGGACACTTGCTCAAAAGTGGGGGGGAGGAGGGGGAAGGGGGCAGGAAGAGAGGGGAAACTAAACACACTTTGGTAGCATAGCAAACCAAGTGGAGCCTGCTGCAGTGACTTACTTTTAACCCTTCTTTAAGTTCTTTTAGCCTCATTTGATTTTCATTATGTGACATACTATTTCTTTTTCTTCTCCAGGGAAGTACCCCTTGAACTTTGGAAAGAGTCCTCACGGGAAGAATTTCAACCATCTACTAGTGGTCAAATTATAAAGGTAATCCAGCTTACCATCAAGGTGCAATTTTCGGTAAAGGTAAAGAATCTGATCCTACCGACGCATCTGCCAACGCATCGGCCAATGCGTCAGCCAACACATTGGCCAACATGTTGGCTGACACACCACCGACACACTACTAATGCATTGGCTAATACATCGGTGGGATCAGATTCTTTACCTTTACCTGATAATCACATAGTTAAGTTGTTTGATAATTGTTTGTTTTTCCTTTCATGTGTTTGTTTGTTTGTTTGTTGCACAAAGATGTTGACCCTTTCACCCCCAGAAGTGATTAACTTGTAACTTCTCCCTATAATATCCATGCGATATCCAATAATAAGGTGACGAGAACACTCAAACTTATCAGGTAGAAAATGTTAACTTGATCTAACACCAAATTCTTGTAGCTTATTCACAAGCAAATGTGTAGCAGCCAAAGGGGAGAATTAACAATCAGATCTTGGGAGTTTAAGGGTTAAATCAGGTGACTACTGCCAGGTCAGTCAAGCAACTGACATATAATTTAGTGGTTACTGTAACAGTAAACAGGTGCTCATTTTGCTTTTTTTTTTCATCCTCCAAGAGTACATACCATGTTGATGTTGAGATAGCCATCAGATGGGCAGTTCCAATCTCTGCTCAGTTGCCAATCACTTTGCGATCACCACCCAGTCAATCTGTGAGTACTTAAAAAAAATAAGTGCACAACATTGCACAGACAATGACTGTTATTATACATTAGAGTTACTATGACTATGACATGAGTTACTCTGATTGGCTAAGAGCATACTGTCAATATACAATTTTATAACGTAGCCAGCAGAGCTGCACAATCAAATTCAGTATACGTAAGCATGCTCAAAATCCCAATAGTGCACGCTGATAGGGTGAGCAAATCACTTCACCAGAAATTTTTTTTTTCAGAGAGGCCATTATTAGCGCAGGTAAAATAATATATTTCATGACAATAATTGATACAAACAGAGACTCGGCCCACCAGTCCCAAAACGAAGACAATTTTCTGACCTTTTCCCTTGGGCTAGAGTTCCTAAATGAGGCAGAAAATGAGAGAAACAATGGGAAAGGAGACTCCATGAACAATCACTTCTGATATTGTTGTCCGTTTTTCGCATCGGATTTGATGCACAATTCCACTGGCTATGTTATAAAACAATTGGTTCATGCTTTTAGCTGTGCACTATTGAGTTATGGAGCACATGGGAAGTTTGGAGAGCACTCAAGAAGCTAGATTTGTCCTTGGCTATTGCCTTGGGCAACTCTTATGCTTCTTTTGTGCTCTCCAAACTTCCCACGTGCTCCAGAACTCGATAGTACATGCTAAAAGCATGAACCAATTGTTCTATAACATAGCCAGTGGAATTGTGCATCAAATCCGACATGAAAAACGGACCAACCAATTTTTAAATAGTATGTGAAGTTGTTGACATGATAACCCAATATCTGCAGCAGATACTGGGCTACATTTTTATGACTCTATTCAGTAATAGATCACAGATGGGATCAAAATGTGGTAACAAAAAGGGTCTTCAGTGATCTTATACTGAACATATGCAGGCTAACATGGTATTAAAAAGGAACTAAAGTTTGTTAATTCTATGTCATCTATGCATCTGCCTGCCAATATATCACAAGAATTAGACTTAATCAAAGTGCATAATATATATTAATATCAATTTGGTATTGTCAACTGAGTTGATAACATAAATTGCCCACTGTTAAGAGTTTAAAAGCTGATGTTTTAAATGTTAGCTCTTTGTCAGAGTGAATGACAAAGGGCTAACACTCAAAATATGAGCTTTGAAACTCTTAAAGGTGGCCAATTTACATTATCACCTTAGCTGATAATACCAAATTACCTTGTTATACTCTCCCACCAATGCAGCACCACAGTTTCTTTAGAAAGTTACCCCCTTTATGTGCAACTATAAAATTCAGCTTTTTATATGAACGCAAATAGATTCTGACATGATGTTAACTGTGTTTATCTTATAGTGGAATGAATGGGAACCACCTCCCTGGGTGTACAACTGCAGAGTCATAAAAATCACTGGTCCCTGTTCTGTTCCTGAGCATTTATTAGGTTTGTTAAAACTCTAACCTTCAAACTCCCATTAGTGACCAAGACAGAATATTTCCTTACAATATCAATACAATATCAAGCAGACAAGTGATGAGAATAAAGAAAATTATCAATTATGGGATTATAAGTTGATCCAATACCAAATTCTGCAAACTAAAATCATAAGAACTGTATGGAAGACAGTAAGGAGAATTACTAATGAGATCATGGGAGTTAGAGAGTTAAGTTAAAATGTGATGTCTATCTCACACTAAACAACAAACTGAGAGAAAATTTGTTTATCTTTTCTTCACTTTAGGTTCCAAATTGTTTGTCAACATTCCTGGTATTCAGGCAGATCCCTTCTGAGAACTTTGCAAGCACCAATTGCAGTGCAGTGAATTGTGTGAACCTGCTTAATGATGGAGAAGTGCTTCTCCTTAGGTAGTGATAGTCAGAATGCAGTTGGCTATGCCAAGGTCATGATAATTAGAGGAAGTACTGTTGATGTTCTAGGAGGTTTTGCTGGCCAGAAAATGTCTTATAAATTATGTCCCCAGATTAAATTGTAGTCCCCAGATGAAGCTTACTAGCTATTCTTAAACTGATAGTAATGAATATTTAAACTTTAAATGACCTGATATGATATAACTTTTTGGTAATCCACCTTAGACTGCAAATTGTTGAACCACTAGAGATTGCTGAGACTGTCTGGGATAGCATGTTTTCATGACTGACTCATCCCAGTAGTCTCTCAACCCTTTACAGCCTAACATCAGTATCCATATTCTCCATACTGTTCTCTATACAGTTCCTGAGGTGCTGACAAGGAGAATTAGTTTAACAATCAAGAGGCTCCATAGTTGATGATCATTTTTTTTTTATTTTTGTTACCTTAATGTGTGATTCAAAGATGGCAGCAACTGTTTAAGTGTGATTTTTTTGTCTTTGAGATCAATGTTTATATTATCAGAGATGAGTTCACCCACCATCCCTGGTGCAATTTTTGTGAACTTCCTTCTTTAATATCTAGAAATAGAGAGATGCCTGTGGGTGAGTCAGCCCCTATAACTAGAGCATTGAGAATCTTGGGTAGCTTGTCACAGGCATTCAGTTGGTAAGACAGAGCTAAATTATAAACAGCAGGATTGTAGCAGCAGAGTGAACATAACAGAGGTTTGGGTTGGGTCATGCACCCCCTCCAGCATTTTTCACTCCTCTGTTACTATCACACAATTTACTATATTTGTGCTTGATTTGGCTAATTGAACACTACTTGAACTATTACTTGAATGGAAAATTTCTCCTGATGGAATCTTTTAAGTGGCTGATGGTTGATGATAATGGTTTTTGAGGTTAGATAGAAATAAAAATTAAGGTAGGAACAATTTTAGTACTTTTCCCTTTAGTTAGTGGGAGTGACCATAAACCCTCAATAGAAAAACTTTATAGTATCACTGGCAAAATCTAAAGTGTAAAAATTATTGAATTTTATTTAAATTTTAATATCGTTTTTCTTGTCATTATCACAAATACCACTAGCGACTTACAATAATGAGCTTGAAGCTGATGGAAATTGCTCTCATTTGGTGTCAAACGAGCTAATTGTAGCTATAGGTAATTGAAGACTTATGTTTAGTTAAAGTGATTTTTGAAGAGCAAATAAGATGAGTTTAAATCAAAACTTCCTGGAACTGATACAAAACAAAACAGGATAGAAGACATTCTCTTTGAAAAATACACATTTTAATTAAACTTGTAGAGTTGTAGAGTTTTAAAGGTACTTTTAGGAACTAATTTTAGGTTCACTATTTTATAATAATAGTAGTCATTATAGTATATTAATCAAACACTCTATTTTACTAGGCAAGTGATGTTTAGTTAAAGTGATTTTTAACCCTTTAACTCTCAGAAGTGATTAACATCTTACTTCTCCCTTTAATATCCATACATTATCCTGCAAATAGGTTATGAGAATACTCAAAAATACTTGGCAGGTAGAAATTGTTACCTTGATCTAACATCAAATTCTCGTAATTAATTTACAAGGAAATATGTAGTAGCTAGAGGGGAGAATTAAAAATCAGATCTTGGAAGTTTAAGGGTTAATCAGAATGATCCTACACAAGATGTTTAAAAAGACAATCTTTAAAAGCTAGTGACACAGATTCGCCAGCCATTTTGATAAGATTGGTGATATGAAGAGCAAATAAGATGAGTTTAAATCAAAACTTCCTGGAACTGATACTAAACAAAACAGGATGGAAGACATTCTCTTTGAAAAATACACATTTTAATTAGACTTGTATAGTTGTAGAGTTTTAAAGGTACTTTTAGGAACTAATTTTAGGTTCACTATTTTATAATAATAGTAGTCATTATAGTATATTAATCAAACACTCTATTTTTCTAGGCAAGCCCAGATTTACACTCATTAATTTTCATTTAGGCCCTAAAATGCAAACAAAGTGGCAGTAAAAGTAGTAAACATAGATCAACTTAGTGTTTAAAAACCCCAACTGACAGGAGGCAGATCATTTGGTTGTATTCAAAGCACAGCTAAGGAGTTGAATGTAAGGAAAATGGGAACAAATCAAGGAAGTGGCAGCATAGAGGGCTTGAACCCAGAAACACTAGATTCTGGCTGGGTTGGTCAAAGCTAGGTTTAGATAACCCAGGGCTAGTTTGAAGTCTGATTTCAGATCTGAAAAGTTTAAAAGAAAGTTCAGTATAATTCTTTTGGTCTACGATTTGATGATTGGATGCTCTTCAAATAATAGAAACAATTATCCCAAAATGGCTTTCGAACAAAGGAATAGAGAAACCAAGATTAAAATTTAACCTTAAGGTGGGTTTAGAGCACTAACCACTTGGCAATACTGCCTTACCACTATTATGTGCATAATATTTGGTACTATCCAGCTATATGTGGAATTTTTTCTTTCTTATTTTAAGGATATTAATTTTGTTCTAAAGTTCAGTGGACAAACTCTTCTTAATTCAGAAAATCAGGGAGTTACCAGCAAGGATTTACACTGTTGTGTATTGAGTTGTCTATAACAATGAGTAACAGTTACAGATATTAACCATAGGTAATTAAGCCATTTTTACATTGAATTGAAAAAATTATTAAAATATTCTTTGCAAAAGCACTTGGAATTGTTTTATTTGGGTACTTCGCTACTCCTTTTATCATTTTCCAAAGATATTAACCACGGTCAAAATTATCACACTCAAACTGCCCAAATCTGTTTTCATTTATTTTCTTACATTAACATACTAACCACTTCACATCTTAACATGTCAAACATTCAGTTTTAGCTTCAGTTACACTGGCCTTTAGAAGGTGTCTCAATAACTTTCCCCATGAGCGGCTGTTGATGATGTAAGGGTGGCTTTACTGTAAGGCAAACCCTAAACACAGAACCTGCTGGCAGGCTAAACAAACCGTGGTAAGAGGTCTTACAGGTGGCAGTAGACCGCCATTGTCTGGCTTTTATAGAAACTAATGTTTAAGAAGGTTACTGTTTTTAAGTCAATGCAAACCAGTGAAGTAACATTATTCTCCCTTCTGAGTCAAATTTTCACTCAGTTCCCAAAGTTTCCTTGCCACTCCATCATCCCTGGTATTAGGAGGGAATTCTTTCACATCACAGTCAGCAAAGATTGCTCCAGAAACTTGTTTTAACTTTTCCTCAGTTGCACAGTAAACAATTGTCTGAGCTCCTTCCCATGGTCTCTTTGTCACTACTGTGGCAATTGGGTACAGGAACAATTTTTTCAGCAAACTTAGTTTTGAGTTGCGATGAAGTTCTGTCCAACATAATCCAGGACACAGTGAATTGACAGTTACACCTGGAAATTGAAGATGGGAATCATTTTGAAGACAGGAAACACAGAAGTATGGGTCTGTTTCATGTGCCTGTCTTTAAAATAATATCTCTTATAATCCAACAAATAATTTTGGTCATACACAATTGGTCTAAACACCCCTACATTAGCTTCCATTTGACACAAAGATATGCATGTTTATTTGTCCTTGAACATTACCTGTTCTTTGGAAATCTCAGTTTTCCTTAAGCTCTACTTCTGAAAACTGTTTACTCCTCAGAAAAAATAATGTCTGTGGAGAAATATCCCAGCATATTTTAGGGCCAAATGGAGGGTATTGTTTATGTAACTGATTCTTTTCTACCTTCTTCTCATCTTTTCTGCTTGAAAATGTCGTGATAATCCAAACGGAAAGTTCTTTTTGGTTACTCCTAGTAATAAAAGGGTTGGAAGGTACAAACAAATGATCATCCCTTACCATCAGGAAGCCTTTTGTTTAACTCGTGAGCAAAAAGCATGTTTGCCAGTTTGCTTTGAGCATAGGGACCTTTCATGCGGTATCCTCTTCCAGGTTTTTCGTGACCTTTCTCTCCGTGAATATTGTCAAAATCAATAGAAGCCCTTTTAGCCAAGCTTGATGACACAACGACAATCCTGCTTGGAGATGATTTCTCGAGCAGATCTAATAACAAATTTGTCAACAAAAAATGCCCAAGGTGGTTTACACCAAAATGCATCTCAAAACCATCTTGGGTTTTGGGCACAGGAGGGTCCATGTAGACTCCAGCATTGTTTATCAGGACATCCAGCCTCACTTCCTCCTTTAAAATTTCGCCTGCAAACGTACGGACTGACTCCAGAGACGACAGATCAAGACTCTTCACGACAACTGTTGCATCTCTGACCTTTGCACGGATTTCGTCGGCAGCTTTTTGTCCTTTTTCAAGACTCCTGCAAGCGAGGATAACCCTTGCTTCACGTCGAGCGAGCTCAAGGGCAGTTTCTTTACCGAGCCCTGTATTCGCTCCAGTGATGATCACAGTCTTCCCTTTCATCGAGACAGTATTCGTACATACTCCTCCAGCAAAATAACAACGCAAACGATAATATACAAAGGCAAGACCAGCGGTCAAAGCTGATATGACTATCACCGCGTCATTCGCCATTTTGTAAAACCTTTCTAAAGACCTTGTTACCAGTCTACCGCGTATTTCAAGATGGCGGGTTGTGGACACCAGCACCATGACCACGAACATGACGTTTCTGAAGAAGAAAGAGGGGCTCAGTTTCACCTTTTTCTAAAGATCGATCTCTTAAAGCTTCAATGCCTGAACGAAGCTGAGGAAGAATCGGCCAAAAACGTTTTCAAACCTTGGGATGAACGCTTGGATACTAACAAATTTGTCGAAAGTGATGTCGACGAAGAACTTTTGTTTAACATTCCTTTCGTCGGACAGGTCAAATTAAAAGGTGTTGTCGTGATTGGCGGAGAAAATGGTGAGCATCCCTCTGAAATGAAACTGTACAAGAATCGCCCTTCCATGACTTTTGATGATACAAATGCGGAGCCTGATCAGACGTTTGAAATGAGTGAGGACCACGATGGAAGTTTAGAATACACGCCTAAAGTCGCACGTTTTTCTAATGTGGAGCATCTTTCAATTTACTTTCCGCGTAACTTTGGAGCTGAAACTAGCAAAGTGTATTTCATAGGATTGAAGGGGGACTTTCAAGAGGCCCATCGCCATGGCGTGACAATTTGTACCTACGAAGCAAAACCGAACATATCTGATCACAAAACAGGCGCCTTTAACAGCGTCAATCATACGATTAGCTAGAGAGAAAGAAAGGGCTTCAATTATTGAGTGAAAAATTGAATGCGCTGTTGAGAGCTTGTTGCAGTGGAAAGTAACATTTTTTGTAAAGTTCAACTTAGAGAAAGAGTGTTTCAAATAGTTTCATGTTTCATCAATTTGTCAGTTACAGCTGTTGAACCATTATTAATTCTGGTTTAGTTAGGAGCAATAAACGAGGTGTTCCATTTGAGTATGGAAGCTTATTTTTAGGGGGCACAGGGAGATTCGTTTTCTTTTTGAGGATGGAGGGGGGAGAATGGGGAAAAGAAGGTAATACTCTCCCTTCCCAGCCCTTCCATCTCTCGCACACCTTCGACTCATATCTCTCTTTCCACGTTATAAAACACTGCAAATCAATGATCGACAAATGTTTGTATCGCAGCGTGTCTTTCCAGCTTCCCACCCTAACATTAGTCCTCCCCTTTCATGGTTCATGTACCCTTTCCACTCCCTATTCTCTAGGACTCCTTCCCTTACCATGATACTCTTGCTTTCTCATTTTCTTCGTTTCTAATCGCTTTTGTTTAATTTTACTTCGGAATGGTGACTAAAGTTTCTTTGCGGAAGGAAAACTCTTCCCCCACGTCGTCTCGTTCAAGCACCCTACGTGTTGCAGACCTAACATATGGGAGTCGGGGGTATCTGTTGCATCCGGGAAACCTCTTACACTTTTCGCGCGAATTTCGAGTCGACTGCACACAAACAATATGGCGGCCCACTGCAGCCAAGATGAACAAAAACAGGTGAGTTTTGTTTATGTTACTTGCCCTTTGTTTTCATAAATAACAGGACGAATGAAAAGGAAAGGGATTTTTTTATTTTAATTCGTTCAAATGTACGTGATAACGAGTGTTTTGTACGTGTTTTCGTCTATTATGTGAGGAGAAGGAGGGCTCGAATTTAAATTCTCCATGATGAGCTGTGAGATTTGAAATAAAGGTGCGATCTCCGACCACATATTTGCTAACCACCCATATATATTAAATCGAGTCACTTGCATCTTTTTCATGTGTATAGATTATGAGGCAGCGGCTGTTAGAACTTGAAAGAAAACATGCGAAGGCCTTGAGAAAACTTAAGGTAAGTTACAGGAATTTTTTCCTAATGATTCTGCACCGGTGTTGAATTTATACAAAGCAATTCACCTTAAAAGGAGACGGTCGTTTCACTCTGACCAGTATTTATTACTTGTTTTATAGAGAGCTGAGATTACAAAGCAAAGGCGGCAAACCTTTGGTGGTTTCACAGTCCAAGAGGAGACCACATACGGTGATGCTCAAAACAGATCCAGTATTTTACTTTCTCGTGAATCATTTTCTCCCGGAGACGCAAATTCAAGTTCCCTTTCAGCTTACAAGAAAGGAGTCTGTAAAACTGTGACATTTAGGGATGTTGTAGAGACTCATCAGCAACCACTTTGTGAGAGGAAATTAGAAAATAAAAATGAGATAGATGTGGCTTCCAGTGGAACGTCCAAACAAAGATCTGCCCTTGTGGAATCGTGCAAACAAAATGAGAATGTCAGTAAAATAGCACAGATTTGTGTTGGGAACAACAATATTCATGGTTTTGAAACAGACAATGTGTGGGTCACATCATGCAATGATGATATTGCATTATGTGACAATGCAGTGCTTCCTGAAAACAGTACAGTAATATCAGAGCACAAAGATTTTTCCAAGAGTGAGGTTGACCAAGGCCAAACTTTAAGAAATGCTGCTTGTTCTTGTGGAAATGAGGATGTACAAATTCCTTCAAGGAACAATGAAAACAGTGAATCAACAAATGTAATTTATTTTGATAATTGTGGAAAAGAAATGACTGCAGCCTCTGAAGTAGTTGAACCTCTAAGTATAGGAACTGTATCAGTTTTTAATTCAGATGCCCTTAACAATGAAGGCATACAGGAATGTTTGGCTAAAGGTGAAGCTTCTGAAAAAGCAGCTGAGGCACCTGAAAAGAAAAATAGTATTAGCTGCTCCACTGTTCATGAAAATGGAAGTTCATCTTTAGAAAGCAGGCATTGGATGCATCTATTTGAAGAAGAGTTTCCAAGGAGATCTCCAAGACTACATTCCACACCCTGCTTTGGAAAGCAATCACTTGTTTCCAAGGATTGTTATTCTACACAATCAAAGAAAACAAAATCATACAGATCAAAACAGTCTAGTCCAAAAAAAGGAATCAATTCACAAAGCAAAAGTAAAACCATGAAATGCAGTGCAGAACAATCATCAGTTACTTTGAAAGACAATTCACACGAACAAAGTTTGTCCAAGGGTTTTGTGTTCCCAAGACCCTCCTTAGATAAGGCAAAACCTGGTGGTCCTCTGGGTATCATTGTAGACTTTTCTTTGCCTGATAAAGAGTTTGCAAAGTTGAAACTTGCAAAAATCAAAGCTGCTTTGCCAGCTGAGAGGATCAGCGGAGAAGTAAATAACAAAAGTATTGTAAAGGTGAAAGAACATGACACTATGCCAAAGAGAGAGAAGGCTTTACAGGAGTTGAGTGGTGGTGAAATCAAAGAAGACTGTTCTCACAATTTTATTAATTCATCAATAGTATCTTCAATGCAATTTGATAGCACAAGTAAACCTGATGAATTGGAAAGTGTCTCTATTACAGACACCTCAGACAGAAAGAGTATCAATCAAGCGCCACAATTCATTTCCACATCTGGAAACTTAGAGAGTCAAAAAAATTCAGAGCATTGTGTAAATCAGTTCCCATCAAGTCCAAAACACCAATATGATCTTCAGTTGAAACATGAGCAAATGAATAATAGTGAAGTAGACTTCTCTCCAAGGGAAACATTGCAAGAAAATCCTATAATAGGTGTAAAGCCTTGTTTACCTTATCAGGTAGATGAAAAGTCAGTCAGTGAAGTAAACATTGGGGAAGAAACATGCAGTATTACACACTCAACTTGTGATATTCCTCTTAAGGATGGTGTTGATGATAAAATTGATGTTGTAAGTGACAGCGGTGATGAAAACAACAAAGAGATTATGGATACCTCAGACCTTGATGATGGAGCATTGGATAAAAATTTTCCACATCAGTGTGGTCATGAGGGACCAAAATTATGTAAAGAAATTTCCAATGATAGGCAGCCTAAATTTGCTTCCAATTCTCCTGAAAAAGATGGTGTGAAGGAAACTAAAGCTAGAAAAGTTTCATGTGAAGCTGATTCAGTCATTTACAGAAGTCAACTAAGTTTACTTCATTTAGAAGAACAAATATTAAGTCCATCATGTCCTGAACCTAGTGTTGGTGAACAAGCTACTCCTCATGGAAAAATGACTGAGCCTTTAGAGAGCTCACAGTCATCCTGTTTAAGATCACCAGAGGATCAATCAGAACTGACTCCCATGCTGATGATGGCCTGCTTACAGGTACATATTGCTTCTAATTCCTTAACTTCCATAGTCTGGTCAGTAATTCTCTTTGATAGCTTCTATACTCTTCCTAGTTAGTTAGTAAGGAGAACTTGACAACATCTTCTACTTGATAAATTTGTCCATTCTCATCACCTTTTGTAGGGTTACTGATGACTTATGGTGACTTTGAAACTTAGCAGGTTGAGAGACTATTCTAATGTAATGGTTGATCTTTGCTTTCCTTATGAAGCAAAGGAAAAGTCTGCACTCAAGCCTTGTGACCCATCCATTAGGAGTTGTTTTTGAGTTTCTGTAGCATAAGCGACAAGGAGTATGACTATTCCCCCCTAGATAGGATTCCAATCCATAGCATTATAGGTTATCCCCCAGCATTTTATTAGGCTTCCCTGCCTTTTTGCTAGTACCAATTTATACTCCTTGGTGGAGAGATAGACACCTTGAAAGTAAAGTATTTTGCTGAGGAACAGAGTGCAATGACCTGGCAGGTGTCGCACCTGAACCTCTTCACCCTGAGTCCAGAGAACTGACTGTAAGGCCACTGCATCTACCACATCCTTATAAAATAGCTAGGATAGCCTTATTTTGTTATTATTAGAAGTGAAATTAACTTTAAAAACAGTATTTTAATTATCATTAACACTAAGTTATGTCATATCTGTTTTTGCATAGCATCATATGGAGGGTGAATGCAATGTTGTCAGGTCTGTTTCTCTGTCATCATATGAGCCAGCAAGTGGGAAAGATGTAACAGTACCAAAGATGAAGAGAGATGTTCTGGCAGTTTGTCTGGCTCATTTAATCGTCATCTGGACAGTTGTACCTGGATTGCAATGGAATGTACTTTACAAATGGAGTCTTCCTTCTGTAAGAGATCATCACTAAATTTTGTTATAATATTTTGTTTAGCCCATCAGGTGTGATGGCAGAGAGAGTCAGGAGGTTCAATATTTTTTGTGCACAAATGCACTTTCAGCTCATTAAAAGTACAAAAATGTGTGTGATAGACATATTTACCATGTGGTTTTATGGTGTGAATTTGCTATATCAGTTTCAATTTCCACATAGTGTTAAATTGTGTGTGAGCCTTGCCCCAATTTTGATTCAAAAATAGTGGTTTTTGATGTGATGCTACAAATCTAATAGTAGAAAAAGAAATGTTAACTTTTGAATAAAGTTAAAATAATACACTTGTTGGACTTGTGATTGACACTTGAAATAATCTTGCAGAATGGAGGGGAGGAGTTTGTGAGTGTTCAAGTTGTGCCAAGGAATTCTCATGTTGTCCTTTTGGTTGGAGGGAATTTCTGTGGAGGCAATGGGAGGTAAGGAAAGGAGTCATTGGAAAGAAGCTTTTAATGAGCTAATGATGACAATTTAAAACTGGGCTGTGTGAAAGAGCATGTGCTTCAGCTTACGTTAAGAATATGGGGCCTCCATATTCTTGCATAAATCATTTGGGATACCTTTGGCAAAAGGTCATTATCCTTCAAGAATGGGCCCTGTTATAGCTACAACAGGGGATAAGACTCTTAAACTTTAGCTGTACCTACATGTGCCTATTTATGGGTCAAATTATGACATCACAATGTAGTCCACCATAGATCCTGATGCAGTGCACATGGAAATTAGGATGTTTTATTGTTTATAGAGAAAAGAAGCACTTGTCAGAGAATATTTTACTGTTGACTAGTAATATCAACTTTGGCTGATGTGTTAAAGAGAAATTTAGAAAGTAATATCACATGTAATTTAATTTTACATACTAGATCTACAAGTGAAGATCATGGGGATAGCATCTTTAAGTAAACAGAGAAAGTGTAATTGAAAGGGGAAATGAAATGATTAATAATTAATAATTAATACTGATCACACAATTAGGTCATTCTGACTTTGGTCCGTTGCAGAATTCTTGGTTACTCAGATGATGGAGACTATTCTTTGGATTTGAAACATGATGACACTTTGTAAGTAATTTTAATTTGTATGGGCTTGTAGGAGATATGTGTATGAAAGTAGAGGAAAACACTGCAAGCAAAGAAAGCAGGCAGATTTTCAAAAAGGGGAGTGTTTTGACCTCTCTCCAAAAACTGATGGGAATGTTGATCCTCAGAAATTTAGAACGTAGCTTCCCAAAGGTGTCACTCTGCATTTCATGGATCTAAGTTTATTTTCATCTGTTAAAAATTACAATTGCAAGCAACAAGTAATAATTCTGTGAGGTGAGGCTTAAATTTCCTTTTTAACAGCTCTCAATACCGAAATGCGTTTGAAATTTCACCCCAACTGCTAACAGTAATTACTACTGAATTAAATTTTGAGAGGAAGATATGCTTATTTTTAAAGTAAGAATTTAAAGCAAAAGCACTTTCTTACTTTAGGAGTAACAAGCACAAATTTTCAACCATGTGCTTACTGTCTGATTCATGGGAAAAGGAGAATACCAAGGACATTGAGTTTGTTATCGCAAACAGGGAATCTTCTGAAGTAGCCTTGACAAAGTGGACGCTGGATAGTTTCTGCTTGTGAGTATTTGAACTATAAGAATTTTCACGACTGTGATAAATCTATTGAAAGACTGAAAGAACTTAAAATGATAAAAATGTAGAGCTCGAGTGTACAGTAGCGTAACAAACTGTTGTGGTCTGCTTGTGGTCTCCCCCTCCCATAAGCCCTAAGTAGCCTTCATTTGACTTGCTGGTTACACAAAATTTATAACACTCTTTTTTTTTTCTTTCGGAACGCGCAGAAACTTGTTTCTAATTTTGAAAATTGGAAGAAAGTTTCTGCGCGATTCAAACAGTCCGTGACTCGGACGACGAGATCAGTCTGTTTAAAGGAACTTTTAGTGCCGACAGAGTGCACCCACAAGAGCACGTGCACCATGCTTTTATATGTCTATGACTGCACGACGGGGAGATGTTGATTTGGTAGACTTGGCCACTTTGCATCCCTTTGATGGACTCATCCTCCCCGTTTAAAACCCGTGGAACATTTAAGCCTAGTGATGGGGTGTTTGAGATGTATTTACAACATAAACTAGAACTTTCCGTCGTGAGTGAGAGCCGTCTACATTACTGCGTCACAGTGACTAAGATTGATGCCAGTTTGAGCGTGGCAGGTTCCTCTGTATCGAACAGTTAAACTATTGTTAGGATGGCCAGCTTGTAGTGAATAGCTCGGTTTTTTCGGTAGGAAGATGCGGTTTCATCGTCTTTGTGAAGATACGCTGTTTTCTTCAATCATGGCTAGGTGTCAAGTTTTAAAATAGTTAACAATAAATTATTTGGTAGAGCTCTGAATTCAAGACAAAAAGTTCAAAATTATCGCGATCACTTTGCTCGAAATTCTTTGGCTTCAAGAGATTTTTTGACATTTTTCTTCCTTGTTCTACTTAGGGTAATTAAACAAAGGCAGTATTTTACTCCAATAATCACTGAAAGTGAACTTTCATCAATCCAATCCGTTGAAGGTAGTCACTGCCTTCTCTTGGGCACAACGCAGGATCAACTCTTACTGTGGTGAGTTGTTGATATTGTCAGCATTATGATTATAACTACCGCCAATAAAATCATTGTTCTAATCACTGGTCGTTAATGATTTTCGTATAAAGCTTTGTGAGGCGCAATGAGAGGAATGAGATATCTCTACATCACATCTCATTTCTCAACTGGATCTTGGAGAAAAACGATTTCTCCATGGCTGAATTTTTCAAGAACTATACCCCTTTGTCCCTATATACTTTCTACTTCAACAATGGTACGATTATCTTTATCTTCTTTCTTTAGGAGGGTCAATTGTACGGCACAAACGCTAGGAAAAGTTGTAGTTATTTTAATGACATTAGGACAATTTTAAAATCAACTTACATTTTAATGCGCCTTTGCCTGTCTTTGTCTTCGTAATCGGTATTGCTTGAAACATTGAATTTGTATACCATGTTCAGTTATAGAGCGACTTAACAAAATAGAATGAATTACAAGGTTACTTTAAAAATATTTTCCGGAAATTACACAGTAGTCTTAGTTTTTGCCGTTAGTAAAGTCGTCGTACACTTTGACGTGAAACTGTCCTCATCATTCGCGTTACATCTCATGTGGTTTTTTCGTGGAAAACCTGTGGCTCCAGCTAGTTAGTATTTCGTTGTACATCTTTGGCAGCCCGAGGTTCCATCGCGATTCAAGGAACCAATTCTACTCAGTACATCCCGGCAAAAGTTTGCTCTCTTACTCGGGACGTCATACCGGTCCATTCCAATTCTGATGGCAACCTGATCCCTGGCGTCGTCGATGCCACCCTTTTGAACGGTGTTGGCGGCAAACAGCAGCACCCAGCGTCGAATGCTGGCAGCGCGGCCGACGTAGCCATAGTGGATGTTTCCAGGTACATCGTAATTTACGCATCGTCCACACAGGGTCACAGTTTTTGGGCAACGATAGGGACATGATCGTCGTCTGAACGTCTGGGTGCATTTGTAATCCCACGGCTTGCAGTTAGCGACAAGGTTGGCAAACTGAACGAGACACCTGGGCCAGAGAAAAGTGTTGTACCAGCTACGGCAACTTCTGATGGCTCTGTTGTTTCTGTTACGGTTCATTTGCCTTATAAGCCAAGATGTCACGTCCGGTCCACATCTGTCGCAAAAAAAAATTGACTTTCTTCAACATCTCTAGCTTTTGGCCTACAGTTTATTTTAGTTAGTAAATGAGGGGAAGGTCCCTCACCTTAACATTAGAAATGCCTTAACTTTTCTGCGCGTAGCTGTTCGTCCTACCTTCGACTTCTTCGACGCCTTGGATCTTCGCTGACAACATCCGGATCCGTGTAAGGATCTTCCAACTCAGCGTAACTTCCATCCTTCTCAGGGAGGTCCAGCTCTTGAATGCCTGGATCTTCCAACTCAACATAACTTCCATCCTCTCTAGGGAGGTCAAGCTCTTGAATGTCTGTAAATGTTAGAATTGTTAGCAGAACACGACTTTCCCTTTTTGTTGGTAGCTTCTGAGCCCTGGAGTGATCAGAGCGACTAGGGCTTAAGATCGTACTGCCTTATTTCAAATTTGCTTCAAATGCTGCGTTTTTGAAAATACTACATTTCCCGATCTGAAAAAGAAAAATCCTAGCTAAAATGTTTCCCTTTCAGGCCACCCACCCAACTATAGGTTCACAATTCTGATTCAAAACCAACTTCCAGAAGAAAAAGAAAGGCAATCTGCTCTGGGACTTTTTTTTATCCGACCAAATATCTCGCTTGTCTCTTTTCCAGTTTACTGGGCAAGAATCGGTGCATTTTCAGAAGGGTCATAGTTAAACATTCTTCAAACTATTGTCCGGAACTATTGTGATCTTCTACGTCTTTCATTACCAGTTGTTCTTTTCTCTAAATTTGTTTTTTTCTATTATTCATGTAAAGAAATATTTTCCATCAAAAGGGGATCTCCATTGCATGGTTTGTACCATCACCGACTTTATAGAGTGCGTCCGAAATAGGAATTACCTTCTTCCGTAAAACCGAGGCCGTTTGTCACCAGAATGGCAAACATCAGAGGCAGCATAGATACCAAACGACTTTTCGACATCATTTTTGTGTTACTCTGTTTGTTAAGAAGAGCAAACACTTTAAGGAATGAACTGGAAATTTCTTTATATATGGTTTAAGTAAGTGCGTCCTTCGTCATCGTTGTCGCCTGTGTCAGTAATACTTATCAGTATTGCCAGAGCTGAAACGATCTGAAATCGCAATATTGTGACGGGCTTACTTTATCTATTCCAAGCCTTTCTTCTGAAGTGTAGTATTAATATTTATCTTTAAAGTGGTCTGTGGTGCTGCTTAACTAATTGCTTTTTAAGCACAAAATATATCCATGTATCAAGTAAGAGAGGTTGCTATCACGCCCTGCTACTAGCACTGGATTGGAAAATAAAAAAAAACTGTTGAATGCAACTACAACACAGATGATAAAAGTACATATGGAACGCTGCTATTTTTTTTTTCTTGTGGGGAGGGGGAGGGAGCGCATCGGAGAAACATTTGAAAAGGGTGTAAAGGTAGCCTTGTTTCATCTGATAACTTGAGAAAGTTATTTTTAATCAAGGATGAGTCAAAAATATATTTAAAACGTCTCAGCTCAATATTTATCGTTTAAAGCTGCCTACAGTTACTTCAAGTGGTTTTGTGGTATAGCAGTGCACAACATTTCATGGCTCATTAGCCATTTTAAGTACCATGTATCAGAGGAAAAAAAGACTTCGTCTTTCTTTCAATAACTTGTATCGAATGACATTCAAGACGCTCAATTCATTCGCGAAAAATGGAAGTAGTCGATAGAGTTGCACTAACCCCTGGTCACCTTGTTGGTCATGTTATATTCTCTTTTCGTTGAGATGCACGTGTTAATACTCGTTACAAAAGTAAAGTCACACGTTTATGTTGAATCGTTAATGGCCACCAATCATTCCACCTTTTGTCTTTTCATCGTTAGAGTTAATAGGAAATGTCGTCTTACAATCTCTCTTCTCACTCGATAATCATGGCGCATCTTTGTTTGTTATATGACTTGTTAGAGAATTGTATGGGAAGTAGTTATTTTTCGTGCATAGCCTCAGAAAACGGAGAAAACGTCACTAAACATTTAAACGAACACTCCGGTTTATAATGCAGCTCTGCTATTTTGATCCTATCGAGTACTTTCTAAGACCATCATAACTCTTTTGTTAAGGAGCCGTTTAGGAGTGGATGTTAAGCTAGAGCGATGCTATTGAAATCCTCCACATCAATTTGATCTAGGGAATAGATAGATAATAGATAAATAGTTTTTAGAAAGTAGTACAATGATCTGCTCTATCAATTGTGTACAAAGTAGCACTTTGAACCCAATTAACAGATCAGATTGTTATATTGTTTATTGAAAATATTACCTCGAAAAACACTCCGGTTGAAACGATCTGTAACGATGATGCATGATCTATATCCGTCCATGAGAAGACTTACAAACTGAGTTGTCACATAGGCAAAACAAATGATCGCTAAGTTAGATGTAACATATATTTTTTGTGATTAATCTAGAGCAGTTATAGTCTGGTGGCATGTACATAACAAATCAATATTCAGAGAGTTGCCCTGAGGTTGACATAACATCGTAACACCTCACCTTGTACCCATTTCTGAATGATATCTGCTTTGAGATGCTTCTTTGCCAAGCAAACTAGAAAAACTGTGTCGCTCATTACTGCCAAACAAATGTTTTAAAAGATTACCGAAGAGGCATAAACTTCAAGGATAAAATATTTTTTCAACTTTAAAAATTTTACTTGCCTCTTTAAAAGTGGGAAAATTTTTTCTTAGTAATGGCACCAATGGGACTTGTTGTTGTAGAATCTTGGACATTAAAACGATATAGTTTATTTGAAAGGTTTATATTGAGTCAAGAACAACCATTCATATTGAGTTGACCCTTTGCCCCTTAAGAGAGACTCGCAAATAATTTCTACAGTATCACCCCTGAATCTCACATTAAGGTAACGACAATAAAGGAAAGGGTCACAAACTAAAGAAGCTCTTGTTTGTCATAAAACGTCTCCTTGTCAGCACCTTACGAAATGTATAGAGAACAGTATGGAGAATATACATACTGATGCGAGGGTGTACTGCGCATGCGTTAAGAGAATACTCCGCACGATGATTGAATGGGTTCAAAGCATTGCTATGTTGCACTGTCCAAAACTATCCCTGATATATATTACAAATATGTTTCTAGGATTATTTTTCATCGACAAGGAGTTTTTAAGATTATCGACTTTTAAGCAACAAGAGTATTAAGTTCATGCTTTTTTGGTTGGCTCACTTGAACTGATCAGTCCAACATAATAAGTCATAACACAACAATATTCCCGAAACATACACATGTTCACGTTTTTCTGATTTTGACTGTAGACCTATTCGTAAAAAATGTCATAACGGTGGTTTTCGTCCTTGATTTCAGGAATCACAAGACATGCCAGGAGTTACGAACCATAAGTCTCCGTACCCAAGGTCTTGGTCAGTTGTTTTGCCTTAAAGCGTCTACTGAAAGGGTACGACCTTTATTTTGTTTCATTTTTCATAATAGTTTGGCTTCAGTCAGAGTGGACCCTATATTGTCTTACAAATCCACCCCAGAGTGACCGATATGTAACTTCTCCGTACTATATTTATCCATTATCCAGCAAGTAAGTGGTGAGAAGACACGATTTTTCATTGTGGTGAATTATTCTCACTCATTTAGACCAAGATGTATGGAACTTAAAGGGAGAATTTCAAGTTGAATTTTGGGAGTCAGAGGGCTACAGGTGATTTGTCGCAGCTCGATTCAGGATCATTACATAGTTTTAACAACTGTGACTCTAAAGGCTTGTCTTTTCGGTTTTAGGGGCTTCTTTTTCTTATGATGGCTGGTCGATCAGGAAAGGTATTGTTATAAAATTGTTTTTAATCTTTTTAGCACTCCTCTAGCCTTTGACGAAGTTGTTGTAACTTCAACTCCTGGTAAAAAGGATGGAGAATACCGGACATTTTGAAACTCGAACGGCGACTGATAAGCAGATACTGTCTCATCTTTTCTCACTTTGACCTCCACTGACCGATCAGTTTTAAAACCCTTGATTTGCCAGTTAAAATCAGAGCGAATCTGGAGTGATTGTCGTGTAAACGTTTAAACAATGATAAATAAGTCACAACGATTATATGCTGCCCTTACGAAAACGCCTCATTAAAACTTCTTACTGTACAAACAAACGTCGGAGGCTTTTCATTTTGGCTTTGGAGTTTAATTGGGGTGCCGGCCTCTATTTGTGGTCGAGCTCAAAAGTAACTACAATCTGCTGAATAGCATGCACTGCTGTGATATACTGCTGCTTTGATCGGATGTGTTAGTTTGTACATGAAAATGTTCAAAGGAAAAGGAATAACCCTCAGAGAGGACCTATCGACAGTTTTTTGCAACTGGTGGACCAAAGGATCAATCATGTCGTCTTGATAAACTAACCCTGGGCTTCGGAGGTTGGGGAAGAAAAAAACTCAAACTTGAATAAATGAGAAAGATGCTCTATTAGAAAAAAAAAGACGGACCTAACTTAAACGTCAATCTTGTAAAACGACGGCTTTACTGAGCAACACTTCCAGACATAACTAGTTGGGACACTTCTCCAGAAAACTGTCTACGTTGTTCTTTGGCTCCTCTCCCCCTTCCAATGTTTCTCTGCCATCTTGCGGACCAAAATTGAGAGAAGCAGGGGAGACGGGAGGTGTCCCAACAAATGTGTCTGGGAGTGTAAGGTTGAAATATATGCATGCAGATGGGATTCAAATTAGAAAGTACGGTATTCACATACATTCATCAACAACAACAACAACAACAACAACAACTTTATTTAAACCCAAAAGTTAATAATAGTCATAAATTGTTAGAAAGATAGGGCAGCCACACTAAGGTGATTAATTGACGGATATTGGTGTCAGCACTACTCATATTGCACACACAGATTCTTATCAGGCAATGAGGCAGACTTCTCAGTTGACTTTGTTATTTATTTAATGAACACTTGATGAAAGCACTGACTGATATGTCACTGACATATGCCAAACTTGGGAGACCTACTGTTGCCTACTGTCGCTTCCATTCAGACCAGTGATGATCTTTTGCAATTTTCAGGAAATTCAATGTGGAGAAAGAAATTATTCTTGTTTGTTACTTGCTTTGAATCCAAAAACATCCCAAATGGTATGCCTGGAACGCTTTTTTCCAATAGATGGGTAAGTATCGTAGAGATGATCTTTAAACGAATGTGGAGTCTATGATTGATTTCTATGAAAACGAAACTAAGTAAACTTAATAAAAGTAATCACAACAGCCAGTCTGAAAAAACAAGAATACCCCTTGGACTAGTTAGAAATCAAACTAAATACATGCAAACTGCTTAAAGCGCAGAATAAACGCAAGTACTAAGTTGAGTTTCGCATGAATATTGATTGAGGGGGTGGTACGAGTTTTCTTAGCCTATGAAGGAATGAAAAGAACCAAGCGTACTTCAACCCTGGAGTAATTTCGACACTCAATTTAAATTTGCTCTTAATTCGATTTTGCGACCCTTGACTTGACTCTGAAATAAAGTTGGTTCCATCCTAATGTTGTGTTCTTTCCGCGCTATGTGCTTAACTCTTGATTGCCTTTTTTTTTTTGTTGATGTGTTTGTCTTTTGGCTTCACGACTTGCAATCGAAAAGGCCAATACAGTCGAGCCTGTATTAAGCGGCACCGTATTAAGTGGTCGGTTGTCAAAGTCCCGAATTTGTTTCCCCTTAATCATTGTGATTTCCACCACTATTTAGCTGTCACCTCTATTAAGTGGTCGTGATCACCCTTAACTAAGTCCCAACGGCCAGTTTTCATATCGTCTTTCACTTGTATTGAACGGTCTCTTGAAGCGGAACCACTTAAACAAAGCTAAGAAAAATATTTCAAGTAACTTTTAATCCATGTTTCTCTCCCGAAATCAATGTGAGTTGTATTTTGGAGTGAGTTTTTGTACATTGAGTGATCAATTATGGTATAAAATGCCGTTTTTACTATTATTTTTTTTATAATAGCCCTATTCTGTGGAACCTTTATAAAGCGGTTAACCTGCCATTCTTCTTAGGTGACCGCCTAATGCAGGTTCAATAGTAATCAGGTAATGTATGCATAATATTTTTTTAAGATCTAACTCGCCTATGTCAATTTTGATCTCATCAAGGTTCCACACGATAGGCACTAACGGTCAGTATATCGCAGCAGGAGGTCAGGCCACAGGTGAGGTGAACCTGTGGAACATCACCAAAAGTCGAAGGCTTGCTTCGATGAAAGTGTTTCAAGGTATGAAAACCGTACGAAATTCAGTGTGACAGCGTTCTTGTAAGTCTGAGAGGGGAAATACTACGGGTAGCGGTGTCACAAAGGGTCCAAATCCGTCAACGGATCTGGACCCCCCCCTCCCTCACGGATTTGGACCCCCCCCCCCCCCCCCCCCCCCCCCCCCCGAAAAAACGTACGCTTTTAACTTTTCTACCCATCATGAATTTTTCATATGAAGTACTGCAATGTCTCTTTAAATTAAGAGTTGCAGCAGCACAGTTTTCAAACAATTAAACTTTTACTTCAGTTTAACTTATCGTCATGATCATCATCAATAGAGAGCTTTAGCAAACCACGACGACGACAGGAACGAGGACGTGGCCAAACAAAAGATCTAATGGGCGGAGCAATAACTCAGTGCGAGCGATTAAATTTTTTTTAAATTTCTTAGACGCTCTCTGCTAAAACAACGACGTGAAATCTCCCAAGCAGCACCAAAAACTTTGCTACATTATACAACATTTGTTGATCACACAAAGAATAGTTCAATAGGAAAATTGTGCTGGGGGGGGGGGGGCGGCATTTGAATTCAATTTTTGGCTTGAGGGGTGGGCAGGAATTTGAAGAAACCAACCCTCAAAAGTTTAAATGTCTGGGGGTGGATGTTGAAGCTTTGAAATGATCAACCCGTTATGCTGAACTTGAGGTTAGGCGCTGTAAGTGATGTAACATACATCCAGCCATTTGTGAAATTATGAAAATAAAAATTTACATTTTAACATCTTCCTCTACGTTTGCCATCCTGACCCCTTAATGCCCCAAATAACAACCACAAAATCATCACCATGGTTGTCATCGGCTCCATCATTAGGGTCCATCATGAACATTTTTACAACAATGCTATATTTATCCTGCTTATATTTTCTAGATAAAGTGAGCAGTGTTGGATTTCATCGGGACTGGCCTGTTGTAGCCTTTGGTAGTGCCAGTGGCTGTGTTCATTTGTTCTCTATTGGTTGAAGACAAGCTGGCTACTCTCCTGAAAACTCGAAAAACTGAACCGAATTGCAAATATGTTTGGAAGTTATTTTGGGTATCAAAATATTGGTTCTGACACCACTTTACTTCTACTGAATTGACATACATTTGATAAAATGTAAAACTGCCAAGTTTATTAGAAATGTGAAGGAGATAGGCCATACATTAGTTTTGCAAATATATCCAATATAAATTTATATCATCAATTTAAATAAGAAAAATACTCGAGCTTTTTGGTGTTGGGATAATAAAAGGAAAAAATAATATTAATGTTTTCTGTAAACAGAAAATGGTGACCACCACTTATCAGTATTTAAAGCTGTAATCGAGTAGTTCATTCTTGGTTTAATATTGTTTTAAACTCTGAGAAATCAGTGCCATGTAACTCCTTGTAATTCAGATCAAAACAGTAAACAGCGGACAGTTGATGAAAATAGAAAAAACTTCTGATCGAAAAGGTGTTATCGCGACTATAACTCCACTTTTCCTTTACTAATTTACAAGCAAATCCAAGTTCCATCGAACGGTAACCCACTGGTATGTCTTCGCTCTCATATCACAAGTCACTTTGTTTACAATCCACATAGGGTACAACACCAAACTCTTGCCTTGGTCGAAACAGCTTTGTAGATTTCCACCAGTCCTCTAAATTATACCTTTGCAATAGCTGATAAAAATTCTTCCAGAAAATTATTTCTACATCTGTTATATCAACAATTGGTCTGTCATACTCTGCAGCTTCTTTCCTGCTTGGTCTGCAATCTGCGGACCACGGCTTGGGGGGATGATAGCCGCCTTTGCCTCCAGCAAAGTGATAAGAGTTAAAAGGTCTGTAGGTGATGAGTCTGATGTTAAACGCGTAAGGAAGTGCTCTCCATTTACCAGCATCTGCATAATAATGCCAGAGCAAAACTTGATCGTCGGGACAAGTATCTCTTTCGGTGGTTTCTCGCCATAAGTCCATGATTTCCTGATAGTATTTCGTGTCAGGTTTAAAAACAAGGAGACCAGCATTAAAGCAAGGATCTACCACGCCAGGTCGTGCGCATGGTACGGCGGCAAAGTCATCTGGAATATCGAACAGTTGATCGATATTCGTCATCAACATGTAATCGGCGTCGACATAAATGATTTTAGAAAATTCAGTAAATTTCCACGCGTGAAATCGAGTGTGTGTTCCTATTATTCTGTAGCCTCGTGGTCTTCCGAACAATCCTTCGTTTCTTTCAAAGCTCAATTTTGCATCCAGCCAGTCACAGTCCATTGCTTCGACTACTCGAGTTTCCCAACCAACTCGCTGAAGTGCCCTTTGGGCTTCTTTTGTCACTGTATCTGCAATCAGAGCAATCATGTTCTTGTGGCAAGAGAACGTTCGAATGGAGTGAGCCAGAACCAACGCAGGAACGACGAAATTATCGTTTACCACAATTGTTAGCCATGTGACATCGCTTCTTGATTGTACATTTTCTTTGCACCATTCTTGCCCAAAACGGCTTTCAATCTGGTACGTTCTCCATTCCTTACGAGCAAGCTGTAATTCATTGTCCATAATTCTTTGCTCATAGCTCATAGCTTCTGAAATAATAATCTTAGTGTATCTGAAGAAATACGAAAGCAGTATTGGTCTCCACAGAAAGATGAAAATCACCACCGCGATCGAAATCAAGACTGTCAATCCGTAAAGACGCCGATGTGATCCGCCATGTGTTTTTTTTGTGTCCTTCATAGTCAAGCTACTAATAATACTACAGGTTGTTTGTGGTTAGAAGACCTGTGGTTGCGAATCGCCGGGCTGGACGAAAATTCCAATTATAATGCATATACTACATGTTAGTCGCCTTGCTGATAGACTATCAGTCGATTTTATTCCTTGTGTGACAGGTTATATGAAAACAGGATCTGTGGGCCACGTAATCTCTCAGATGTGCAACCATTCGTTTGGGTAATTCGATATGTTTTGAACTTATTGATGGTACGGCAGGAGAAATTCGTGAATTACTTAGATATTAACTTTTTTTTAGCCTCTTGGAAAATAGAAACACCTTTAGAAGAGCAAATATGCGTTCTTCAAAATTAAGAGACTTAAAACAAAAAATTTCGTTTCTTATCCCAAGCGATTATCCCACTGTGTGACAGATGGCGAAGCTTCCTGCCTCGTGACTTAAATATTTAATCAAAACAAGCATTGTGTAGCCCTATTCAGGTTACCAGTTTCAATTTTTCTATCAAGTCTATTTTGCCCACTGAATACAAAATAATTAGAAACGTAGGAAAATAGCGATACAATATTTCTTACAGTGGAAATTTTGCTTTAAAAGGAAGTAAGCTAGTAATTGTTTGCAATCCCGCGGAGTTGGTAAACGCCTCAATAGATTGTAGAGCTTTTGAAATATCACAGGCCAGGGAAAGCCACAGTTCTCATTAATTAGCGCGGAAAGATGTAAACATTTAACGAAAGCTCAAGGTATTTCAATTTAACGAAAGCTCAAGGTATTTCAATTTTCTTCTGTACGGGTAGCCCGTGCTCGTTGCTGACATAAGTACATCTGCTGCATTTCGCAAAAGCAGAATTATTTATTAAAATTGTTCGAACGAGACGGTTGCATGTAGAAACCCAAAATATCCGTGATTTCACTCTAAAAGTTAGCAGACTGCTTCATTCGAACGTTTTTTCCTATCGCGGCTGGATAGGTTGCAAGGTCCTCTTCGAAAAAAAAAAAGGTGGGTGAGCTAAAAACCGCCAAATCGCTTCGAATCGACCCAACAGTCACACCGGAGCCAAAGAAACGCTAGACTGAAGTAAAGTCAGCTATCTTTATAGTTAAATCATCAATATTTGTCACCGTTTCCGCCTATACAATTCTTTTATAGTATATATGTGGTCGTATATCGAATTTGGACTACCTGTGGCTCCAACAACTGAGATCTCGTTGGACCCGCGAGCAGGAAGGAAGTGTTTTTTACTAGCGGCACTTTAGTTTTTCCTGTCGTTTTGAAGACGGTGAAAACAATCACCAAGACTTGTTTACTGAATTTATGCTGCAGTTCTTTGGTGGAATAATTCGGCTACATATTTAATGCATTGATGCGAACTGAGTCTGTTTGGCTAAGATGGCTAGATTTTTCCTTCTGTTGAACTATGCAAACACACGTAAGGTGTGGACTGAATCAGCACTGAACAAGGTTCGTTCGGGTCCTTGAAAACCTGGAAAGTCCTGGAAATCTTCTTAACACAAGCAATAAAGTTTTCAGAATTTACGTTAAAAAGAAGTGTAGAAGAATTGATTTTGAAATCTTGGGAATGAGAGGATTTATGGAGAAAATTGGATTCTTAGAAAAATCAATCTGAGTCCTGGAAAAGTCCTGGAAACTTGTTTCTGAAAAAGGGTACGAACCCTGACTGAATCGCTTCAGTTAAGTCCACTGTTCTTAGCTTTTCGACAACACACTGTGGGAGCCACACTTTGCATCTTTGAGTCATTTGCTGATACATTTGAAATTATGATACGAACCAAATTCTGCGATTGTTTGGGGAACCTTCCTCCCTCGGTGTTTTGCTCCCTCGCTACTATAGCGCTGTATACACTCGCGCTTCGTTTACTAACCGAACTAATCTCGTACTCAGATCCTGTCGGATACAAGACTATAATTAAACGTCTACGGAACAAGCTAAGGTGCCACCTCCTAGAAATTCGAAAGGCTTACCCTTTTTCGTGTTCATGGGGTCATAAAACATTATTTGCCAGATGTCTGATTTCTAGAAAATATCGAGTTCCAATAATTTGTGAAAGGAAGATTGATTTTAGTGAAATTGAAACTTGTTAAATATCCAAATGAAGGGAGCTCAGTCCACAAAGTGAAATTGGTTCCCTGGCTGCTAACCTTGTTACAGGCAGCAAATGGCTCAGCATGAAACTCCTGATCTGGCCGAAACCATTTCGTGGATCTCCACCAGTTCTCTAAATCGTACTTCCTTAGCAATTCGTAAAACTTCTTCCAAAAAACTAATATCATGTCATCGGTTACTAATATTGGTCTGTCGTAATCTTCAGCCTCTTTCCTACTTGGTCTGCACTTTGCCGACCATGGCTTAGGCGGACTACAGCAGGCAAAATGGAATGAATTTAGGGGCCTGTAAATGTTGCGTCTGATGTTGAATGCGTAAGGAAGCCTTTTCCAATTGCCCTCGGCGACGTAATAATACCATAGCAGAACCTGATCATTTGGACAAGTTCCTTGTCTAGTCATTTTCCACCACAAACTCAGGATATCTTGGTACTGTTGCACGTCTGGTCTGAACACCATGAGACCTGCATTGAAACATGGATCCACTACACCCGGTCTGGAGCAAGGTGCAGCAGCAAAGTCACCTGGAATATCAAACAATTGATCGATATTCGTCATCAACATGTAATCAGCATCGACATAAATGATTTTGGAAAACTCGGTGTAGTTCCAAGCGTGGAATCGAGTATGTGTACCCTTAATTTCTGCCCCTCCAGTAAATGCACGATAGTCAATCGCGTTATATTTGGTCTCAAGCCAATCACAGTCCATTGCCTCGACTATGCGGGTGTCCCAGCCAATTTTCTGAAGAGCCCTATGTGTCTCCGTGGACAACGTGTCCGAAATCAAGGCTACCATATTCCTCTGGCAAGAAAATGTTTGGATGGAGAGACCAAGCACCAGTGCAGGAATAGCAAATTCGTCGTTGACGACAATTGTAAGCCATGTTACATTGTTTTTTCTCGATGTAAAATTTTCTTTGCACCATTCTTGGCCAAAGCGGCTTTCAATCTGATACATTCTCCATTCCTTGAGAGCAAGTTGAAGCTCATTTTCAAGAAACCTTTCCTCATCACTCATAACATCCTTCAAGACATAGTTCGCTATTTTAAGGTAATAAGGAGGCGGAATTGGTCCCCACGCCAAAAGAAGACCCACCACGATTATCACGCTCAATGAAATGAGTATGCCGTAATAGGACTTTCGACAGGCCCCCTTTTTCGTTTCTGGTAAACCGTCCATTACGACGGAGCTAGACTCTTCTAGCTTAAAAATTTTTGTTTGCAGGTTTACAACATTTGCACATCAAGTCTTTATATTGAGTGACATGGCGGATATTTAAAATTCATTTTGAAACAACAGACCTCCAGGGAAAAAAAATACGAAAACATTTGTCACTAAGTATGGAAATTAGGCTTTTGAACTGATAAAAGCCTTGTGGTCATGAATCTTACCGATGTGATGACGAGTTAAATCTCTCTTAGGGTGTGTTAAGGTATCTTTTAAAATTTAGTCCGTTGAGCAAATTTAACGATCATGTGAAACGAGCTTTATTTTAATCAGGGTAATAAATAATTGCTCCATGCTTAGCATGCGTATATCGAGTTATGGATGAACACGGGAAGTTTGGAGAGCACGAGAAAAGTGTACGAGTTGCTGGAGGCGCAGCCGAGAGCAACTCTAGCTTTTTGAGTAATAACAGCATACAGACACAAGTTGTGCTCGAAAAAAACAGGTTATTACAGCTATGTCGGGTTTACCAGGTAATCGTGTTATAACCGAAAACTATGAATAAATGACAAGGCAAAAACGCCCAAGATTTATTTCGAAACCAAATCTTTATTAAAATTTAAATTAAATTTTCTGCTCAGAAGCGAAAAACGAACAAATTTCTTGCATGTACGAGACCATGTAGTAAATTCAGCATGCTTGAATCGTTGTTTACTACAATTAACGGCCGGAAAATTGCGTACCATTTCAAAAGATTGAACCGAACAGTTTTAGAACATATCAATACTTCAAAATAATATTTCAACTGAGAAACAAGTGTTAGGTCGCTTAGGAGAGGCACAAAGTTTTAGTCTGATATATCAGTGGTGGAAAGGCAACATTATGTGCGAAAGAGAGAGAGAAAGAGAGAGAGCTTTCTCAGCTTTCTGAGTGGCGCCCGGTTTCCTTCTGGGCATGAAGAGAATGGCAAGTGTACTTTTCATCTGTGTTTTTGGTGTATCCAGCTTATTGACTTTGAAGATATTTCCTGCTACTCCGTTTTGCGGTTTTCTCTATGAAGAGGATTTCACTCGTGCTTCCACTAAAACCAAAGGTATGGTCTTGCAAAAGTGCGCCAATTGAATCAGGAGAGACGAGTCATGATCTTTCATAGTAATACAATTTTCTCTTGTTTGGGGCTGAAAGGCCCTCTCGGGGCACAGTCATAGAACACAGCTCTACAAACAAAGCACATATTCTGTTTACTTACCAGAGCGCAAAGGTTTTTTTTTTCTCGTTAGTGCCTCTTCATGAAAAATTTATTCTCTTTGTTCAACACTGTTTTGTTTATCTAGTTAAATCCATGGTTTTGATTTAGTACATCCTTTTTAGGTTTGACAATGTTTTTTTAACTGCATGTTTTAGAATTAAATTACGACCGAGCTTAATTCCCGGAAAAGAAGTTTGACCAAAAAAAAATGGATTACGTTATTTGGACTCTGTGAAGTTGTTCGAAAAACTCAGTGGTCCGCCCTTTGTGTGCTATCGTTTTCCAGAGGGATAAAAAAAGCCTCCGTTCTTCTTTGAAACGAAGTCAGTCTTAATTAATTCAATTTAGTCTCTCGAAAATCAGACACCCGCAAGCGACCTGCCAGGTGGCAACCAACCAAAAACAAATTAATCTGAGCAGCTGAAGGTTTTGTGCGTGCAGGGCGCGTATCCGGCAGGCCAGCTTGTCTGGCTAAAAAATTAAATAGTTAACAATTAAGAATTTCTAACGACGAGGTTATTGTGCAATAGTGCTATCAGGTGAGGAACAACGTATCGTACGCAGTTTGTACTTTGAATTGGTATCCAGGACTGCTCCCGATTGCCTCTGTCATGATGAACAACGGATCATGTCACTGATTTTTAATCCCCTAGGTAAGCTCTCCTTACGGTAAATATTGGAAATAATTTTGTTTTTCGTCCAGTGAAGACGTCTCTGGGGTGGTAAGCGGTCTGATGGGGCTACAGGAAGGAATGAAAGAGCGTTTTCACTGGGAGCTACACAACACTACAGATGTACTTGTCACAGATGGTGGTTTCTCATCCACGTGTAAAAATTCGATGGATGTTAAAGAAGGAGATAGACATTTGTCGTACTGGAAGGACTCTTCAGTGCATAGTAAAATTCACATATTTTTCTCCACGCTTCTTTTTGCGATTGTTTTAATCGTGGAAAATATAACAAACTTCATACAATTAGAGAACTGCAAGTCTTCAGTCTCCTTTTACTGGATACAGAGCTGCGTTATTGTATTTTCCTTTCGATTTTGGGGAAGAAAACGAAATCGAAGGTGAGTGAAATTTTCGTCTGTCCTCTATACTTCATTATGCATTTAGTACTTGGATTGAAAAATGAAAAAAAAAAAAACCAAATCGATGGCAAAATATTAGATTACGTTTGCGACCTCGGTTTTGTTTCTGAACAGTACAGGGTTACACGAAAATCTTTCTCGCTCGTAATGGAATATTCTTTATACAGCCAGAAGGTTTTTCACATTGTTGTGATTCCTATGAAAGTAACGTTGTTTGCTTGGTATAAGAGTCCTTAACGCAAGGACGACGCGCGACTAAAAATAATAACTTGCGCGTGCATATCAAATGTATTAAAGGTGTTTTTGTCACGTCGTTGTCACGCTCTCGAATGCCGCTTGATCGCAAGTCGTCGATGTTGAGAATAAGGTGATCTTCCGTTAAAAGAACAAATTACTTTTAAAAAATTTTGAACTTTACATTTGGCTTTGTCCTTTGGTATAATGTGTATACTATTTATACTTCTGTCTTTTAAGATTTGGGGTAATTTTCCGCCATTCCGTCGCTCTGGTGGTTTTGTAAAGTCAAAGTTACCATCAAGAAAATAGAGTGCCTTCTGAGTAAATCATTCTTAGCGCGCTACCATGAACAAAACTGTATATCACTGTAAAGCTTAAAAAGCGTAGATTCTGAAAGTAACAAAACATTAAAACGGCTTTTGGTTTGGTAGGCACGCGCAAGCTATAAAAACACGATAACCTCCGCGTTACCGTGGATATCCAAACGAACTGGACAGTATCATAATAGGCTAACATAGGGTGTGAGGCTTTTTCGATATTTCTATTGGTTACTGAGAAAATCTATTTATACATGTATTTCGGTAGTTTGCTCACGCCGGGACGTCACCGAATTATATTTCGAATTTCGTGAAAGCTTCACACCATTTAGTGCGTGAATATCTGGCGAATATCGTGGTCAAGTTTCATCAAAACCCGAAAAATCTAAATTCCCAATTGATTCGTTCAAGTAGAGGAAACTCGCGTTAAAGGAAACCTCGAGTTCTTTGCCTGCAGAGAAATTCGTATTTTCGCACATCATTTAAGAGCGTGACACAGGGGGCCATGCCGCTGACCAATGAAACGCAACATCGAATCCCCCAACGAGTCTTGTGACAGTGGAGTCACTGAAACAGACCTTCTCGGGGAAAACAGCTGAATGAATTCCAAAAATTCATTGCGAAAAACAAATAGTAGGAAAAGTGGGCTAAAAGAAAAACGCTGGTGTGAGCGAGCTTTCTAGTAGATGTTACCTACGGCAACTTTTCTTCTTTTTGGCCGTTTCATGAAGACACTCTTCATTCAGGGTTTTAAGAAATATGAACGAAATTCCATTTATTTCCGTGGCTATAAACTCGATTTTAACACTCTGTTGGAGGCCTTTCGGATTATGACTGAATAAATAATGACCTCTTTCATTCGCATCTCGCTTTCTTTATTGGGTTTATTGAAGGATTTTTTTTTGGAAAAATGAAATGTCGATGCTTTCGCTTACTTAGGAAAGAAAAAAAAAATTTTGAAAATTTGACCAGATTTTGTTGACTAAGTGAAAACTGCTAGTAACATCGACTTGCAGCTCTTTTAGTTTCTGATTTCGAGTAAGTTAACGTAGTTGTGTCATGAGTTGTTCTTGGGAACAATTGGTGCTATCAGCATCGGTGTAAGTGCTGTTCCCACTGACCTTATTTGTTAAGCTACTTGTATCTTTATATAGTTCTTTTATGAAGTTGAGTGAAAGACACGAAATCTTTCTATGTTAGGGAAATCCTGCTTATGAAGCAGGAAACAACTCATTGGGGTACTTGTGATACATCTTTCAGTGGATAAATATCGTTTTTTAGGAAGCAAAATTCAGCTTTACACTCATTTTTACATAGGTCATCTAAATTGAACAGGTCGTGCTGCCAGTAAGAGAATCAGTGTAAGCCTTAAGACTAGTAATGATTGACATGAGGACGTGGACAACCATGCAATAGTTTCAATGACATCCTTCTAAGTGACATCAACCCTGCGTCAGGTCTCTATACTTCTCATTCCCATATGCGCTGTAATTGGTTATTAGCCATCCCCTTGGAGATTATTAAAATCCTATCGTAGAGTATAGCTTTTGAAGCATTGTAATTATTTAGAATAAATCATTAAATGTAAATTTCTTCTCACTCTGTAGTTTCAGGAGTCAAGAAATAAATTTCCGTCCACTCCTTTTCTACTTTGTGGCTACTGTAACTTTCTTTGGACTGGATTTTAATCATTCCACCTTTGGGATTTCTGCTGGATCTGAATCCTACTTGGTTTGTACCAATTAAAGTCTTTTTGTATATAATTATATATTTTTTATTTGAAGATTTAGATATATGAAAATTCACATATTTGCACTGCGGTGGAAAGATGAAATTAGAAGATCCTCGCAGCTAAGAACACTACTGAAACTAGAAGTTGTAAGTAGGACCTGAAAAATCTAAATCTCTATCTAAAAAATCTAAATCTAAATCTATCTATCTAAATCTCTATCTAAATCTTCATTCACTCGGATGTTTATTTGTACCCAATTCATTGACCAGCTCCCAGTTGGCTTGTTAGCTCAATTGGTAGAGCGCTGCACCGGTATCGCAGAGGTCATGGGTTCAAATCCCGTACGGGCCTGAAATTTTTTTCAGGTCCTACTTACAACTACTAGTTTCAGTATTTTTTATTTGTTGTAATGATTCTAATTCTACATGGTCGAAGATGTCGTGTTCTAATGGTTAGTGTTTTGGAATCAGGGTGGAGAGGTCTGGGTCAAGAGGTCTGGGTTCACAACATGGCTGAGTCATTGTGTTATGTTACATTGTGTTATGTTACCTCTCTTCAGCCAGGGGTATGAATAGGTACCAGCACATTGTCAGGGAAGCTCAATGAAATGCTGGGACTTGCATCCCATCCAGGGGGGGAGTGGCAATACTCCTAGTCGCTTCATATTTAGGAATCCAGGATAAGCTTCAGCTGGGTGTGCCAGCTGGGTGTAGCTGGAGTACAGAGTGACTTAATTCTATACAAGTCTCAATAAAGATTTTAGATATATGAAAATTCACATATTTGCACTGCGGTGGAAAGATGAAATTAGAAGATCCTCGCAGCTAAGAACACTACTGAAACTAGTAGTTGTAAGTAGGACCTGAAAAAAATTTCAGGCCCGTACGGGATTTGAACCCATGACCTCTGCGATACCGGTGCAGCGCTCTACCAATTGAGCTAACAAGCCAACTGGGAGCTGGTCAATGAATTGGGTACAAATAAACATCCGAGTGAATGAAGATTTTAGATATATGAAAATTCACATATTTGCACTGCGGTGGAAAGATGAAATTAGAAGATCCTCGCAGCTAAGAACACTACTGAAACTAGTAGTTGTAAGTAGGACCTGAAAAAAATTTCCATGACCTCTGCGATACCGGTGCAGCGCTCTACCAATTGAGCTAACAAGCCAACTGGGAGCTGGTCAATGAATTGGGTACAAATAAACATCCGAGTGAATGAAGATTTTAGATATATGAAAATTCACATATTTGCACTGCGGTGGAAAGATGAAATTAGAAGATCCTCGCAGCTAAGAACACTACTGAAACTAGTAGTTGTAAGTAGGACCTGAAAAAATTTCAGGCCCGTACGGGATTTGAACCCATGACCTCTGCGATACCGGTGCAGCGCTCTACCAATTGAGCTAACAAGCCAACTGGGAGCTGGTCAATGAATTGGGTACAAATAAACATCCGAGTGAATGAAGATTTTAGATATATGAAAATTCACATATTTGCACTGCGGTGGAAAGATGAAATTAGAAGATCCTCGCAGCTAAGAACACTACTGAAACTAGTAGTTGTAAGTAGGACCTGAAAAAAATTTCACCCGTACGGGATTTGAACCCATGACCTCTGCGATACCGGTGCAGCGCTCTACCAATTGAGCTAACAAGCCAACTGGGAGCTGGTCAATGAATTGGGTACAAATAAACATCCGAGTGAATGAAGATTTTAGATATATGAAAATTCACATATTTGCACTGCGGTGGAAAGATGAAATTAGAAGATCAGCTCCCAGTTGGCTTGTTAGCTCAATTGGTAGAGCGCTGCACCGGTATCGCAGAGGTCATGGGTTCAAATCCCGTACGGGCCTGAAATTTTTTTCAGGTCCTACTTACAACTACTAGTTTCAGTAGTGTTCTTAGCTGCGAGGATCTTCTAATTTCATCAAGTCTCAATAACTCATTTGTTTTCAGTCAGTCATCAGCCGGTGGAAGATACCTTCTATTTTGCAAAAATAAAAATGGGAAAAAAGTTAAATAAAACAGTGGAGTGAAATAATGTCAAAACCATTTAGCCTTCTATCCAGTGCTAAAACAAAGTATAGACCCCTTGGGAGTTCTTCTCCTCTAAGTAACTCAACTCAATGATATGAGTTATTCTGACTTTTGTGAAAAGTGTTTTGGTGTTCTTTATAATTATGAAATAGTGTTCCAGCACAAATGTTGTACTCTGATTGGCTAGACTTCTAAATCTGGTGTTTTATCAGGATTTCACCCTTGAAGTGTTGTGTTAGTTGATTCTCCATACCTGATTGTTGAATAGAGTAGTGTTATTGTAAGGAGAATTTAGAGGTTTAAGAATGTCTAGAGATTTCAACAACTTATTACTCCAGTCAAATTTCACTTTTTTTCTTAATCTCATAGATATCTCTGGCCTTAGTGGCACCTTTAGTGTTAATAGCATCCTGGTTGACTGGTCGCCATGCCTATCCTGACAAGATTATCCTATTGGTGGTTGCATCAAGTTCACTTGTAATGATTCTGTTCTGCTCATTTGAAGATCGTCCTGCACATTATAGAATGTCTTTTAATCATGGAGTTTTTGGCCTTCTAATGGGCATGTCTCTGGCTTTTTTTATTGTGCAGGCAAAAAGATGCTTGTCCAAGGTAATAATATTAATCATGATTAAAACTGCTATAGGCTAATTGCACATAGATGAGATGAGTTTTTGATGAGTTGCTTTTCATCAGTTTGTGTTGAGTACTTGCATTAAAATACAGTTTTTTGGTGTAGACAGATGTAATTTAATTGTGAATTAGCAAGTGTGTAAATGGGTGGCCAGAGTGACAATGACATCATGGAAGCTGATGGGTGTACAGCTGGAAAGCTTGATTTAGGCTAGTCTGGTAAAAAGTTTGAACCTCTTAGTTAATTCTGTTGAGAGTGAATGTCTCATCTGAGTTAAAATCTCTTTTTATCAAGTAAATATTTCTTTTTATTTTTCAGTTGCAGGTTTCAATTTCCCAGTTACTCTATTTGCTAAATTTTAGCTGTGTCATATGTCTTCCATTTATTGCCCTTCTGTGTGGTGAATTACCTTATCTAGAAAAGGAACTGTTGAAACGAGGTGCACTTGAACTAATCTTCAGTATCCTCATTCTGGTGAGTAATTTGATTTTGAAAAGTGTCTTATTGATTTAGGGGTTTGTAGATTAATATAGGAATATAATATTACGCTTCCTGGAAATTTTGGATTTGGTTTTGGAAACCCATCATGGTTTATGGTAACCTTAAATAAACTTTGTCACTGATGGTTATGGTAGAACATTAAGGAATTTTTTTGATCAAGTATTTCCAAACTCCTAAACCATACTGTAGCATAGAGTATTTTTTCTTTGTGCACAACCACAAGTTTGGTGTTTCTTTTTTTGTTATTAAGTGTTACTCTCTTACATGAAGGCACTGTGTATTTTTTATACATTGCATTCCAACTCCAGGCCCCAAGATACTTTGCTATGAAAAAATTTAAGAAAGATATCCTGAATTGACAGAGTTTCACCTTACAATATCAACCAGATAAGTGATGAGAATAAAGAAAAATATCAATTTGGAGATAATAAGTTGATCCAATACTAAATTCTTAGAGCTAACATTATAAGAATTGTATGGTTGACAGTAAGGAGAATGACAAACTTGAACTGGGAGTTAAAGGGTTAATGGTTATTTTAAGGCTTGTTTGCGCAATGCAAGGCCTCATAGTATCCCATGTCATTCATGAATCGTCTCGATCTGCCATTTGTAATCTCCTTTCTTGGCTTTTTATTTTAGGCTCTGCTTCGTTTGGCAAGCCAAACAGCTTGTCTTTATCAACTAAAACATTCAACTCCTCTATTGAATGCCACAGTACGAGGATTTTCTTGGATATGGATAACATTGTACATAACTTTACATACCCCAGGAGAGAGGGGTTCACTTGTGGTGCCAGTACTTGCAGCATTCTGGTTATACGGTTTTTTCATATTTCTTCCTGCACTCTTAACAGATTTCTTTTTGATATTTTGAAACAAGAAAAATAAGTAAGATACCTTATTTCCTTGAATTAGCACCTATGCTCTAATAACTGCCTCCTCCTCCTTAGAATGAGCACCCACTCCTTGGGGCCGTAAAATCAAACAAGCACCCCCCTCAATATAAGTGCCCCACCTCCCTCACTTCCTAAATAGTCAGGATACAAGGAAAACCTGTTTCAATAATTGCCACTTCGTTTATAACTTTTGAAGCTTCTACTGCGACTGATTTGGCACAGGGCCTCCTCTCGATTATGCACCCTCCCTCTGATAAGAACCCCTGGCTGTGATTTCAGTAGGCAAATTAATGTGGAGATACCTTAATTTTATGAAATATTTTCTTCAGGATTCGTATAAAGTGAAGGTGAATTCTTATGCAGAACTGTCCTTATTTCAATAAGAAGCATATTAAAAGTTTGGTTTCTGAAAAGTTCTCAATACCTCCTCATAGGGCAGTCTTCGAAAAGCATCTCCTCCTGCCCAAATCTTACGAATTTTCATTCCAGTGGGTTGTTCACAATAGCCCTTCCCCAGCCACCATTAGCCCCTGTAATTTTTCCACTTGGATTTCCTGCTTCTTGAAAGTTTATTTCACAAAACAAATTTTGAAATTTCTTTGCCTTATGTATACATATTGAAAGAGAACTTTATTGGGTAAGAGGAGCTATATCATGGCTATTACAGACGAAAATCGAAGTATTCTATTCATATAACGAATCGCATGAAGTAATGGAAAAAAAAGTTACAAGAAATAAAAAGTGAATTTGGGGATCTTTATCTAATGCTTCTTAATAACTATCACAATAAGGTCTTCTTCAGCCTCACGCTGTTATCGCGCATTTCGCCTAGTTAACAATGATGATACTGAATGGCGTCCAATTCTGTCTGTAATCATGAGAGAGATTTACAAAATTGGATGACCGCGAAGTCTTTCTCTACCAATCAAACGCAAAATCAGAACCTACTGCGATTGTCTAGCACCCAGACCTTTCACGGTCAAGCGGTTCTGAGGTATTGCTGCACTGTCAAGAATATTTCTTACAAAAATTAAACGCCAAAAAGTGCGTCTGATATGGCTATTGCCTCATCCAAGTCGTTAGTTTCCGGTCCACTCCTTCCAAGGTAGGTTTTCGTGGTCTCCCACGCGATAGCGCTCACTTTGAAACAACAATTAAATAAAAATCCGAGTACGTTTCAAAAGTAACGGAGATGGAAATGATTGCGGAATGAAGAGAAAGCTTGAGGGAAGCGATTTCTCTTCAGGTCGTTGGTTTTTCACTTGTTTCAAGAAAGACAGACTCCCTAAAAACAAATGCCTTTCGTCCCTGTGCCTTTGCCTCCTTTGAATAAAAAACTAGGCAGTCTAATACAGCATATGGCTACTCACATGGCACAATTTTTATAGCATTGAAAAAAAACTAGAGGTTGTATAATGACGATAGAATATAGTGTTGCAGAAAATTTGTATTCACATACAAAACATAACACCTGTTGCATCCCACATGTTTATCAGTACTCTGTTTCACAATAGAAAGATGATTCAAGAGTATAGAGACTAACTGACATTCCATCTATGGTTAAATGGTTACAAATAATCATATTAACAATAATAGTTATGATAAAAATAGTAATGTTTATTTGGGTTAGCTCAAGAACCTTACTGTTTCTCCCTCTCGGAGGCTCTAATGATGATTAAACTATGCTGATCCAAACGGTAAAATGATCTCTCTTCACAAAATTTTTCCTCTAAGTTTTCATGATTAAGATACTAAATTTAAATTTTAAATTTCGGTCCCTTGTCTCCGATTTTGGATTTGGACACTGGTGGCCGATTTTAGGTTTTGGACTCTAGAGGCCGATTTTAAATTTTACACACTAATGGCCGATTTTTAATTTTGACCACAAGTGGCCGATTTAGGATTTTCGCCACTAGTGACGGTTTTGGATTTTGGACGCTAGTGACCGATTTTGGATTTCGGACGCTATTGCCGATTTTCAATTTTGGACACCAGGAGCCGATTTTGGATTTTGGACGCTAGAGGCCGTTTTTGGATTTTGGACGCCAATGGCCGATTTAGAATTTTGGACACTAGTGGCCGATTTTAAGCTTTGGACTCTACTGGCCGATTTTTAATTTTGGGCACTAGAGGCCGATTTGAATTTTAGCCATTTGTGGCCGTCTTTGAATTTTGGACACTTGTGGCCGATTTGAATTTTAGCCATTTGTGACCGTCTTTGAATTTTGGACACTTGTGGCCGATTTGAATTTTAGCCATTTGTGGCCGTCTTTGAATTTTGGACACTTGTGGCCGATTTTTTATTTCGGACATTAGTGGTCCTGATTTTA